ATGACTTTATAATCTATGACCGTAACTTTAGTGATGAGTCACTTGTTCTCAGTGCAACCTTCCAGGTTTTGCCTTTCATGCTATGCCAAGGTCATGAGAGCAGAGCGAGAGTACACCCCACCTCTGATGCCACCATGGGAAATGCTCTCACTCAGCTCAGCCTGGGCTCAGACTGTCACATCAGCATTTCTGTAATGTTGTTATATTAGCAGTGTGTACTCCCAGTCCCAGGCAGCATTTTCCAAAACAGACAGACAAGGTCCAGTCACGGCACACACAGTATGATTAGGATCTTCTTTACTACTGCTGAAATGTAATTGCATGAGATAGTCTCAGGTTCTGATCCGAGACAGGGAGAGAGACGGAGAGGAGAGAGAGCTGCTGGGCTGGTTCCTGTCTGCTGGACCCTGATGCCCCTAGTACCCTTAATCGCACGCATGCACGCACGCACTCACATGCCCACAACACAGCGCAGCAGACAGACCAAACACAACAAGCACAGAAGCTGAGTCAGCTTTTCTCACGTCTGGGGAAACGATGCCAAACAGGCCAAGCTGAAGTTCAGTCGATCAGCCACACATTTTATCTTCTGTGGCTGAGCTGGGCTATACCGGTTTGAATATGGCTGTGACTGAGTGACACAGTCCTGTCCTGCACATCAAGATCAATAGATAAATACAGTATCTATCTATATGGTCCTGCAGCACAAAGTCATACAATCACATCCAGACAGTCAGTAAGTCATTTTCTACACTTGGTGGAGGAGAATGGCTGAGGAAGAGCTCATGGAGCAGTAATGAGAGAAAATGACTGACTGACTGTCTGGCTGTGATTGCATCACTTTAATTGGAGCATACTGAAAACGTGATGATGATGTAACATACTGGACTGGATCCGGTACACAGGACAGGGACAGTAGGCTATAGACAGTACATGCAGGGGATTTGCTGTGTGTCTGGCGTGTATAAACAATAGACAGAAGACACACAAGTTTGAGGAAAAAAAAGTATTTTAATTATTTACTCTCCTGCCCTGTATAAATATAATCATAATATCATAACTATTATGTACATTTAACATTCACATAAAAAATACAAAACTATATATTTACGACAATCTCTATTCAACATAACAAAATAGAACAAGGGGGTTATTCATCAAGATTTATCACCACTGTAAATTCAACAGCTGTTGACTTATAACACATTTCTGTTTTGGACAAAACAGCTAATACATTTACAGCAGCTGCAGATTTCTTTGAATATTCCCAAAAGTGTGAGGAAAAACAACATGCTTAAGTTTGATATATTGTATGTGATGAACATTATGTGGTAAACTGCATTTACATTTACAGATGGAGTGATGTCAATTATTTGATTGACCGCACTGAAAAACATTGGCACATAAAAGTCTACAAGAGTATTCGTTGGCACATTCTGAAATATGAAAAACAACATTGTCAATGTAAAAATGAAAAACCTAATTATTCCTACTTAGATGTTGTATAAAACACAATACATTGTTTTAGTGACATCCATCCTATTCCCCATAGTTTTAGTGACATCCATCCTATTCCCCATAATACATAGTTTTAGTGACATCCATCCTATTCCCCATAATACACAAAAGCTAGTAATTTTCTGAAGGGAAAGTGACCATAGTGACTCGTTAAAAGTATTGCTATGCACTGTAGTGGGACTAGGACGGGTAACTTTTGTTCAACAAAAACTAGATAAAGCCATTTAGGTCAGCTATGAGTAAACAAAACCAGGGTCTTTCTCTCACTAGGGTATATACATGACCAGGGTCTTTCTCTCACTAGGGTATATACATGACCAGGGTCTTTCTCTCACTAGGGTATATACATGAGTGAGCAACAAGTTCTCCATAAAATAAACTGGAACACACTAAACAAGCTAGCCAACATTTCACAATGTAGGAAGACGGGGTAAATCCAAATCTTGCCCACAACAAGCAGATGTGTACAGCTCAGATAGAGAATGCATTGCAGGAGTTTACAGAAGAAGAACATCAATGTTGGTAGTATTGCACCTCAAATAAATAATACACTTTCTCTTTGGATAAAATGCAAGAGACATAAGGTATACAGTAAGACAGACGGACACTGTAAATGTATAAATAATAAACAAAATATATAAATACATACAAGTAAACAACAACCAGAAGATTTCAAATACACGATTGCTTAGTTCAGCGTTTCCCAAACTCAGTCCTGGGGACCCCAAGAGGTGCATGTTTTGGTTTTTGCCCTAACAATACACAGCTGATTCAAATGATCAAAGCTTGATGAATAGTTTATTATTTGAATCAGCTGTGTAGTACTAGGGCAAAAAAACAAAACGCGCACCCCTTGGGATCCCGAGGACCGAGTTAAGGAAACCCTGCCTTAGTTTCTCTTCTCTTCCATGGACAATAAATAATCATACACTTTATATACAGTATGAACAGTATTCTGTGGCTGAACTGAAACACTGTTCAGCTATTGTGAGTGTTTATCATCCGGGCTGTGTTCGAGGACGTATTGATTAAGAAAATCCTAGTATTCCTCCTCTTCTTCCTCCCCCTCTTCCTCAAGCTTCCCTGTCTGATGACGAGTATATGGAAGAACAAATTGTCCACTAGCTGTTGCATCATTGACCCTAACAACAGCAAAGAATCTCACTGCAACATTAAGCATCATTGACCCTAACAACAGCAAAGAATCTCACTGCAACATTAAGCATCATTGACCCTAACAACAGCACAGAATCTCACTGCAACATTAAGCATCATTGACCCTAACAACAGCACAGAATCTCACTGCAACATTAAGCATCATTGACCCTAACAACAGCACAGAATCTCACTGAAACATTAAGCATCATTGACCCTAACAACAGCACAGAATCTCACTGCAACATTAAGCTTTTTTCCTTGACTTGATTCACTGACAGTCTGCTTCTCTTCTTCCATGGACCAGAGTATGGGACATAAAGAAAAGTGATTGTGGTTATGAGGGAGGCTGGAGGCTGAGAGGGGGGGGGGGGGGGGCAGGGCTGGGCACTGGGGTTGGTGGTTTAAACCTGGTTTAAACCTGAAAACAGAGAGAACAGAACAGGGCTCATGTATGCATCCTTATAATACAATACAACTTCATTTCTCCATTGTGAAACCCTGCTTTCAGCTGATGCACAAGACAAGGGGCCGGGACTAATCCCATTTCAGCAATCCACAAGACAGGGGGCCGGGACCCATTTCTACAAAGGACCACCCTGTTGGAGTGTATTTGCCCTCAGAAAAGATTTATCTCTAAAACAAACAGCCACTGGCAGATGTAGAAAACCCCATACAAAAAGTAACCCATCCAAAACCCAGTCCTCATAATCCACATGCTGAAATAATGTAATTACAGCAACATTACTGTTTACTGTTTACAGGAGAAATACGAGTCATTGTTGTAATTAGAAGGAGGATAAGCTGAGAGACATATGATCCATGTTATGAGTGAACCAAACATCATGGGAACAATAGAATAGCGGTCAACTATGAAGTGGTCCGTCATAAGGTTTGCCTCTACATTGTATCTAACTACATTGTATCTAACCTTGGAGAGAGAGAGAGAGAGAGAGAGAGAGAGAGAGAGAGAGAGAGAGAGAGAGAGAGAGAGAGAGAGAGAGAGAGAGAGAGAGAGAGAGCTGGTGGACGAGAATACATCATCATACTCTTACGAGCAAATTGTTTTTGTACAAGTGGCTTTGACACAGAGGCCACTAAGTAAGGGATAAAAAGCTGACGTTCTGTACATTACCTTGGAAATAATGGACAGAGTTCATTTTTCCAAGGTAATGTAGGCTACAGAACAGAGGCGTTTATCCCGCTTACACCACAGTTGTCAAAGTAAACAATACTCAAGCACAAATTTACCGGTAGTAATATTTTATGTTATTGTTGATATTTTTATTTTGATAAGAATTCATACTTTCTCATCTTTTGATCGCTAGTCGTTTGTTCGATTAGTTGGATATTTATGGACGCGACCCAGTCGTTCTATACGTTCTTATCCCTTGCTTGCTAGCTAGCCAACTAGCTACGGCTAACAGTCACGACCTCTGCAGCCAGAATAACAGCAAAGTAGCTGCATTTGCATTTGTTTTAAGCTGTTTTCTATTGATATTGATTTGGATACATCCAAATCAATGACGTTGCCCGATTTTGCCTGGCATAGCTAGAAAAGTTTGCCTTCTCGTCAGGACACTCGACACTGTTCATTACGAGGAGATCGCATTGCCTATCAAACACTATGCTAGAAGCTAGCCAAATATTTTGTTGCTAGCAAACCTGCCAATATGACAAACAAATTCAAAAATATAAGTTGCTGAAAACAGCTGGTCAAACTAGAAACATGTGGGAGGATTTGACAGCGCCATTGTCGTCATGACTGCAGTAGGGACAGCAGAAATTCATGTTCATCACTCACCACATTAGGTCATCAGATCCTCCCAAAAAATAAGTCTCTGCAAAAACAAATAAATGCTGGAAGTTTTTCCTGCGTTTACAATGTATCCCATTTCAGTTTGTGTAGTTGTTGGTTTAGCTTTCTGTAACTTTGTAGCAAGTACGGTCTGCATGTGTAGGCACATATTGCATCATGATTGCAAGGTGTCCCGCTATCTTTTCCAATTGTCCCATTATCTGGTTTTAATGCCCACTCTAGAATGCCCTTCTAGACAATCAGAAATGAGTATTCAACAATGCTGTGGTATAAGGGGACTAACATAAGGTGACTTTAATCACATTGGAAAAATTGGGTGAGGGATGTGTTGGAGTTGGACCCACATTATCTTTCCTCAGGGGTTTACCCTAACTTCCACTTAAGTTAAATGTTCACTTAGTCATGCATTGATGTCAAGGATGTTAGGATTTGCCCCTCAATTATGACTTTGGGTAAACGGACTGAGGAAAAGCCTGTTTTGGAGTTTAAGCCACTTTCTCATAAGTTCTCAGTGGGTGCGTCGCTGTGGTGCACAATGGAGGGTATAGGGTTCCATTTCAGACTCCACCATATACTTACAATTGCAGGATCCTGAGTGTTTGACATCCAGGAGGCGCTGCTGAGCGCAGGCGGCCTGCCTCATGGAACACTCGCTGGGGTAGGTGTTGTTGTCGCTGGAGCACACACTTTCGCCCGGGCGACTCTCCGGACACGCCTCGTCACACACGGAGCAGCGTCCGCGGCCACTCCCCTCATCCCATAGACACCTCTTCGCTCCCCGACACACGATGTCCCCACACGACCGGGCGTCTAGAGAGGAGACACAAAGAGACCATCAGACAATATTATCACACTCCCTCACAGGCCTAGGCCAGCGCTGATCCATTTCTGATACACACAGACAGCATGATTCTGGTGATGGCTATAGACCTAGTGTCCTGTCTGTGTGAACGAGAATAGACAGAACAGACATGTTTTTTATGCTTAGTAGGCCTACTACTCTAGTATGTTCTGACAAAAGTCTTTGTGACCGAAAGCTTGGTGCATCAAAACCCTGAAATCTTCATTGAGCTAAGTGTGATGTATCAACTTTACAAAATGCACTCCATATTGATGCTCCAGTACTTACCAATGCATTTCCCTTCGTATGCCACGCCGATGGACCTTCCCAGCATGCACGTGGCTCTCCTCAGATGACAGGCGCTGGCATAAACAACGCCGTCGTTGCCACACAGGTACTGGTCAGGTGACTTCACCTCTGGACACTGGTGATTACACGTCACACAGTAGGCATTGTTGGTCTGGTCCACGACACACGACGCAGAGCCAGGGCAGCGAACTCCATGGCACGTCTCTGTGGATGGAAAGACACACACACACATTTAGAGGCATGACTCACGTGTGACACTATTCATGTCATGTGAAACATTCAATTACACACAATTTAAACTTTTCAGGTTACACCAGGTGAATATTCACTCACCTGTGATGTTTATTTTTCCTTGCTGCTAGTCTATTGCAGTAATCTATGTGCTTTCCTTACTGCCTAAGTTTGACTTAGCCTATCTGTGATATCAGATGGCAGACTCCACCTCACACTTCCGGTCTTTTTTGGACCTGCAGACAGGGCCGGTCCCAGGCATAAGCAACGTAAGAGGTCGCTTAGGGCCCCTGGTAGCTAGGGGGCCCCCAACCCCATTTTATTAAAAAAATGTTTGGGGGAACTCACTCGTGGTCTCAACATACTATTGATAGTAAGAATAGTAAAATACACCAGGTGCAATTTCAAAATTTGGTTGTGCATCAGGAGTTCTTCTCTTGTTATGTCAGTCATTCAATTAGCTGACAATTAGCCATGTCAATTTTTAGATTGGTAGTTATCTAGCCAGCTATCTAAACTTGTAGCAATCGTGGCCAAATACCGACCAGGCACAGGGGCCCTGACTTCCAGGGGGCCCCCATTGATTTTGTTAGTCATTCTCACTCAGATATCATATTAACATGGCATAAGTCATGGCAAAATGTGTAAAGGAATTTAGCTTTAAAGGCCCCCATCCCACCAGATGGCAATGCGCCCCTATTTCAACGTAATTCCTGTCCATAGCGAAAATGTTGGTTCTCGTTTAGGTTCCACCTCCGAAGAATGACGCAGGCTAATAATAAATATTCACGAATTGGGGGTGGGAACGTTGTGGTGATTTCAATGTGGAGTGAAGAAATATTAACAATCAGGGCAGACCTCCGTCAGTGTAGCTAGCAAGCATGCTAACCTTATCTAGCTAGCTAATTTTACCATTTGCCTCATACAGTGAAACACATCTCCTTCACATAGAGTTGATCAGGCTGTTGATTGTGGCCTGTGGAATGTGGTCCCACTCTTCAATGGCTGTGCGAAGTTGCTGGACATTAGCGGGAACTGGAGCATGCTGTCGTACACGTCGATCCAGTGCATCCCAAACATGCTCAATGGGTGACATGTCTGGTGAGTAGGCAGACAATGGAAGAACTGGGACATTTCCATCTTACAGGAATTGTGTACAGATCCCTGTGACATGGAGCCGTGCATTATCATGCTGAAACATGAGGTCATGGTGGCGGATGAATGGCACGACAATGGGCCTCAGGATCTCGTCACGGTATCTCTGTGCATTCAAATTGCCATCGATAACATGCAATTGTGTTCATTGTCCGTAGCTTATGTCTGCCCATACCATAACCCCACCGCCACCATGGGGCGCTCTGTTCACAATGTTGACATTAGCAAACTGCTTGCCCACACAACGCCATACACGCTGTCTGCCATCTGCCCGGTACAGTTGAAACTGAGATTAATCCGTGAAGAGCACACTTCTCCAGTGTGCCAGAGGCCATCAAAGGTGAGCATTTGCCCACTGAAATGGGTTACGACGCCGAACTGCAGTCAGGCCAAGACCCTGGTGAGGACGATGGCCATGCAGATGAGCTTCCCTGAGACGGTTTCTGACAGTTTGTGCAGAATTTCTTTGGTTGTGCAAACCCACAGTTTAATCAGCTGTCCGGGTGGCTGGTCTCAGACGATCCCACAGGTGAAGAAGCCAGATGTGGAGGTCCTGGGCTGGCGTGGTTACCAGTGGTCTGCTGTTGTGAGGCCGGTTGAACGTCCTGCCAAATTCTCTAAAACGACGTTGGGCTTATGGTAGAGAAATGAACATTCAATTCTCTGGCAACCGCTTGGTGGACATTCCTGCAGTCAGCATGCCAATTGCACGCTCCCTCAAAACTTGAGACATCTGTGGCATTGTGTTGTGTGACAAAACTGCACATTTTAGAGCAGCCTTTTATTGTCTCCAGCACAAGGTGCACCTGTGTAATGATCATGCTGTTTATTCAGCTTCTTGATATGCCACACCTGTCAGGTGGATGGATTCTTTTGGCAAATGAGAAATGCTCACTAACAGAGATATAAACAAATTGGTGGAATTTTCTTTTTGGGAAATAAGCTTTTCGTGCGAATGGAACATTTCTGGGATATTTTATTTCAGCTCATGAAACATTGGACCAAGACTTTACATGTTGCGTTTATATTTTTGTTCAATGTAGATAAACAAGAATGTGGAATTTTCTTTCGTGGGTGCCTTTTCATTATAGGATAGACACTTGTGATTTCTAGCTGCACCAATCAAATCAGTGGAACATGGTTAAAACCATTCATCTTGGGAGGGGGGTTCCAAAATGCAATCATATCACACACAATTTTACCATTTATAAAATGGTCATATATATATTTTAAATACAGAATAGCTCAAAAATAAGTAAAACTTGACAAATTATCCAATTGATTATGATAATTTGCTGGTAAAAAAGTGGAGGTGCAAAAACATGAGTGTGCCTAACCCTAACCCTAACCCTAACCCTAACCCTAACCCTAACCCCTAACCCTAACCCTAACCCCTAACCCCTAACCCCTAACCCTAACCCTAACCCCTAACCCCCTAACCCTAACCCTAACCCCTAACCCTAACCCTAACCCTAAACCCCCCTAACCCCTACCCCTAACCCCTAACCCTAACCCTAACCCCTAACCACCCCAACCCCAACCTAACCCCTAACCCTAACCCCTAACCCTAACCCCAACCCTAACCCCTAACCCTAACCCGAACCCCTAACCCCTAACCCTAACAACACCCTAACCCTAACCCTAAACCCTAACCCTAACCCCTAACCCCTAACCCTAACCCTAACCCTAACCCCTAACCCCTAACCCTACCCCTAACCCCAACCCTAACCCTAACCCCTAACCCCTAACCCCTAACCCTAACACCTAACCCCTAACCCTAAACCCCAACAACCCACCCCAACCCCACCCTAACCCTAACCCTACCCCTAACCCACCTAACCCAACCCTAACCCTAACCCCTAACCCCTAACCCCTAACCCCTAACCCAACCCTAACCCCTAACCCCTAACCCTAACCCCTAACCCCTAACCCTAACCCAACCTAACCCAACCCTAACACCCCTAACCCCAACCCACCACCCTAACCCACCCTAACCCCTAACCCCTAACCCTAACCCCTAACCCTAACCCTAACCCAACCTAACCCTAACCCCTAACCCAACCCAACCCAACCCTAACCCTAACCCCTAACCCCTAACCCCTAACCCCTAACCCAACCCTAACCCTAACCCCTAACCCTAACCCCTAACCCCTACCACCCCAACCACCAACCCCTAACCTAACCCCAACCCTAACCTAACCCAACCCCTAACCCAACCCTAACCCCTAACCCCTAACCAACCACCAACCCCTAACCCCTAACCCTAACCCTAACCCCTAACCCCTAACCCAACCCCAAGCCCCAACCCCTACCCCTACCCCTAAACCCCTAACCCTACCCCCTAAACCCTAACCCCTAACCCCTAACCCCTAACCCTACCCTAACAACCCTAACCCCTAACCCCAACCCCTCAACCCCTAGCCCTAACCCTCCTAACCCTAACCCCTAACCCCTAACCCCTAACCCCTAACCCCTAACCCCTAACCCCTAACCCTAACCCCTAACCCCTAACCCCCTAACCCCCTAACCCCCAACCCCTAACCCCTAACCCTAAACCCTAACCCGCTAACCCTACCCTAACCCTAACCCTAACCCTAACCCCTAACCCTAACCCCTAACCCTAACCCCTAACCCTAACCCCTAACCCTAACCCCTAACCCCTAACCCCTAACCCCTGTTTTAATTTGCACCATGGATCAGGCGGCCAAGTGTAGCCTGATGGCGAAAAGCTGTTTGGCTCAGCCAAAGATTATCTCAGCTCATTCACGACTCGCGAAGAGGAAGAACTTTGCAGGTGTTTCTGATTAGCCATGCTGGTGGGTGATAACATTCAAATAAAACCCAGCCCTGAAAAGAAAAGTAGACCAAAAAGTATTACCATGTCATATCATAGGGGAAACACACAGCATTGGCACTGAAAACATACAAAGTTACTACTACACTGGCTTGCGAAAGTATTCACCCCCCTTGGCATTTTCCCTATTTTGTTGCCTTACAACCTGGAATTAAAATGGATTTTGGGGGGGGTTGTATCATTTGATTTACACAACATGCCTACCACTTTGAAGATGCAAAATATTTTTTCTTGTGAAACAAACAAGAAATAAGACAAAAAAACAGAAAACTTGAGCGTGCATAACTATTCACCCCCCCAAAGTCAATACTTTGTAGAGCCACCTTTTGCAGCAATTACAGCTGCAAGTCTCTTGGGGTATGTCTCTATAAGCTTGGCACATCTAGCCACTGTGATTTTTGCCCATTCTTCAAGGCAAAACTGCTCCAGCTCCTTCAAGTTGGATGGATTCCGCTGGTGTACAGCAATCTTTAAGTCATACTACAGATTCTCAATTGGATTGAGGTCTGGGCTTTGACAAGGCCATTCCAAGACATTTAAATGTTTCCCCTTAAACCACTCGAGTGTTGCTTTAGCAGTATGCTTAGGGTCATTGTCCTGCTGGAAGGTGAACCTCCGTCCCAGTCTCAAATCTCTGGAAGACTGAAACAGGTTTACCTCAAGAATTTCCCTGTATTTAGCGCCATCCATCATTCCTTCAATTCTGACCAGTTTCCCAGTCCCTGCCGTTGAAAAACATCCCCACAGCATGATGCTGCCACCACCATGCTTCACTGTGGGGATGGTGTTCTCGGGGTGATGAGAGGTATTGGGTTTGCGCCAGACATAGCATTTTCCTTGATGGCCAAAAAGCTCAATTTTAGTCTTATCTGACCAGAGTACCTTCTTCCATTTATTTGGGGAGTCTCCCACATGCCTTTTGGCGAACACCAAACGTGTTTGCTTCTTTTTTTCTTTAAGCAATGGCTTTTTTTCTGGCCACTCTTCCGTAAAGCCCAGCTCTGTGGAGTGTATGGCTTAAAGTGGTCCTATGGACAGATACTCCAATCTCCGCTGTGGAGGGTTGCAGCTCCTTCAGGGTTATCTTTGGTCTCTTTGTTGCCTCTCTGATTAATGCCCTCCTTGCCTGGTCCGTGAGTTTTGGTGGGCGGCCCTCTCTTGGCAGGTTTGTTGTGGTGCCATATTCTTTCAATTTTTTAATAATGGATTTAATGGTGCTCCGTGGGATGTTCAAAGTTTCTGATATTTTTTTATAACCCCAACCCTGATCTGTACTTACATTTTTACATTTTAGTCATTTAGCAGACACTCTTATCCAGAGCGACTTACAGTTAGTGAGTGCATACATTTTTCATACTTCTCCACAACTTTGTCCCTGACATGTTTGGAGAGCTCCTTGGTCTTCATGGTGCCGCTTTCTTGGTGGTGCCCCTTGCTTAGTGGTGTTGCAGACTCTGGGGCCTTTCAGAACAGGTGTATATATACTGAGATCATGTGACAGATCATGTGACACTTAGATTGCACACAGGTGGACTTTATTTAACTAATTATGTGACTTCTGAAGGTAATTGGTTGCACCAGATCTTATTTAGGGGCTTCATAGCAAAGGTGGTGAATACATATGCACGCACCACTTTTCCGTTATTTATTTTTTAGAATTTTCTGAAACAAGTTATTTTTTTTCATTTCACTTCACCAATTTGGACTATTTTGTGTATGTCCATTACATGAAATCCAAATAAAAATCCATTTAAATTACAGGTTGTAATGCAACAAAATAGGAAAAACGCCAAGGGGGATGAATACTCTTGCTAGGCACTGTTTATCATACTTTGACTAAAACAATGACTTCTTCACTTAAATCATTGTGCATCATCATGGGCATTGTTTTTCAGCTGAAAAAAATTGAATTTCCGTGCTTCTGGGCGTTTAAAACTGCTAAGATGTCTTTCCACCCCAAGGCAAAATGGGTCGAATTGCAGGACATTTTCTGTAAAACTGCAAATTTATTCTCTCTGCCCCATGACAAAATTTGTAAAGTCGCATTAAATTTGTTATAAAATTTCTAAAAGAATCTCTCCGCCCAATGGCAAAATGTGTACAATTGCAGGAAATGAACTTTGAAACTTAAACGTTTCTCTCCGCCGTCAAGAGAGGGGTCACTAAAATGTTTTGCTGTGAGATGTGGGGCCCCCCAACCAAATCTCACTTAGGCCCCTAAAAGGCTAGAGCTGGCCCTGCCTGCAGAACTAGAGCTGCCTAAACCCAGCTGTCTCTGTGCCCATGTACCAAAACATGTGCTATGAATCAGGTTGATAGGGCAGTCTACCATGAGGTGCGTGTACTGTCTACCAGTGAGTGAGTCTTAGCCCAGTGTAGGCACTGAGTCTGTTACTGTAATGCCCATTCTACAGCCTCCAGGCCATGGTATTGTAATGCCTATTCTACAGCCTCCAGACCATGGTATTGTAATGCCTATTCTACAGCCTCCAGACCATGGTATTGTGATGCTATTCTACAGCCTCCAGACCATGGTATTGTAATGCCTATTCTACAGCCTCCAGACCATGGTATTGTGATGCTATTCTACAGCCTCCAGACCATGGTATTGTAATGCCTATTCTACAGCCTCCAGACCATGGTATTGTAATGCCCATTCTACAGCCTCCAGACCATGGTATTGTAATGCCTATTCTACAGCCTCCAGACCATGGTATTGTAATGCCCATTCTACAGCCTCCAGACCATGGTATTGTAATGCCCATTCTACAGCCTCCAGACCATGGTATTGTGATGCTATTCTACAGCCTCCAGACCATGGTATTGTAATGCCCATTCTACAGCCTCCAGACCATGGTATTGTGATGCTATTCTACAGCCTCCAGACCATGGTATTGTGATGCTATTCTACAGCCTCCAGACCATGGTATTGTAATGCCTATTCTACTGCCTCCAGACCATGGTATTGTAATGTCTACACTCCTAAAAAGAAAGGTGCTATCTAGAACCAAAAATGGTTCTTCACTTGTCTCCATATGAGAACCCTTTGAAGAACCCCTTTTGGTTCCAGGTAGAACCCGCTGTGGAAAGGGTTCTACATGGAACCCAAAATAGTTCTACCTGGAACCAAAAAGGGTTCTCATATGGGGACAGACACAGAACACTTTTGGAATCCTTTTTTTCTAAGAGTGTAATCTACTGCCTCCAGGCCATATACAGTCAGTACGTTAGCCCCCTTGTGGCATACATGGGCAAACAATCTCTTAACCTAAGTCTAACAGTCTCACAAGTCAGATAATTATTTCAGAAATATCACATTTATGTGATAGACTGGAAATGAAAACCAAGTCTGGCAATGGTACTCACTGAAAGTGAGAGCATGTCCTCATCTGACCCTTATACACATACTGTATAAATAAACTGTTCGTGTTGCAACATTTCTGAAACATTCCCAAATTTCCCAGAATCAGGATAGAATAAACAGGGATGGAATCCTCCAACCGGGATATCTGGAAAACGTGGGTATTTTGGGAAAGTTTCATTCAATTTGCTACCTTAATCCTGAGGGGGACTTACTGCGGCAGCGTCCGTGGTACTGGACCTCCAGGTCGGGATGGTTCCTGCAGCGGGCCCTGAGCATGGTACACTCATCCTTGTAGGATCTTCCATCCGACCCACAGACGGACCCCCTTCTTGTGACTTTGGAGCAGTCTGGAGCACACACACACCTGGGCTTGTTCCTCTTGTTCATCTTGCATCTCTTCCCAGGACCGCAGTTAACGCTGTCGCATGTTTCTGGGATGAATGGATGGTTAGATGGATGCATGGATGGATGGATGGATGGATGGATGGATGGATGGATGGATGGATGGATGGATGGATGGATGGATGGATGGATGGATGGATGGATGGGTGGGTGGGTGGATCAGTGGATGGATTCATTGAGGAACCAATCAAGTCATCATACATATTGGATATGATATAAGGCCAAATGCCTTTATCAAAACCCATTATAGCAGGATACTATGTGGAGAGTAATTCTAGTTAATTAACATATTACATGCCATACACATGATAACATGTTGGAGTTTTTTGTAAGAAGTTCCACCAGGTTTTAGAATAATGTTGCACCACTTGAAGTAATGATATTGATCATCACTCACCTTTACATGGTATGCAATTAGGCGCGCCTCCATTGAAGATCATCCATCGGAATAGCGTGCTGTTGGGCACATCTTCCTCGGTCCATGCGGTGCCCAGACGGCCACTCCGGCAGCAGTCCTCCCGGGTCATCCCGGACATGTAGAGCACCTGGCACCGGCCGTTCTTTCCCTGCTGCAACCAGCAGTTACCGGCTGGAGAGAGACGGTCGATGTCCAATTAAAGTCTCAAATGAGCTTCGCGCACGCGTATAACGGAATAGTATTGCCTTATCTGAGCATGCTACATCTTAAACAATACCAACTTTTCCCCTATAGCACCCTAGTATATCCATTTCTACTTTTTTTGTTTCGAGCAAAGTTCTACAATACAGGCTATGACAAATGTGTCTGATTGCGTAAAGACCAATAAATCCCAGCGCATCGGGATTTCACCAGAGGACGCACCGGAGGAGCCGCGCGTATTCACTCCTCCTTGGGACCCACCAGTCCATCTGTCTCAGGCTATCAGCTCAGCTTGTAGGAGAATGACCCACTTGTAAAGGTATAGGACGTCACACTGACTAATCTCCGACCATATTATGCAATAAAGCTTGTACATATCGTTTACAAATTGGTCATAGATTTTCTTTCAGACTATGCCTACCCATGCATAATTGTATGATTGATCGGATGTTTTGATGAACTCCATTTAGACACAATCCCCAATCATTCCAGTCAAATATGAGCACACACCCCACACAATAACCCATATTTTCTTATGAGGTATTTGGAAGATAAATTTACTGATCTAGCTTGGCTGATGTTTCAATGTCGCCTACAACTTGACCTTAAAAAGTTATGCCATCCTCACTCAACAAGACAACTGGTCACATAATCAATCATAGCATACTCACCCTGGACTTTGTGGTCCTCCATAAAGTGAGTGAACCACATGAAAAGCGCAATCACGCCTTGACGGAGCTGCGGTGTTTGTAGCATCCTAAACATGGGAACGGATCGCGGACTGGCGCGAGCGACTGCAGACCTGACGCGCAGCGGAGAAGTTGTGTCCCTGCGCACGCGATGCAAAGCTCAGTGAGTGACTGTCAAACTGTCTGACTCCGTCTCTCTTTTTAAATCTTTAAGGGGTGTCTTCTAGCTAAATATCTGTAGTGGGCGGTCTTCAAATTGATGGGAGGGGTGGAGAGAGTTTTTTAAAATATATAGTTCCCCCTTCATCAGGTCCTGAAGAGTAACTCTAGACTCTAAAGAGTTTCTCAATAGTGAGCGTGCATTAAAGGATTTTAAAGAATGGTTTGGCAGGAGTACTGACGACGGTGGTGCGTAAAGAGATTGTCAAGACCACAATGTTGACCAGAGGGCATTAAACACACACCTTTAATTCAGATTAACAATTGTACCTCTGTCATTAACTGTACAGCTACTGAAACAACATGGTTTATGTTTCACAGCTCATTTGCTGTTGTTTGATCAAGTATTTTTTTTGGCGTAAAATGTCATAACAGCTGTTTTGAGATGTCATTCAAAGTTAATATGATGCTAAAAAATATTCGTTATCAGAATTTTTCGCAATAAATAAAAATACAATAGGAGTAAATATATATTATGATTTTTTTTTTTTACAGTGGGCTAGTACGCCCACCGGCCACGCCTAGCACATGGCCTCAGTTCCAGTTTTGATTAGTGCTCCATTGCTGTGGATAGATAGCCTATAGCAAATGATAATAATAGCCACAGGAATACAACCATTCCAATAATAGATTGGTCAGTTGTTTGGCCCTCGTTCTCTGGGGTCAAACATATACATGTAGGCTGTCCAATCCCGTCTCCAAAGAGGCTTTTAAAGATAAACGTATCCATTAGCCAACGCTTAGCCGCTGAGCAGCCTTAGTGTGGAAAGCTTCCCCCATATGTCACAACGCGTTAACAGGTGGCGTTTCACATGTGCCACCGCTTGACAGGTAGACTAGACCTACTGTTGCGTCCTCAACTAGTGTATGACGGCTCTGCTTTCAAAGGGTGATATCGTGCGCCCTCCATCGGTAGACATTTAGAACTGCATCTCACTTGGTCCAATTTCTTAGTGCTGGTGCCAATATGTGCCAAGGGGCGCCAAGAGAGCAATGATTTTGTGATAGTTGAAATTATCGAATCGAATGACCTAACCTCTAATAATCAGTTAAATGGTTAAATTGACATTTCTAACCTTTTGCAACCGATACATATTAGGCATAGTTTATATAGTCTAAACCTCAAATAGCAACACCACAGAGACAGAATAAGTAGCCAGCATGGCATATCAGCTGTGCATGATAGAGGGGAAAATGTGGTGTCAGATTTTCTTTATGGCATAATTTCGATTTATTTGGGTCTAGCCTACATGTGTTATGGTGACATCTGGTGGTCTGTCTTTAGAATAATATTGGCGTGAATGTGTACGCCTCCTATTTCCTGCCTACTAGTCAGCTGACTGCGAGGAGGAGCGGAGTGGGGAAGTAAATACACAAGGTCCAGGGTCAGGCAGTAGTAACATAGTAGCCTACATTCATTTGATCAATGTTGCGGATACAACTTCATTCATGACTACCGAAGTAAGCGCAATAGGCTGTTTAATAGTGTTTATTTGCCAGGCTATTTGAAACCAGTATTTGCAGAACTCTCCAACATGACAGTGACAGCTCAAGGTTTATCTGAATTGTTTGTGTCTCTCTGTCATGAGTGGGACTACAATTAATTAGTGTCTTAATGTCTTTACGTTTATAATAGGTGTCAGTGTTGTATTTCGCCAAAAGTGCTGAGTTGACGGGACTCAAATCAGAGACGATCAGGGTCCCTTCAGAACTGACGACCCGAGACGATCAGAGTCCCTTCAGAACTATCTATCTCCACCAATTTCAGTTTGACTTATTTTAGCTTCCTCAACCCTCATTCCTGACACAGAGATGTCTGAAAAAGCTGACCCATGACAAGCTCTCTGTGGACGCAGTGTCAGACTCTGTCACCTCCCCCTCCTGTGGCGCTATTTCTATCTTCATAGGTGAGGACTTTACACAGAACTCATCAATATATACAGTACCAGTCAAAAGTTTGGACACACATACTCATTCCAGGGTTTTTCTTTATTTTTACTATTTTCTACATTGTAGAATATTAACTATGAAATAACACATATGGAATCATGTAATAACCAAAAAAGTGTTAAACAAATCAAAATATATTTTATATTTGAGAATCTTCAAAGTAGCCACCCTTTGCCTTGATGACAGCTTTGCACACGCTTGGCGTTCTCTCAACCAGCTTCATGAGGTAATCACCTGGAATGCATTTCAATTAACAGGTGTGCCTTGTTAAAAGTTAATTTGTGGAATTTCTTTCCTTCTTAATGCGTTTGAGCCAATCAATTGTGTTGTGACAAGGTAGGGGGTGTATACAGAAGATAGCCCTATTTGGTAAAAGACCAAATCCATATTATGGCAAGAACAGCTCAAATAAGCAAAGAGAAACGACAGTCCATCATTACTTTAAGACATGAAGGTCAGTCAATCTGGAAAATTTCAAGAACTTTGAAAGTTTCTTCAAGTGCAGTCGCAATAACCATCAAGCGCTATGATGAAACTGGCTCTCATGAGGACCGCCACAGGAAAGGAAGACCCAGAGTCACCTCTGCTGCAGAGGATAAGTTCATTAGAGTTACCAGCCTAGAGTTCAAGTAACAGACACATCTCAACATCAACTGTTCAGAGGAGACTGTGTGAATCAGGCCTTAATGGACAAATTGCTGCAAAGAAACCACTACTAAAGGACACCAATAAGAAGAAGAGACTTGCTTGGGCCAAGAAACACGAGCAATGGACATTAGACCGGTGGAAATTTGTCCTTTGGTTTGATGAGTCCAAATTTGAGATTTTTGAGACTCACTTTGTGAGACGCAGAGTAAGTGAACAGATGATCTCCACATATGTAGTTCCCACCATGAAGCATGGAGGAGGAGGTGTGATGGTGTGGGGGTGCTTTGCGGGTGACACTGTCAGTGATTTATTTAGAATTCAAGGCACACTTAACTAGCATGGCTACCACAGCATTCTGCATTGATATGCCATCCCATCTGGTTTGCGCTTAGTGGGACTATCATTTGTTTTTCAACAGGACAATGACCCAACACACCTCCAGGCTGTGTAAGGGCTATTTGACCAAGAAGGAGAGTGATGGAGTGCTGCATCAGATGACCTGGCCTCCACAATCACCCGACCTGAACCCAATTGTGATGGTTTGGGATGAGTTGGACCGCAGAGTGAAGGAAAAGCAGCCAACAAGTGCTCAGCATATGTGGTAACTCCTTCAAGACTGTTGGAAAAGCATTCCAGGTGAAGCTGGTGGAGAGAATGCCAAGAGTGTGCAAAGCTGTAATCAAGGCAAAGGGTGGCTACTTTGAAGAATCTAAAATCTAAAATATTTTTTGGTTACGACATGATTCCATATGTGTTATTTCATAGTTTTGATGTCTTTACTATTATTATTCAATGTAGAAAATAGTAAAAATAAAGAAAAAACCCTTGAATGAGTAGGTGTGTCCAAACTTTTGACTGGTACTGTAGCTGAGTATGGACTTTACACAGATCTCATCTTCATCGGTGAGTAGGGACTTTACACAGCTCTGCTCAACTACTTCGATGTCAACTGTTTTATCAGAGCACACCTGTTTACACTGAAGGCTTGTGTTAGGCTTTAGCTCAGCAGGCTTATACAGTCAGTCTCGTGGCACACAATAGACCCTGGTTGGAAGTTTGAACCCAGTCGCTCACACATGTTCAGTCAAAGGCAAGCTGAGGCCAGGATGTCTGTGATGGTGATTAATGGATTATTTCAGCGAGGACAAGGAACAATTTTGAGGGGAAGAAGATGGTGCAGCTGGAGTATGAAGCCTACGTCTCCATGGCCCAATCAGAACTCAGGAAGATCTACACAGACATCAGGGCAAGGTGACCCACTGTCAGGCACATCTTCACACAACTCTCCCTGTCACATTCCTGGTAAACTAACTAACTAACTAACTAACTAATTAACTAACTAACTAACTAACTAACTAACTAACTAATAACAGTGTTTTAACTCTGAGACAGTAACTCTGTTACTATGTGAGACTCTATGAGTGGGGAACTGTAACTCTATGAGAACTGTAACTCTATGGGTGGGGAACTGTAACTCTATGAGAACTGTAACTCTATGAGAACTGTAACTCTATGAGAACTGTAACTCTATGGGTGGGGAACTGTAACTCTATGAGAACTGTAACTCTATGAGAACTGTAACTCTATGAGGACTGTAACTCTATGAGAACTGTAACTCTATGAGAACTGTAACTCTATGGGTGGGGAACTGTAACTCTATGAGAACTGTAACTCTATGGGTGGGGAACTGTAACTCTATGGGTGGGGAACTGTAACTCTATGGGTGGGGAACTGTAACTCTATGGGTGGGGAACTGTAACTCTATGAGAACTGTAACTCTATGAGAACTGTAACTCTATGAGAACTGTAACTCTATGAGAACTGTAACTCTATGAGTGGGGAACTGTAACTCTATGGGTGGGGAACTGTAACTCTATGGGTGGGGAACTGTAACTCTATGAGAACTGTAACTCTATAAGAACTGTAACTCTATGAGAACTGTAACTCTATGAGAACTGTAACTCTATGGGTGGGGAACTGTAACTCTATGAGAACTGTAACTCTACGAGAACTGTAACTCTATGAGGACTGTAACTCTATGGGTGGGGAACTGTAACTCTATGGGTGGGGAACTGTAACTCTATGAGAACTGTAACTCTATGGGTGGGGAACTGTAACTCTATGAGAACTGTAACTCTATGAGAACTGTAACTCTATGAGGACTGTAACTCTATGAGAACTGTAACTCTATGAGAACTGTAACTCTATGAGAACTGTAACTCTATGGGTGGGGAACTGTAACTCTATGAGAACTGTAACTCTATGAGAACTGTAACTCTATGAGAACTGTAACTCTATGGGTGGGGAACTGTAACTCTATGAGAACTGTAACTCTATGAGAACTGTAACTCTATGAGAACTGTAACTCTATGAGAACTGTAACTCTATGGGTGGGGAACTGTAACTCTATGAGAACTGTAACTCTATGAGAACTGTAACTCTATGGGTGGGGAACTGTAACTCTATGAGAACTGTAACTCTATGAGAACTGTAACTCTATGAGAACTGTAACTCTATGAGAACTGTAACTCTATGGGTGGGGAACTGTAACTCTATGAGAACTGTAACTCTATGAGAACTGTAACTCTATGAGAACTGTAACTCTATGAGAACTATAACTCTATGGGTGGGGAACTGTAACTCTATGAGAACTGTAACTCTATGGGAACTGTAACTCTATGAGAGACTGCTACAAGACTAAGTTTCTTCTTCTGTTTTCCAGACTGGTGCCTGTGACTGAGGCCAGTGTGATCATCAGCATCTCATCTCCTCACCGAGGGGATTCTCTGGAGGCAGTGCAATTCTGTATAGACACCCTGAAAGCCACCGTGCACATATGGAAGAAGGTCAAAATACCCTGATCATGTAGTTACAGACAGATAAGCAAAATAGGTTGCTTATAATATGTAATAATAATATATGCCATTTAGCAGAGCTTTTATCCAAATGCGACTTAGTCATTCGTGCATACGTTTTAAGTATTGGTGGTCCCGGGAATCAAACCCACTATCCTGGCATAGCAAGCGCCATGCTTTACCAGCTGAGCTACAGATGACCAGTTATTGTTGTTACGGAAATGCTATACGTGTTAATATAATGTTGCTACACAGGTATAAGAGCAACTTAATGTATGTATGGTGTAGTTAGTACAATGCTGTCCACAAGGCATAGGGTATTCATTAAGTAAGAGTTGTGTGAACTTCCACAGTGAAACTAATCATTGTCAAGTGACAGTCACACGGCTCCAGAGCCTGTCTGAAGCCTGTCTGACACAGTTTAAATTAGTGCATTATGCTGCGTTCAAAACCAAGTGATAAGGTGGTATTCACCACATAGCACTGGGAAAAAGCCAATTGAACGCCCCTCCAACTGGTCATTTCTAGTGGGCAACTTCTATCATCCTGATCACAGACTTCTCCTACATGCTGACCTCTGATGGGACCTACTAAGGAAATTACCTCTATAACAGCATTTTCGGCAGTTAAATGTAACAACAACACATTAGTCATAAAAAGCAATCTATTAATATGGTTTTTGAACACTATAATTTGTTTAAAAGCATGATAGCTGTAGTTTAAGGTTGACACAGCTTGTTGGCCATTAGCCAATCAGTGTTTCTCAATGAGTTCAAAGCGCATGAATGCATCCAACTGCTATTTACGAATTCACAACTGGTAATTACCACCTTCCACTTGGTTATGAACGCAGCATTAGTTCCACAGGAAGCTAATACTGGGGGATGTTTTCTGTCTTTGGTAGGAGGTGTATGAAGCTGACAAGTCCTGTTGGAAGAGAACAAGGAGTGCCAGTGGACAGGACAGAGTTGACCTCTGACCTCATCTAGGAGCTTTTCTATGCCAAATATTAGGTCACACACTGTACCAGTATATCTAAAGCTGTCCCTAATGATACAAAAATGAAGTCAGTCACACCTTTATGTACGTAAAGTCTTTATGAAATAAAATTCAACATCAACATATTTACAACACTTTGAAAATCAACGTTTCAATGAACACAATAACGTTGTAATAAAAAAAATGAATGCTAGAAAATCGTAATGAAAGATGTGGTATGTACCCTTTGAAAGTACACCTGGAAAAATATCAGTGCAAAAATGTATCTCATAAACATTCTCTCAGAGAGTTGAGTCTTTGCTACTGTCTGTATCCTATAATGAATGAGTTGCTGTTGTTTCTCTCAATCATGATACAGCAGCTGTACAAAATAAACAGATTAACCAGTAAGTGCTTCTAATATTGCATTTTCACTGTCTCTATGAAGGGAATAAGTAAAACACTTTTTTAAGTGTTACGTTTAATCTATTGCTAATACAGTATTTTAATGATACATATTTAATATAGAAATCACACAATAAATATACTCATTTTCTACACATTCAATAACGCTGCCTTTCTCTGATTTAATATCACAACATTTTTACAAAAGGTACAATAAATCCATTTTTACATGATTCTGATTTGAATACAGTGTATATTCTAAAGACAGTGTCTTCACAGTGCTTCACAAGACAGTTGTATGGCTGGGGTAATTATACAGTGTTGTCGCTGTAAAACAGTGACTGAGATACTCAAAGCCAGGAAGTGCATCAGTGAAAGTAGAAAAGATGGGTTGTGAAGGTTCCGTTATTATTTTGATCTTCAAGTAAATTTGTCTTTCACTAATAGATAAGGATGCCTCGGCATCAACATAATGTCAAACCCCTCCCACTGCAGTGTAAAGCACCGAGAATGTCATATGATAACATGCTGACTGTCCATAATCTCTTATGTGTAAACTATTGTCCATATCCATTTGAAAGGCTATTTACAGTATACTACTGTGCTTTTCAGCAATTGATATCAATAACATCAATTGACATGACAAATTACTATACACAAGCTTATTACTCAACAATAGGCCTTTGACTTAAAAGCAACAATTCCGTGAACGTATATAAAAAGGAATACCAGTACTGAAATATGAATTCAGACAGTAAAAATGCACTGTAGACGAATGACTTTCCTATGGAGGATCCAAGATGGCCTACATAACGGGTTCTTCGTTTGGATGTGTTTGGTGGTTAGAGAATCATGTTACCTCCACTAATAAAATCTGTTGTCTCTTTGGTCCTGAGTCACACTTCTACCCCAATCCCAACACACTCTCTAAAACGCTCAAACAATGTGTTTCTGTTCATTTCAAGCAATCATTCTCTCCACAACCCAAACAATGTTTGACAGCCCCTTCCACTAACAAGCCATTGGTTCAATATGTATGTACAATTCATGCTTGTTCAGTTTGTGTGTGGTTATGGTTGTGGTCTTTGGCCATTGTGCTCTCAGTCTGTTGACACATTGTGGTTTCTAAGATGGGTTCTTTCCTGCGCCTGGTTCTCACGCTGCTGCATTCTCCTGCAGACCCTCGGTCTCCGCCTGGTCTTCATCAGTGTTCTTCATCAGCTGCTGGTACTTTCTCCTGAAGAAGCCAAACTGGGGGGAGAGAAAGAGAGAGACGGAGTGAGAGAGAAAGAAAGAGAGAGAGACAGAGGGAGAGAAAGGCACACAAACATAAGACGTGGCGTAAGAGATGACATAAGAGTATTTCATGTTTCATGTTTTTAATGTCACATGCACCAGTACAGTGAAATGCCTTTCTTGCAAGCTCCAAACCCAACAATGCAGTAATCAATATCAATGTAACACTAAAAATAACAAGGTAGAACAAAAACACACAATAAGAAATAAGAAGAACACGATAAAGTAAGAAGCTACGGTGCCCTCCGTAATTATTGGGACAGTGAAGCATTTTTTATTTTGGCTCTTTACTTCAAAAGTTTGGATTTGAAATCAAACAATGACCATGAGGTTAAAATTCAGACTGTCAGCTTATACACTGCTCAAAAAAATAAAAAGGGAACACTTAAACAACACAATGTAACTCCAAGTCAATCACACTTCTGTGAAATCAAACTGTCCACTTAGGAAGCAACACTGATTGACAATACATTTCACATGCTGTTGTGCAAATGGAATAGACAACAGGTGGAAATTATAGGCAATTAGCAAGACACCCCCAATAAAGAAGTGGTTCTGCAGGTGGTGACCACAGACCACTTCTCAGTTCCTATGCTTCCTGGCTGATGTTTTGGTCACTTTTGAATGCTGGCGGTGCTTTCACTCTAGTGGTAGCATGAGACGGAGTCTACAACCCACACAAGTGGCTCAGGTAGTGCAGCTCATCCAGGATGGCACATCAATGCGAGCTGTGGCAAGAAGGTTTGCTGTGTCTGTCAGCGTAGTGTCCAGAGCATGGAGGCGCTACCAGGAGACAGGCCAGTACATCAGGAGACGTGGAGAAGGCCGTAGGAGGGCAACAACCCAGCAGCAGGACCGCTACCTCCGCCTTTGTGCAAGGAGGAGCAGGAGGAGCACTGCCAGAGCCCTGCAAAATGACCTCCAGCAGGCCACAAATGTGCATGTGTCTGCTCAAACGGTCAGAAACAGACTCCACGAGGGTGGTATGAGGGCCCGACGTCCACAGGTGGGGGTTGTCCTTACAGCCCAACACCGTGCAGGACGTTTGGCATTTGCCAGAGAACACCAAGATTGGCAAATTCGCCACTGGCGCCCTGTGCTCTTCACAGATGAAAGCAGGTTCACACTGAGCACATGTGACAGACGTGACAGTCTGGAGACGCCGTGGAGAACGTTCTGCTGCCTGCAACATCCTCCAGCATGACCGGTTTGGCGGTGGGTCAGTCATGGTGTGGGGTGGCATTTCTTTGGGGGGCCGCACAGCCCTCCATGTGCTCGCCAGAGGTAGCCTGACTGCCATTAGGTACCGAGATGAGATCCTCAGACCCCTTCTGAGACCATATGCTGGTGCGGTTGGCCCTGGGTTCCTCCTAATGCAAGACAATGCTAGACCTCATGTGGCTGGAGTGTGTCAGCAGTTTCTGCAAGAGGAAGGCATTGATGCTATGGACTGGCCCGCCCGTTCCCCAGACCTGAATCCAATTGAGCACATCTGGGACATCATGTCTCGCTCCATCCACCAACGCCACATTGCACCACAGACTGTCCAGGAGTTGGTGGATGCTTTAGTCCAGGTCTGGGAGGAGATCCCTCAGGAGACCATCCGCCACCTCATCAGGAGCATGCCCAGGCGTCGTAGGGAGGTCATACAGGCACGTGGAGGCCACACACACTACTGAGCCTCATTTTGACTTGTTTTAAGGACATTACATCAAAGTTGGATCAGCCTGTAGAGTGGTTTTCCACTTTAATTTTGAGGGTGACTCCAAATCCAGACCTCCATGGGGTGATACATTTGATTTCCATTGATAATTTTTGTGTGATTTTGTTGTCAGCACATTCAACTATGTAAAGAAAAAAGTATTTAATAAGATTATTTCATTCATTCAGATCTAGGATGTGTTGTTTAAGTGTTCCCTTAATTTTTTTGAGCAGTGTATTTGTGAGTCTGTAACTTTCTCACTCATCATTATTCATGATTCATTCCGGATTATCTGTAATCATGGTAGCATCCACATTCATGTAGAGGTGTTTAGAAACATATTCTATTCTTATTTAAAATAAAAGTGACTCCAAAATGACACAATACATTATTTACCATTCATTTCTATTGGGCACAAAATAATCTGAAACACAACCAAAACAAACAGCAAATGCAAGCTTGATGTAGTCATTCCGTGCTATGAATATGGGACCAAATACTTTGTACTACTTTAATACACATATAAGTGAATTAGTCCCAATACTTTTGCTCTCCTAAAATGGGGAGACTATGTACAAAAAGTGCTGTGATTTCTAAACGGTTCACCCCATATGGATGAAAATACCTTCAAATTAAAGCTGACAGTCTGTACTCAAATCCAAACCTTTGTAGTATAGAGCCAAAAGAAGAAAAAATGTTTCACTGTCCCAATAACTACGGAGGGCATTGTATATACAGGGTCAGTTCCAATACCATATTTACAATGTGGAGGGATACTGGAGTGAGAGAGGTAAGGACAGCTGGTCTTGGTAGGATAGCTCAGAGCATCTGCTGTTTTTTAGTAGTTCAGTATAAGAGAGTTTTACAGCCATAAAGTACAAAAGACTGGCACATACCTTCCAAAGCAGGCCAATGCTGAGAGCCAATAGAAGCAGGCCTCCAATCACACTGCCCACAATAATGCCTACAGGCACCTCTCCTTTCACCCCTGGTTTACTGATGGTGACGCCAACCTGCAGACATGACAGGAGACAAAGGACAGGGTCAGGAGACAGGGGTCAGGAGACAGGGTCAGGGGACAAGGGTCAGGAGACAGGGTCAGGGGTCAGGAGACAGGGGTCAGGAGACAGGGGTCAGGAGACAGGGGACAGGGGTCAGGAGACAGGAGACAGGGGTCAGGAGACAGGAGACAAAGGACAGGGGTCAGGAGACAGAGGACAGGGGTCAGGAGACAGAGGACAGGGGTCAGGAGACAGAGGACAGGGGTCAGGAGACAGGGGACAGGGGACAGGGGACAGGGGTCAGGAGACAGGGGTCAGGGGTCAGGAGACAGGGGTCAGGAGACAGGGGTCAGGAGACAGGAGTCAGGAGACAGGGGTCAGGAGACAGGGGACAGGGTCAGGAGACAGGAGACAGGGGTCAGGAGACAGGGGTCAGGGGTCAGGAGACAGGGGTCAGGAGACAGGGGTCAGGAGACAGGAGACAGGGGTCAGGAGACAGAGGACAGGGGTCAGGAGACAGAGGACAGGGGTCAGGAGACAGAGGACAGGGGTCAGGAGACAGGGGACAGGGGTCAGGAGACAGGGGACAGGGTCAGGAGACAGGAGACAGAGGACAGGGGTCAGGAGACAGAGGACAGGGGTCAGGAGACAGGGGACAGGGGTCAGGAGACAGAGGACAGGGGTCAGGAGACAGAGGACAGGGGTCAGGAGACAGGGGTCAGGAGACAGGGGTCAGGAGACAGGGGACAGGGTCAGGAGACAGGGGTCAGGAGACAGGGGTCAGGAGACAGGGGTCAGGAGACAGGGTCAGGAGACAGGAGACAGGAGACAGGGTCAGGAGACAGGGGACAGGGGTCAGGAGACAGGGGACAGGGGTCAGGAGACAGGCAATGCAAGGAGTGTAGCTAGCTGTTAATATGCTGTTCATCTAAGATTCAGGAGAGGACAGCGTAGACACATTCAACTTGTACAAATCAACAAACAAGGCATGTTTTTTTCAGCGTCTCTCTGCCTGGATATCAGAGATATGACATTAAGGTGTATTGAAAAGTATTTAAAGTATTTGTCCAGTACCGTCAGGTGCTTGTGAGAGATAACCAGCAGTTCAGGTTGGGAAGGCTCTATCTCTGTGCTCACAGTCAGCACGGTAGACTGGAATGAGGACTGCTCAGAAACAACACAATAGGAGGATTAATGAGGTAATGACTGGACACCATTAAAGACGAGAAGCAAGCATGTAGATGATGAGGAACAGATGAATGTGTCTATCTATACTTACAGCAGCAAAGGTACCGTTCCATATCCGTGTGGTCACGTTCACAAAGAAATCGCTCATCAACTCCATGTCTTTCAGGACACATTTCATAGGTTGGCACTTGGCTGTCTTACAGTTCTGGAAGAATCAGAAAACAATAGATGGGTCATTCCTACCATGTGGAGCCTTTTCTGTCCTCAGGAAACATCACTTCTTATTTAGTGTATAATGTGGATTCCAAAAGGCTTTAAATATAAGGTCAGGTGTCCTTTACCTTAGAAACACAAAAATATGGATCTTGCAAGGGAATTTGATGCACTTTGAACACTTTGTTTCAGTGGATGTAGGGGGTTTTGCCATGTCCCCGGTGTTATTCATCAACGTCCACAAGAAATATAAGCCTTAAAATAATAACATTTAAAATCTTTCTTCATTATTTTATAGCTCTAGTTAAATTCTCTCTCATCAATAAGTTATTTTTCTCATGATTATTGTATTTATTATTATTTTATTTAAGATGTTCTGTATGTCCCTGACATCACTTCCCACCCTGTTAGTTTGTTGTAATTCTCCATTTAAGAAAACTTTCTAAAATGATCCCACATTCAGGAAGTGTCATAATTTCTTTGGTGGGAAAACAATGGTGCAAAGGTACAGGACATAAATATTAACACTCAGTTGTATCTATTTTTCCATGTTTCATGTTGTGAGTCTGTATGTCCCACTCATACATTTCCACCCTGTTAGGCTAAATCATAGAGAAAATTGACAAAATTCAAAATGTTAAAATTTGTTTGATAGAGAAGTTAAAATCCTGTTCAAGTGTTCAACATTACGCTAGCTCAATCTTGCTCACTCACAGAGCTATGGCACCGACAGACATGGCAGCTCTGCTTCTAGCTCCTAAGCAACTTTGCAGTATTTTGTATTTTTTGTATGTTATTTCTTGGCCATCACTAGCCGGCTACCACCCAGTTACTCAACCCTGCACCTTAGAGGCTGCTGCCTTATGTACATATACATGGAATCACTGGCCACTTTAATAATGGAACACTAGTCACTTTAATAATGTTACATACTGCTTTACTTTAATTGAACAGCGCCGGAAGAAGATGGCTGCCGTTTTACAGCCCTCTAACCAATTGTATGTGTGTTTTTCCGCGTTATTTGTAATTTATTTTGTACATAATGTTTATGCCATCGTCTCTTATAACCAAAGAGAGCTTCTGGATATCAGGACAGCGATTACTCACCTCGCGTTGGACGAACACTTTTTCTTCAACGAGGCGTTCGCGAAGGATATTCTACAGACTCCAGACAAGGCCCAGATCCCCGTCATTCGCGTGAGGAAGAGACGGAGATACCGTGGACGTAGGTCGGGGTGCCTTGTAAAGATCCGACGGCGAACGAGTAAACTGCCTCTCCCATCAATCCTATTAGCCAACGTTCAAGCTTTGGATAATAAAATGGACGATTTAAGATTACGGTTATCCTACCAACGGGACATTAAAAACTGTAATATCTTATGTTTCACGGAGTCGTGGCTGAATGACAACAATGACAACATTCAGCTAGCAGGCTATACGCTACATCGGCAGGACAGAACGGCAGACTCGGGTAAGACGAGGGGTGGCGGTCTCTGTATTTTTGTAAACAACAGCTGGTGCACAAAATCAAATACTAAGGAAGTCTCAAGGTTTTGCTCGCCTGAGGTAGAGTATCTTATGATAAGCTGTAGACCACACTATTTACCAAGAGAGTTTTCATCTATACTTTTCATAGCTGTCTATTTACCACCACAAACCAATGCTGGCATTAAGATTGCACTGAATGAGTTGTACAAGGCCATTAATCAACAGGAAAACGCTCATCCAGATGCAGCGCTCCTAGTAGCAGGGGACTTTAATGCAGGGAAACTTAAATCCGTTCTACCTCATTTCTACCAGCATGTTAAATGTGCAACCAGAGGGGAAAAAACTCTAGACCACCTTTACTCCACACACAGAGACGCATACAAAGCTCTCCCTCGCCCTCCATTTGGCAAATCTGACCATAACTCTATCCTCCTGATTCCTGCTTATAAGCAAAAACTGAAGCAGGAAGCACCAGTGACTCGGCTAATAAAAAAGTGGTCAGATGACGCAGATGCTAAGCTACAGGACTGTTTTGCTAGCACAGACTGGAACATGTTCAGGGATTCTTCAGACAGCATTGAGGAGTACACCACATCAGTCACTGGCTTCATCAATAAGTGCATCGATGATGTCGTCCCCACAGTGACCGTACGTACATACCCCAACCAGAAGCCATGGATTACAGGAAACATCCGCACTGAGCTAAAGGGTAGAGCTGCCGCTTTCAAGGAACGGGACTCTAACCCGGACGCTTATAAGAAATCCCGCTATGACCTCCGACGAACCATCAAACAGGCAAAGAGTCAATACAGGTCTAAGATTGAATCATACTACACTGGCTCTGACGCTCGTCGGATGTGGCAGGGCTTGAAAACTATTACAGACTACAAAGGGAAGCACAGCCGCGAGCTGCCCAGTGACACAAGCCTACCAGACGAGCTAAACCACTTCTATGCTCGCTTCGAGGCAAGCAACACTGAAGCATGCATGAGAGCACCAGCTGTTCCGGACGACTATGTGATCACGCTCTCCGTAGCCGATGTGAGTAAGACTTTTAAGCAGGTCAACATTCACAAGGCCGCAGGGCCAGACGGATTACCAGGACGTGTACTCCGAGCATGTGCTGACCAACTGGCAAGTGTCTTCACTGACATTTTCAACATGTCCCTGACTGAGTCTGTAATACCAACATGTTTCAAGCAGACCACCATAGTCCCCGTGCCCAAGAACTCTAAGATAACCTGCCTAAATGACTACCGACCCGTGGCACTGACGTCTGTAGCCATGAAGTGCTTTGAAAGACTGGTCATGGCTCACATCAACAGCATAATCCCAGAAACCCTAGACCCACTCCAATTTGCATACCGCCCCAACAGATCCACAGATGATGCAATCTCTATCGCACTCCACACTGCCCTTTCCCACCTGGACAAGAGGAACACCTACGTGAGAATGCTATTCATTGACTACAGCTCAGCATTCAACACCATAGTGCCCTCAAAGCTCATCACTAAGCTAAGGATCCTGGGACTAAACACCTCCCTCTGCAACTGGATCCTGGACTTCCTGACGGGCCGCCCCCAGGTGGTAAGGGTAGGTAACAACACATCTGCCACACTGATCCTCAACACGGGGGCCCCTCAGGGGTGCGTGCTCAGTCCCCTCCTGTACTCTCTGTTCACCCATGACTGCATGGCCAGGCACGACTCCAACACCATCATTAAGTTTGCCGACGACACAACAGTGGTAGGCCTGATCACCGACAACGATGAGACAGCCTATAGGGAGGAGGTCAGAGATCTGGCCGTGTGGTGCCAGGACAACAACCTCTCCCTCAACGTGACCAAGACAAAGGAGATGATTGTGGACTACAGGAAAAAAAAGAGGACTGAGCACGCCCCCATTCTCATCGACGGGGCTGTAGTGGAACAGGTTGAGAGCTTCAAGTTCCTTGGTGTCCACATCACCAACGAACTATCATGGTCCAAACACACCAAGACAGTCGTGAAGAGGGCACGACAAAGCCTATTCCCCCTCAGGAGACTAAAAAGATTTGGCATGGGTCCTCAGATCCTCAAAAAATTCTACAGCTGCACCATCGAGAGCATCCTGACTGGTTGCATCACCGCCTGGTATGGCAACTGCTTGGCCTCTGACCGCAAGGCACTACAGAGGGTAGTGCGTACGGCCCAGTACATCACTGGGGCAAAGCTCCCTGCCATCCAGGACCTCTATACCAGGCGGTGTCAGAGGAAGGCCCTCAAAATTGTCAAAGACTCCAGTCACCCTAGTCATAGACTGTTCTCTCTGCTACCGCACGGCAAGCGGTACCGGAGTGCCAAGTCTAGGTCCAAAAGACTTCTCAACAGCTTCTACCCCCAAGCCATAAGACTCCTGAACAGCTAATCATGGCTACCCGGACTATTTGCACTGCCCCCCCACCCCATCCCTTTTACGCTGCTGCTACTCTGTTAAGTATTTATGCATAGTCACTTTAACTCTACCCACATGTACATATTACCTCAACTAGCCGGTGCCCCCGCACATTGACTATGCAACGGTACCCCCCTGTATATATAGCCTCCCTACTGTCACTTTATTCTATTGTATATATAGCCTCCCTACTGTCACTTTATTTTTTACTTCTGCTCTTTTTTTCTCAACACTTTTTTGTTGTTGTTTTATTCTTACTTTTTTGTTTAAAATAAATGCACTGTTGGTTAAGGGCTGTAAGTAAGCATTTCACTGTAATGTCTGCACCTGTTGTATTCGGCGCATGTGACCAATAAAATTTGATTTGATTTGATTTGATTTGATTTACTCATTTCATATGCATTTACTGTATTCTACTGTATTTTAGTCTATGCCACTCCAACATTGCTCATCCTATTATTTTTATATTTCTTAATTCCATTCTTTTACTTTTAGATTTGTGTGTATTGTTGTGAATTGTTAGATACTACTGCACTGTTGGAGCTAGGAACAGAAGCATTTAGCTAAACCCGCAATAACATCTGCTAAATATGTGTATGTGACCAATAACATTTGATTTTGATTTGATATGAATTTGGGCTCCAAATGTTCACACTGTTAGGATTACGCACCTAACAGGTTGGAAAAAGCACCTGAAAAAATAAATAAGTGCCTGAGCTTGACCAATATGTTTTTCAATATGTATTTTTTCTGATTAGTATGCTTTTTTTTTTATATACGTATACTGTTTTTGTCAAAGGTTATGAGTTACAAAAGGCACCATATCGTAGGAATGACCCAGATATGCATTCAGAGATCATTAGATGTAAAACTGTGAATCTATCTTTGTCAGATATGCATTCAGAGGAGATCATTAGATGTAAAAGTTGTCTCTCTGAAATACAAAAAATGCACACACACACACACACACACACACACACACACACACACACACACACACACACACACACACACACACACACACACACACACACACACACACACACACACACACACACCAGCTCCTCTGTGCCCATGAGGTTCTCCTTGGAGAAGGATGGTGTGTAAGGCTTCTCACTGATCTTCAGAGGATTGACGAGGCTGGTTACTTCACAGCTAACATCTCCAGCCTGCGGAACAGCAAGAGGACAACAGTCAATCTGTTTCAAATAGAACTAAGTCCATCAGAAAGGTCCTTCTTGCCAGATTCTCTCCATCAAACCTGGGATTTGAACCAGCAAACCTGGGCCGTGGCTAGTTATTTAGAGACAGGTTGACTGGTTATTTTTACTCACAGGTGCAGTGTTGACTCCTGTCACATACAGTAATGGGTTCCCTCCTGCTGTAGCGCTGGGCAGTGAGACTGTGAGGTAGGCAATATTCACTGGGAAATTCCCTGTAGAAACCTGAACAGAAGAGAAAACACATATAATTGATGCATCACACTTGTCTTACCATTTCTACCACAAGGGGAACTATTTTACCACAGACTGACTGACACAGAATGACTGTGTACCTGTGTGTGCATGATTTCTCACCTTCAGAGAGAATTTTAACTCAGGGCCGATGTCATTGAAAGTATTCACTGTGGTCTTCACCTCATTATCCATGTCAACCACGTAGAAATTTAGATTTGCTTCCCTGGAGAGAGCGATCTCTGAATCATAGTGGACAGGGATGGAGATAGAGGCTTGGTTGTCTGAGGGGTTCACCTCTTTGCTGTCACTGTAATAAGCACATGTAATCAATCAATCAATCAATCAATCAATCATGTAACAGAAGATCCATAGGCCTAAGAGAGATTACTATATGATCAACAAACAAGCAAATTCTGTGTGATCCTACCTTAGAGCTTCAAAGCTCACATCGGCTTCGGTCTGCAGTTGATTCAGGTTGAAGTCAAAGTTGATTACGAATGTCACCTGCAGGGAACAGATGTGTATTGTTTAGAAAACGACAACCCTGGCTGACAGAGAGAGAGACCTACACACACGCCCGTAATTGTTATGTTTGTCGTCAGCCCTTACCTCTTGGTTCTGCCTTAAAGCTGGGTACCCCACCTGGCATGAGAGGCTACGGAACTCTTTGGTGGAGCTGCACTTCACCTCTGTTCCATCACTCTGAAATGAATCACACAATGTTAGGGAATGTTTACTGATAAATATCCAAATAGTCATCCTATAGTGGGTGTCCTCCTAAAAAGCAAAGTGGCTGATGCATACTGGAGGAGTGATGGAGGCGTAGAAGAGGTTTTTTGAGTATGTGGCCATGACTCGGGTGTTGTACGCATTCTCCTTCTTGTTGGTCACAGACACAGTGAAGGACAGCCTCTTGTTCTTAAAGCTGACCAACATCTTAGACGAGCTGCAAAACACAACACTCATTTTACTCAAAACAATACAGAGGTTGTAAGAATGAATGTTAAAATATACCTGCAGTATGTGAGTGGGACTGTTCCAGTGCTGTAGAATGAAGATACTACATTATGATGGGGTGGGACTGTTCCAGTGCTGTAGAATGAAGATACTACATTATGATGGGGTGGGACTGTTCCAGTGCTGTAGAATGAAGATACTACATTATGATGGGGTGGACTGTTCTAGTGCTGTAGAATGAGATACTACATTATGATGGGTGGGACTGTTCAGTGCGTAGAATGAAGATACTAACATTATGATGGGGTGGGACTGTTCTAGTGCTGTAGAATGAGATACTACATTTGATGGGGTGGACTGTTCCAGTGCTGTAGAATGAGATACTACATTTGATGGTGGGACTGTTCTAGTGCTGTAGAATAAGATACTCACATTATGATGGGTGGGACTGTTCTAGTGCTGTAGAATGAAGATACTACATATGATGGGGTGGGACTGTTCAGTGCTGTAGAATGAAGATACTTATGATGGGGTGGGACTGTTCCAGTGCTGTAGAATGAAGATACTACATTATGATGGGGAATCCTTTAACTGTAACACATCTCATGGGTCAGGTCACATATGGTGGCACAATTAACTGGAGCAGTGAAAATAAAATATGTCATGCTACCCCTCTGACTGGCCGAGGTTTACAACCTTGCCACTCACTCTACGAGGTGCTGTCTGTACTGTACTGTCTGTCTGTCTGTACTGTGTGTATAATAATGATTTCAACAAATCGCACTGCACTTAACTGTTAAAGGTAATTATGTTTGAGCTGACATCCGTAGTGTTTACTGTAAATGCTATCATGACAGGGAAATTGATTTTAAAAGTTCAGCGCAATGTTGCTACATTGTGGTGTGTTTGAATCATGGACTCTGTTTATCAACTTATGTAACAAGCTGAATGTATTTTCTTTAACCAGCAAGGCTTGATAGAGGAAGTGTATTCCCAACTAAACCAGACCAGCAGAACAGAAAAGGACTTATTTGTCTGGTCCCACAGAAAAACATTTGGGAATACTTTATTTATTTATTTATTTTACCTTTATTTAACCAGGTAAGCCAGTTGAGAACAAGTTCTCATTTACAACTGCGACCTGGCCAAGATAAAGCAAAGCAGTGCGATAAAAACAGCAACACAGTGTTACATATGGGGTAAAACAAAACATAAAGTCAAAAATACCACAGAAAATATGTATACAGTGTGTGTTATCATGAGATATTATAGGGAAAGTGTTAATTTCTGATTGTTTATTTCAATTTTGTTTGTTGTGTTTCACATGCTTTGGCAATGCAAACATATGTTTCCCCCATGCCAATAAAGGCCATTTTAATTTACTTGATTTAGGTTGAGGGTAGCCTGCACCATTGAGCGCCGTGTTCAATATGGATTTCCTATGCTAGGTTGAGAGTGTGTCAGATCTCACCTGGGAATCATCTCTCCTTTCTTGACGTTCAAGAGCAGGTCACTCTCACACAGCTCGTCAGAGCCACAGTCTTTGGAGAATGGGATCTGTTTTAAGAGTTCACATGACATTGTTTAGGGGTTGAATTGAGAATTCAGATGTGGAGGTGCCCTATCCCGGTTCCACGTCCCGGTTAAACTCTAACCCTATCCTCAACCACAACCCTAACCCTAGCTTCAGGTCCATGTCCCGGTACAACCCTAACCCTAACCCTCAACCACAACCCTAACCCTAGCTTCAGGTCCACATCCTGGTTCAACCCTAAACCCTAGCCTCAACCATAACCCTAACACTAACTTCATGTACATATCCCGGTTCAACCCTAACCCTAGCCTCAACCACAACCACAACCCTAACCCTAGCTTCATGTCCACATCCCAGTTCAACCCTAACCCTCAACCACAACCCTAACCCTAGCTTAATGTCCACATCTCGGTTCAACCGTAACCCTATTCTCAACCACAACCCTAACCCTAGCCCTAGCCCAAACTCTAGCCTCAACCCTAGCTTCATGTCCACATCTCGGTTCAACCGTAACCCTATCCTCAACCACAAACCTAACCCTAACCCTAGCTTCATGTCCACATCCCAGTTCAACCCTAACCCTAGCCTCAACCACAACCCTAACCCTAGCTTCAGGTCCACATCCCAGTTCAACCCTAACCCTAGCCCTAGCCCAAACTCTAGCCTCAACCCTAGCTTCATGTCCACATCCCAGTTCAACTTTCCTCATGACCCTATGATATAAAATTATAGTGTTAAATTACAAGATTTTCATTCCTAATATCATCAAAAAGGAGACGCACTAACACATAAAGCACAGATAATAACATCAATAGACACTTAAATAACTGCAACATCAATATACAGTAACATTTAATATATACTCTATCATATATAACTGAAACTCACAAAGAACTCCCATGCAGTAGGACGGAGGACATCTAGAACAGGACTGGAGTCTGGGTCCTGCAGAGTGATGTCCACACGCAGACCGATGGAGCTCACAAAGTCAGGGGCCTCCTGTCAGACAATAAGATAGGATTTATTTGATTTGTTTCATTTGACAGGGAACATGTACAACACAACAAACATCGCACTAGATTGTAGCTACATACTGTACATAGCTCATTCTCTGCAGGATCAGAACTTAGTAAAATGATTGGAATTGTATAAGGTAAACCAAATGACAATACAGCAATGTAGTGTATTCTATATCCTTTTTCATCTTATAATAATAATAAAAATAATATGCCATTTAGCAGACGCTTTTATCCAAAGCGACTTACAGTCATGCGTGCATACATCTTCATACATACATGTAAATATTAGTCTTGGCAATGTTCCTCAAACAACAATTTATTTATTTTTAAAGGGATTTATATATTAATGATATGTACCCATTGATTTTTGAAGAATATAGCTTATAAATGCCTCATGAGCTTAGTTCAACTGTCGTACCCCATCAGAACCATAAATATAAGTTTGTTTTACTCCAATGTTTGTAGTCTAATAAAAAGCATGAGCTGGCGTACACCCAGAGAACATTATTTAGTGTAGAGGTGCTGACTAACGGAGAATAAACTGGAAGTTATAAAAACAAATAAAGAGAGTCGCTATGTTTAAACTCCCAGTAATTGATTGGGTAAGAAACAACCAAAGTTTTGGCATCACTGTGCCTCCACCCTGAAGAAGTAGAGTGTGCAACTCTCTTGATTTGTTTTTATAACTCCAATGTTTGTAAACAACGTAAATGTAAACAAAAACTGTATAGCCTCAAAACATGGTTAAAACTATAATTTTGATATCATGGATGGTCAGTCCTTGCATCCATAGCTCTGTCTATGAATTCGAGAGTCGTTATGCTTTGTTATTGTTTCAACTGCGGATTGCCCCTTTAAGTGTTTGTTGACAGGATCATTCCTCCATTCAAAATGAACACAGTAATTCAACAAGGCCTGATAAAAGAGGAAAACCAGAAACACTTCATTCAGCAAATCATCATAAAACCATTTCATATTTTCTATCTTTACCTGAACAAAGACCTCTAGAGTGTCACAGACCTCCCTGGTGGAAACCCTGATCTCTTTCTGCAGGACTCTCTCTGAGTTACTGAACTGACCTCTGGAGGTGACGCGAGACGACTGGAGATCAGCATCCAGGGTCAGGTTGTACCTGAGAGCTGAGGTGAGACGTAACAGAGGCAACAAGACACAATTAGAGGGCGCCAAGACCACTACTATGATGTGAGAAGCCCCTGTAATACTGAACGTGACCACTGATATGACAGTGACCGTGTGGAGAGGGGAAGGGAGAGAGAGAGAGAGAGGAAGGGGGAGAGAGAGAGGAAGAGAGAGAGAGAGAGAGAGAGAGGAAGGGGGAGAGAGAGAGAGAGAGGAAGGGGGGAGAGAGGAAGAGAAGGAGAAAGAGAGAGAGACAGATTGACACAGGAAAGCAGGGCTTACCCACAGGTCCTACAGGTATCTTGGGCATGAAGGTGGCGCTGAAACAGACAGAAGTGTTGAAGCAGGACACCAGCCTCCCACTGACCCTGCACGTCTTACTCAGGATGCTGACCTTGTCAGGGTTAAAGGTCGCCCTCGCTGTCACCACGGCCAGACCTCGAGACCTGGGAGAGGAACAGTCTACTGAGTATTCTCATCATAATCATAATCATTGAGTCATAGGGCCTCCTGTAGCTCAGTTGGTAGAGCATGGCGCTTGCAACGCCAGGGTTGTGGGTTCGATTCCCACGGGGGGCCAGTATGAAAAATGTATGCACTCACTAACTGTAAGTTGCTCTGGATAAGAGCGTCTGCTAAATGACTAAAATGTAAATGGAATAATCAAATCTCAATCTAGCTAGCTCTTGTATGCACGAATGACTACATCTTCACAGGGCATCACTTAACTACTGTATGAGTCAACTTTTGATTGGTTGACTCATTAATTCATTTATTGATTAATTGACTGGTTAATTGGTTGACTGACTGATTGATTCAATCTTTAAATAATGATATAATGGACATCAGCAGCTATGTAGAAGTGGGGAATGGACAGCATAATAATCCAGCTAGCTGTTCTGTTCTGCTCTGCTCTCCATATGGAGTGGGACGAGGTAACAACACTCAATTATTTTACACAGTTAAGACCAAGCTGTCCATGAGACAGCACATCTCACTCAGTCAACAAAAACTTGAGGAGACAAGCATTGTATGTTTCTCTCACAACCTGCTGTAATTCCATTGGTTTGGTTTAGAGTTACTGTAACCCCAAATAAGTTGGCCAGCTGCCAAGAACAGCTGCCAGTTTGTTGATATCAAGTAAACACTTAACTCGAGTGGGACATGTGGGAATTGTGGGAAACAAAATGATATAGTTTACCTCTGAAGAGGAGGGGTGGAACTGGGTTAAAACAAAGAAAAGAGAAGAAACTAGCGAATCTCACCAGAGCTGGACCACCTTCCCGTAAGCCCCCACTGATACATCTGGGATGGTGTCATCGTTTAGGTCGGAACTGGCGTCTAGGGACCGCCCAAAATACTTCAACGCAGGGTCCAGCTTGGAGCCTAGGATTTTCTGAAATGAACAGGATAAAACACGATCTCACAACTTGATCTCACATCAAATGCTCACGTTGGCTGAATTCCAACAGCCTGAGAAACGCTCATATTCTCAGAATTACAAAACCTCCAATATTTGCATTCTATATTGAGACATGCTAGCAAGTGCTTATGGTTAGGCTAAGGTTGCATTGAGTGTTAGCACTGAGCACCATCTGCATCATCGGCAGGTCTGTATTCAGAGGACAGTGTTGAGTCCTGTAGCTACCTGAGAGCACTGTGTCCTCAGCCTCTTCTTGTCCCCGTTGAAGACATAAATGACCCCCCTGTTGTTGTCTTCCAGTGGGGCTCCTACCACCACATCACTGTAACCATCCATGTTGAGGTCAGGCACCGCTGAGATAGACATCCCAAAACGAGCGTTGTCCACTGGGGATGGACCCTTCAGGAACCCCTGGTCACTTAGGACGCCCTAGAAACACAGATGGAAAATAATTCATATTGAATATACTGTAAGTGTGCTTAGGAAGATCTGTCTTTCAAAATGTCCTGAACCACTGTGCTCAGAACATGCAGTGTGTAGACCAAAATGAAACCATTAGACGAAATGTACTGTAGTGGGTCTGCCCTCAAAAAAGAGATGAAAGGCTTTGGGCTGTAGGTTACAGTACCGTAGAGTACAGTACAGTACAGTAGAGTACAGTACAGTACAGTAGAGTACAGTACAGTACAGTAGAGTACAATACAGTACAGTGGACTACAGTAGGTTACAGTACAGTAGAGTACAGTAGAGTACAGTACAGTAGAGTACAGTTCAGTAGAGTGCAATACAGTACAGTACAGCAGAGTACAATGAAGTACAGTAGAGTAGAGTACAGTAGAGTACAGTAGAGTACAGTACAGTACAGTAGAGCACAATGAAGTACAGTAGAGTAGAGTGCAGTACAGTACAGTAGAGTACAATGAAGTACAGTAGAGTACAGTAGAGTACAGTACAGTACAGTACAGTAGAGTACAGTAGAGTACAGTACAGTACAGTAGAGTGCAGTATGTGTGGCTTACCTTGGTGAAAGAGAGGAGATAGACCTTCCCAGTCTCCTTCTTCTGTTCATTCATGAACATGGGAGCGCCGACCAGCAGTAGATCAGACACACCATCTTTATCCACGTCCAAAGGACAGAGTACACTGCCATAGTAGGAGCCTATCTACAGAATAGAAAGCACATAGAACACACAGTGTCTTTAGAGCCAGTGAGCAGAAACAAAGGATAACAACATTAACAAGTCAGAGATGATAGATCACACAGAGATAATAAAGAGAACGTGGATCATAGAAAGCCATGACATCTACCACCACAAAAAAAAGGTACATGCTCTTCTCTGTCAGGCAGTCCAACCCTCGTACCTGATCTCCTCTCTGGGAGTCTATGACGGTGGGTTGTCCCTTGCTGTTGATGGTGTACACTATGACCTGTCCAGTGTGGTTGGACCGAGGAGCGCCAGCCACATAGTACTCCGTGCTGCCATCATTCAGCGTTGTCACGGAGTAGCCTGAACCGAACAGCCAAACAGAACATTATGTACTAATTTGTAACAATATCCAGTGCTAGTAGTCTTACTGCCAGTCACACTGTAAATCAAGATATATTTAGTTTGAACTCCAATAAACATTCAAATTGAGTTAGAAATTGTTGGAAAAGCAAGAGACAAAAGAATGGCACGGTGCTGTATGATAAACAAATAATAAAATAGCAGGTAAAGGAGCAAATATTGACATTTAGAACGAACTCACCTAATAGTGAACTGTGGTTTCTGTCCTCTAGGACTTTCTCAAAGGTCGTCTTGGGGAAGATGTCTGATTTCTGAGCAGTGTAGTGAACCACAGTACCACTCCAGCCATAGGCCCCCACTGCACCCAGCATCATCATGTTCTAGAACAAGTGGGAGAGAATTACCTGTTTAAACATGCTGAATAGAGGCTTACAGGTTGGAAATAAATGTGGAGGCTTGTGTGATAGTATCCTTAGCCTGAACATACCTGCTTCTTGGTTTGGTGGGCACTGAACCCCACTTGGGACATCTCCATCTGAAAATCACCCCCTTTCCCAGTACCTGTCTCCCAAGACAACACAGAGTAAGACTGCTACCTTCTTAAAAGGTAACATGTCTTCAAGGTCCATTCATACTGTTGGAATGTATATAGGTCGATATTTTTTCATTATGGATACAAATTTGACCTCTATCAAAAATTAAGAATAAATTACTTTAAAAAACAGTAGTGTACCCTCTATATTGAAGATTCTGTCTCCCAGAGTTCCAGCGATCTCAAGCAGAGCTTCCTCAGCTGACACATTAAAGAAGTACCTGTCTGCCGGGGTACTGGCGATGGACTTGATCTCAGCAATCAGGTTTTTAGTGTCGATGTCATTCCTTATGTAATACCCAAGGACCTAGAAACATAATAAAGAATACATTTTAAAACTATTCATATTAGAATGAAAGGGACGATTAATAAAACATAATAATATCATGTTATAAAGGTATTAAACAGTAAATGTTAATACCTCACACTCAACACTGTATATACGTATGTGCCTTTTGATAAAGAGATTTTATGTCAACGAGACAAACCTAGATCAATAAAGGTTCAACTAATTGAGTGTGATATTAACTTACAGCAATACCAAACCGGGTGATCTTGTCCTGCTCACACTTCCCGATGACGTTGTCTTTGAGGTCCTTGTCGTGAGACTCTCCATCCGTCACCACCACCATCACCTTACTGGCTCCAGGTCGGCCACCGTTCCTAGGCAAGAACGCCTGCTGTCTGAGATACACACTCAACAGGTGTCAAATAGTAGCATCCATCTCAAACCCAAGTCAATAGCAAAAAGCATGTAAAGAAATAGTTTCTAAAACACTTGTTCTGAACACATTTTATTGTGTTGGATTCCATTGGATTCCATTCTTCTATGTGTTGTATTCCATTCTATTCTATTCAAGTGTTCCATTCTAACCCCCTCTTTGGGGGGATTTCAGTTTGCAAATAGAGATTCTAATCCTTTTGTTCAAGTCTTTTTTATAAATATGTTGAGTCAACAGAGTCAGGATATCTTTATTTAGAATACATCAGGTCACGGTCACTTAAGGTTCCATTGACTAACAGAAAACAAGAGGAAAGGCCTGAGAATGTTGGCATTGCAGGCATGGAAAGTGTTGCAGACTGAGACGCACCTGGAAAATTCAATGGCCCGGAAGGTGTTAGTCTCCAAGCCTGACTTCTGGAGTATGTTCGCTGCGGCCGCAATGATTGAGTCTTTGGTTTTGTAGGAGTTCAGATGGAATTCAAAAGACGGATCAACTGCGTACTGTATAATACTTACCTGAAAGCAAAAACATAAAGTCAACAAAAAACTGATAGGGACAGATAATTTACTTGGGCCAGGATTCAATCTGACCGTGGGTTGTCGACAATGCAGCTTTTAAAGGCAATTTCCAACTGAGAAGAAATATGCAGCGTTTACCGTGAATGAGAACATTGCCTTTAAAAGCTGCATTGTCGATTGCATCCAGCCTTTGACAATTCCTATAAATGGCAGTCGTGGCATTTCATTCTTCCTGAGCCCAGGTGGCAATTAATATACAGTACACTGATAACTGTGATCCCACTTACCTGAGTATTGTCAGGTCCAATATCCAAGTTCTCCAACAGTTTCTTGAGGAAAGCCACAACTGGTGGCCAGGGATATATACTGTTAGAGCCATCCAAGACAATAGCAATATCCATGGGACCCCCACAAGCTGGACAGACAAGAGAAGAATTGGGTTAATGTCAGTGCTGTATGGTAACCATGTATAACTCCAATTACAAAGGGGCGTTAAATATGATATACAGTAGGACTTAATTTATACTTTTAATCAAAGGTGAAAACAATAGAGAACTCGTATTCTAAGAATACGTATGTCAAAATGATTGTGGACTCTTACTCTGAAGGGCAGGTGAGAATGAAGACAGGGGGCTGAAGAGAGGGCTGACTTCTGCACAGATCCCTGGGTAGTAATACTGACTGCCACATTTCTGAGCCCACAGAGGTCCACATGTCTACCAGGAGAAGACGAGACGATGCATGACATACAAGGTAAAACATCCAAATCAACCTTTAGGCTATCAGCCAATTCCAAACGGATCTTCTTGGAGCTTTCCAGCTGTACAATCAGATATAGGTAAAAGCTGCTTACTATGAATCAATCTCCCGTGACAGTGCGTGCTAGGGTATCTAGGGTTAGGGTAGTTAGGGTATCTAGGGTTAGGGTATCTAGGGTATCTAGGGTTAGGGTAGCTAGGGTTAGGGTATCTAGGGTAGCTAGGGTTAGGGTAGCTAGGGTATCTAGGGTAGCTAGGGTTAGGGTATCTAGGGTAGCTAGGGTTAGGGTATCTAGGGTTAGGGTATCTAGGGTAGCTAGGGTTAGGGTATCTAGGGTAGCTAGGGTTAGGGTATCTAGGGTTAGGGTATCTAGGGTTAGGGTATCTAGGGTAGCTAGGGTTAGGGTATCTAGGGAGAGGGTATCTAGGGTAGCTAGGGCTAGGGTATCTAGGGTTAGGGTAGCTAGGGTATCTAGGGTTAGGGTAGCTAGGGTTAGGGTATCTAGGGTTAGGGTATCTAGGGTTAGGGTAGCTAGGGTTAGGGTATCTAGGGTATCTAGGGTAGCTAGGGCTAGGGTATCTAGGGTTAGGGTAGCTAGGGTATCTAGGGTTAGGGTAGCTAGGGTTAGGGTATCTAGGGTTAGGGTATCTAGGGTTAGGGTAGCTAGGGTTAGAATATCTAGGGTTAGGGTAGGTTAGAGTATCTAGGGTAGCTAGGGTTAGGGTAGCTAGGGTTAGGGTAGCTAGGGTTAGGGTATCTAGGGTTAGGGTAACTAGGGTTAGAGTATCTAGGGTTAGGGTAGGTTAGAGTATCTAGGGTAGCTAGGGTTAGGGTATCTAGGGTTAGGGTAGCTAGGGTATCTAGGGTTAGGGTAGCTAGGGTTAGGGTATCTAGGGTTAGGGTATCTAGGGTTAGGGTAGCTAGGGTTAGAATATCTAGGGTTAGGGTAGGTTAGAGTATCTAGGGTAGCTAGGGTTAGGGTAGCTAGGGTTAGGGTAGCTAGGGTTAGGGTATCTAGGGTTAGGGTAGCTAGGGTTAGAGTATCTAGGGTTAGGGTAGGTTAGAGTATCTAGGGTAGCTAGGGTTAGGGTAGCTAGGGTTAGGGTAGCTAGGGTTAGGGTATCTAGGGTTAGGGTAGCTAGGGTTAGAGTATCTAGGGTTAGGGTAGGTTAGAGTATCTAGGGTTAGGGTAGCTAGGGTTAGGGTATCTAGGGTTAGAGTATCTAGGGTAGCTAGGGTTAGGGTAGCTAGGGTTAGGGTAACTAGGGTTAGGGTAGCTAGGGTTAGGGTAGCTAGGGTTAGAGTATCTAGGGTTAGGGTATCTAGGGTTAGAGTATCTAGGGTAGCTAGGGTTAGGGTATCTAGGGTTAGGGTATCTAGGGTAGCTAGGGTTAGGGTAGCTAGGGTTAGGGTAGCTAGAGTTAGGGTAGCTAGGGTTAGGGTATCTAGGGTTAGGGTAACTAGGGTTAGAGTATCTAGGGTTAGGGTAGCTAGGGTTAGGGTAGCTAGGGTTAGGGTAGCTAGGGTTAGGGTAGCTAGGGTTAGGGTATCTAGAGTTAGGGTATCTAGGGTTAGGGTATCTAGGGTTAGAGTATCTAGGGTTAGGGTAGCTAGGGTTAGGGTAATTCTACTGCTATACAGACTCAGAAGTAGTGATGTGAAATCTGCTTACCATAAATGTATCTTCTGTAGCTGTACGGGTTAGGGTCAGCCCCAGGCTCATGTTGACATTGACGTTCCTCACTGTTGATATGCTGACTGATTCTGAAACAGGAGAGGAAGAACAGTTAGTACACTGTACTTACATTACAGGAATAATTACGCTGTAATAAGAAAAACACTTTAATGTAAAGTGTTATTGAATACATTATCATGGTGTAATTACAGAGGTTTACCAACATTCATTAAAACACACAATGAGCACAATGAGTTCAATGAGAACTTGCAACTCTGAACAAAATCCCATCCTAACCACTGTGGCCATCATTCTGACTTACAGACAGATTTGACAGGATTCGAAAAGATTTCAAGGAAATTATGTGGTAAAACACAAGCTAACACTATAGGACTCACATAAGGATTGCTAAAAGAATGACAGTAGTTTATAGAAAATACAAAAGGGGAGAGTATGAATAGTTAGCCTGGGTGCTAGTCTGTTACTGCTCTCTTGCCAACTCCTTATGGAATTTAAAGCAAATTCCATGTTTGGTTTGACAAAGACAAAAATGGAGTTGGCAAGAGCACAAATAGATCTGAGACCAGGCTAATGAATAGCTGTAACTGTCATACTCTGCAGGTTGAGTCTCTGACATCCTGAACTGGCCCCTCTGATCTCACACTTGTAGACATCTCCTTTCCTGTCCTGGTTGTATCCACTCCAGGGAGAACCAACCAGCAACCTGGGGGGAAACACACACACACACACACACACACACACAAATTACATAATAATTACTTACAGTTGAAGTCGGAAGTTTACATACACCTTAGCCAAATACATTTAAACTCAGTTTTTCACAATTCCTGACATTTAATCCTAGTAAAAATTCCCTGTCTTAGGTCAGTTAGGATCACCACTTTATTTTAAGAATGTGAAATGAATGATTTATTTCAGCTTTTATTTCTTTCATCACATTTCCAGTGGGTCAGAAGTTTACATTCCCTCAATTAGTATTTGGTAGCATTGACTTTAAGTTGTTTAACTTGGATCAAACGTTTCGGGTAGCCTTCCACAAGCTTCCCACAATAAGTTGGGTGAATTTTGGCCCATTCCTCCTGACAGAGCTGGTGTAACTGAGTCAGGTTTGTAGGCCTCCTTGCTCACACACGCTTTTTCAGTTCTGCCCACACATTTTGTATAGGATTGAGGTCAGGGCTTTGTGATGGCCACTCCAATACCTTGGCATTGTTGTCCTTAAGCCATTTTGCAACAACTTTGGAAGTATGCTTGGGGTCATTGTCCATTTGGAAGACCCATTTGCGACCAAGCTTTAACTTCCTGACTGATGTCTTGAGATGTTGCTTCAATATATCCACATAATTTTCCTTCCTCATGATGCCATCTATTTTGTGAAGTGCACCAGTCCCTCCTGCAGCAAAGCACCCCCACAGCATGATGCTGCCACCCCCGTGCTTCACGGTTGGGATGGTGTTCTTCGGCTTGCAAGCAACCCCCCTTTTCCTCCAAACATAACGATTGTCATTATGGCCAAACAGTTCAATTTTAGTTTCATCAGACCAGAGGACATTTCTCCAAAAAGTACGATCTTTGTCCCCATGTGCAGTTGCAAACCATAGTCTGGCTTTTTTATGGCGGTTTCGGAGCAGTGGCTTCTTCCTTGCTGAGCGGCCTTTCAGGTAATGTCAATATAGGACTCGTTTTACTGTGGAGATAGATACTTTTGTACCCGTTTCCTCCAGCATCTTCACAAGGTCCTTTGCTGTTGTTCTGGGATTGATTTGCACTTTTCGCACCAAGGTACGTTCATCTCTAGGAGACAGAACGCGTCTCCTTCCTGAGCGGTATGACGGCTGTGTGGTCCCATTGTGTTTATACTTGCGTAATATTGTTTGTACAGATGAACGTGGTACCTTCAGGCGTTTGGAAATTTCTCCCAAGGATGAACCAGACTTGTGGAGGTCTACAATTTTTTTTCTGAGGTCTTGGCTGATTTCTTTTGATTTTCCCATGATGTCAAGCAAAGAGGCACTGAGTTTGAAGGTAGGCCTTGAAATACATCCACAGGTACACCTCCAATTGACTCAAATGATGTCAATTACCCTATCAGAAGCTTCTAAAGCCATGACATCATTTTCTGGAATTTTCCAAGCTGTTTAAACCCACAGTCAACTTTGTGTACGTAAACTTCTTACCCACTGGAATTGTGATACAGTGAATTATAAGTGAAATAATCTGTCTGTAAACAATTGTTGGACAAATTATTTGTGTCATGAACATAGTAGATGTCCTCACCGACTTGCCAAAACTTTAGTTTGTTAACAAGAAATTTGTGGAGTGGTTGAAAAACTAGTTTTAATGACTCCAACCTAAGTGTATGTAAACTTCCGACTTCAACTTTACAATGGGGTGTAGATCTAAATTACACCATTAATGGTAGCTAATACTATTGTTAGGAAATATTTGGGTACAGTACCATACATTGACAACAAGACAATTACAGTAACATGATCTGTAAGCAGAGTTTTTCCTTTTCTACAGGTGTGGAAGGTAAACACATAATGTACCAAAGTCACCATTAACAGTTCATCTTAGGGTGGAAAGTATAATAAGCACCTTAACCCTGAGGAGGCAAAGTGCAGATTTGATCACTCTTTTGTTGCTGAGAATTTTCCTGCACAGCCTGAAATGCAAACGTGTAGTGTGTTGGAGGTTTAAAAAGGCTTCTAAAGTTTGTTATTTCTACTTTTAAATGTCAGACTTGATTTACCCTATGATTTGAAACCCAATAAACCCTATAGAAAATGTCCATTATATAATCCACATAATAATTCAAATTTCCTGTTGCTGCAGGATTATTTTCCTGCTGTAGCAAACTGGCTCAAATTAAGATCCTACATCTGTATGAGCATGTTTTCAGTCTTTTTCTGTTGCATGAGAAGGAAAGGGCCATAATAAGTGCCAGTCCTGTCGTCTGCTGCTGGTGGCTCAGGAGCTGGGTAAACATGGGGATTATCACCATGTGAGTCAGCCAGTCAGGACACACATGGCCACTAGATTACACAATGTGATGTCAAACCCACCTTCCACAGAAACCAGCCACACGTATTACCACACATATTTTTACACACACGCACGCACGCACACACGCACACGCACACACGCACACGCACGCACGCACACACACACACACGCACCTACTAGATTTCACACCCATATAAATGCCAAGCCCACTCCATTATACATTACACATCATGGAGGAAAGCCCCACCTTGCTAGACTACACAGTGTGGACGGACAGACCACACAGCGTTCCTAGACTGATGACACACAGATGGACTCACTACAACATCCTGTGAGGTACAGTATGACAACATAACAGCACCACTCAGACTGAGAATGAGTGGACACAGACATGCTGAAATATGGTCACTGAGGTGTGACAGTGTGTCAGTGAAGTCTTGCTGTGTTTGATTGGCCACTCATGGGAGTACATCTGGAGTTCTGGGAATACCTGTATGATGTTCTATTGCAAACCAATCTATTTTTGTTTGGCCAGGACACAGTGTGTTGGTGTGATATTAAACCTGGTAAAGACTGAATAAAAGCCCATGGTATCAGCTGTATGCCGGACAGGATGGAACGTGGGCAAAGTTCCTCACCTGCTTGGCGTCATTAAACCACAAAGAAGAGAAACATGCCTTCCACTGGCTACAGAATACGCAGCACATTATTATGTTGTGCTTCTCATTGCTGGTGTAAGATGAACTGTTACCATTAAGTATTCAAATCTTGGTATTTGTGTTCTCTGTTTCCTGGAATATTCCAAAACTCCCCTTCTTTAATCGTGCTACATAGGAATAATGATTAAGCTAGTAGTGTGATTCAGAGAGCGATAAATGTCCCCTGACTTTAGAGTTAGAGCCAAAGCCTACACTCTGAGACAGGAAGCAGACAATTAGACAAAGGGAATGTACTTTGACCCCGGCCCTCTCTGTGATGTCATACATTCAGGCTTTCAATACAACAAGGCAATCTCTATTCTTTGGGGTTCACAGGGACTCTGGGTTTTCCCTTTACTGACTCACTGCTTTTTTTCTTTACCCTCCTCATTTCAAGTGGGGTATTTGTCAAGATTACAAATGACCAAAGAATAAATGTCTACTAGTTTGAGTATCAGTCTCTAATACACAGGCTAAATCACTACTGTTATTTTATAATAAACCTAGTGTCATCCACCAGCTGGCTCTCTATCTGTTGAATTAGCCCGGGGAAGAGGTTAGTCAAAACCTGTTGAATTAGCCCAGGGAAGAGGTTAGTCAAAACCTGTTGAATTAGCCCGGGGAAGAGGTTAGTCAAAACCTGTTGAATTAGCCCGGGGAAGAGGTTAGTCAAACCTTGTTGAATTAGCCCGGGGAAGATGTTAGTCAAACCTTGTTGAATTAGCCCGGGGAAGAGGTTAGTCAAACCTTGTTGAATTAGCCCGGGGAAGAGGATAGTCAAACCTTGTTGAATTAGCCCAGGGAAGAGGTTAGTCAAACCTTGTTGAATTAGCCCGGGGAAGAGGTTAGTCAAACCTTGTTGAATCAGCCCGGGGAAGAGGTTAGTCAAACCTTGTTGAATTAGCCCAGGGAAGAGGCTAGTCAAACCTTGTTGAATTAGCCCGGGGAAGAGGTTAGTCAAACCTTGTTGAATTAGCCCGGGGAAGAGGTTAGTCAAACCTTGTTGAATTAGCCCAGGGAAGAGGTTAGTCAAACCTTGTTGAATTAGCCCGGGGAAGAGGTTAGTCAAACCTTGTTGAATTAGCCCAGGGAAGACGTTAGTCAAACCTTGTTGAATTAGCCCAGGGAAGAGGTTAGTCAAACCTTGTTGAATTAGCCCGGGGAAGAGGTTAGTCAAACCTTGTTGAATTAGCCCAGGGAAGAGGTTAGTCAAACCTTGTTGAATTAGCCCGGGGAAGAGGTTAGTCAAACCTTGTTGAATTAGCCCAGGGAAGAGGTTAGTCAAACCTTGTTGAATTAGCCCAGGGAAGAGGTTAGTCAAACATTGTTGAATTAGCCCGGGGAAGAGGTTAGTCAAACCTTGTTGAATTAGCCCGGGGAAGAGGTTAGTCAAACCTTGTTGAATTAGCCCAGGGAAGAGGTTAGTCAAACCTTGTTGAATTAGCCCGGGGAAGAGGTTAGTCAAACCTTGTTGAATTAGCCCAGGGAAGAGGTTAGTCAAACCTTGCTGAATTAGCCCGGGGAAGAGGTTAGTCAAACCTTGTTGAATTAGCCCAGGGAAGAGGTTAGTCAAACCTTGTTGAATTAGCCCAGGGAAGAGGTTAGTCAAACCTTGTTGAATTAGCCCGGGGAAGAGGTTAGTCAAACCTTGTTGAATTAGCCCAGGGAAGAGGTTAGTCAAACCTTGTTGAATTAGCCCGGGGAAGAGGTTAGTCAAACCTTGTTGAATTAGCCCAGGGAAGAGGTTAGTCAAACCTTGTTGAATTAGCCCGGGGAAGAGGTTAGTCAAACCTTGTTGAATTAGCCCGGGGAAGAGGTTAGTCAAACCTTGTTGAATTAGCCCAGGGAAGAGGTTAGTCAAACCTTGTTGAATTAGCCCAGGGAAGAGGTTAGTCAAACCTTGTTGAATTAGCCCGGGGAAGAGGTTAGTCAAACCTTGTTGAATTAGCCCAGGGAAGAGGTTAGTCAAACCTTGTTGAATTAGCCCAGGGAAGAGGTTAATCAAACATTGTTGAATTAGCCCAGGGAAGAGGTTAGTCAAACCTTGTTGAATTAGCCCGGGGAAGAGGTTAGTCAAACCTTGTTGAATTAGCCCGGGGAAGAGGTTAGTCAAACCTTGTTGAATTAGCCCAGGGAAGAGGTTAGTCAAACCTTGTTGAATTAGCCCAGGGAAGAGGTTAGTCAAACCTTGTTGAATTAGCCCGGGGAAGAGGTTAGTCAAACCTTGTTGAATTAGCCCGGGGAAGAGGTTAGTCAAACCTTGTTGAATTAGCCCAGGGAAGAGGTTAGTCAAACATTGTTGAATTAGCCCAGGGAAGAGGTTAGTCAAACCTTGTTGAATTAGCCCAGGGAAGAGGTTAGTCAAACCTTGTTGAATTAGCCCGGGGAAGAGGTTAGTCAAACCTTGTTGAATTAGCCCGGGGAAGAGGTTAGTCAAACCTTGTTGAATTAGCCCGGGGAAGAGGTTAGTCAAACCTTGTTGAATTAGCCCAGGGAAGAGGTTAGTCAAACCTTGTTGAATTAGCCCAGGGAAGAGGTTAGTCAAACCTTGTTGAATTAGCCCGGGGAAGAGGTTAGTCAAACCTTGTTGAATTAGCCCGGGGAAGAGGTTAGTCAAACCTTGTTGAATTAGCCCAGGGAAGAGGTTAGTCAAACATTGTTGAATTAGCCCAGGGAAGAGGTTAGTCAAACCTTGTTGAATTAGCCCAGGGAAGAGGTTAGTCAAACCTTGTTGAATTAGCCCGGGGAAGAGGTTAGTCAAACCTTGTTGAATTAGCCCGGGGAAGAGGTTAGTCAAACCTTGTTGAATTAGCCCGGGGAAGAGGTTAGTCAAACCTTGTTGACTTAGCCCGGGGAAGAGGTTAGTCAAACCTTGTTGAATTAGCCCGGGTAAGAGGTTAGTCAAACCTTGTTGAATTAGCCCGGGGAAGAGGTTAGTCAAACCTTGTTGAATTAGCCCGGGGAAGAGGTTAGTCAAACCTTGTTGAATTAGCCCGGGGAAGAGGTTAGTCAAACCTTGTTGAATTAGCCCGGGGAAGAGGTTAGTCAAACCTTGTTGAATTAGCCCGGGTAAGAGGTTAGTCAAACCTTGTTGAATTAGCCCGGGGAAGAGGTTAGTCAAACCTTGTTGAATTAGCCCGGGGAAGAGGTTAGTCAAACCTTGTTGAATTAGCCCGGGGAAGAGGTTAGTCAAACCTTGTTGAATTAGCCCGGGGAAGAGGTTAGTCAAACCTTGTTGAATTAGCCCGGGGAAGAGGTTAGTCAAACGTTGTTGAATTAGCCCGGGGAAGAGGTTAGTCAAACCTTGTTGAATTAGCCCAGGGAAGAGGTTAGTCAAACCTTGTTGAATTAGCCCAGGGAAGAGGTTAGTCAAACCTTGTTGAATTAGCCCAGGGAAGAGGTTAGTCAAACCTTGTTGAATTAGCCCAGGGAAGATGTTAGTCAAACCTTGTTGAATTAGCCCAGGGGAGAGGTTAGTCAAAACCTGTTGAATTAGCCCAGGGAAGAGGTTAGTCAAAACCTGTTGAATTAGCCCAGGGAAGAGGTTAGTTAAAACCTGTTGAATTAGTCTGGGGACGAGGTTAGTTAAAAACTGTTGAATTAGCCCAGGGAAGAGGTTAGTCAAAACCTGTTGAATTAGCCTGGGGACGAGGTTAGTTAAAAACTGTTGAATTAGTCTGGGGACGAGGTTAGTCAAACCTTGTTGAATTTGCCCGGGGACGAAGTTAGTCAAAACCTGTTGAATTAGTCTTGGGACGAGGTTAGTTAAAAACTGTTTAATTAGTCTGGGGATGAGGTTAGTTAAAAACTGTTTAATTAGTCTTGGGACGAGGTTAGTTAAAAACTGTTTAATTAGTCTGGGGACGAGGTTAGTCAAACCTTGTTGAATTAGCCCGGGGAAGAGGTTAGTTAAAAACTGTTGAATTAGTCTGGGGACGAGGTTAGTCAAAACCTGTTGAATTAGCCCAGGGAAGAGGTTAGTCAAAACCTGTTGAATTAGCCCGGGGACGAGGTTAGTCTAAATCTGTTGGATTAGCCCGGGGACGTGGTTGGTCAAAACATGTTGAATTAGTCCGGGGACGAGGTTAGTTAACACCTATTGAATTAGCCTGGGGACGAGGTTAGTTAAAAACTTTTTAATTAGTCTGGGGACGAGGTTAGTCAAAAACTGTTGAATTAGCCCGGGGGAGAGGTTAGTCAAAACCTGTTGAATTAGCCCGGGGAAGAGGTTAGTTAAAAACTGTTGAATTAGTCTGGGGACGAGGTTAGTCAAAACCTGTTGAATTAGCCCAGGGACGAGGTTAGTCTAAATCTGTTGGATTAGCCCGGGGACGTGGTTGGTCAAAACATGTTGAATTAGTCCGGGGATGAGGTTAGTCAACACCTATTGAATTAGTCCGGGGACGAGGTTCGTAAACACCTATTGAATTAGCCCGGGGACGATGTTAGTCAAAACCACATTCAATAGAAGTCCACTTACAGGGCCTTGCAAAAGTATTCAGACCCCTTGGATTTCTTCACATTTTATTGTGTTACAAAGTGAAATTAAAATTGATTTAATTATAGTTTTTTGTTACTCTGTTACTCCTGAACTAAAATACACTGAGTATACCAAACATTAGGAACACCTTTCTAAAATTATTTTGCCCTCAGAAAAGCCTCCATTCATTGGGGCATGGACTCTACAAGGTGTCAAAAGTGTTCCAAAAGGATGCTGGCCCATGTTGACTTCAATGCTTCCCACAGTTGTGTCAAGTTGGCTGGATGTCCTTTGGGTGGTGGACCATTCTTGATACCCACGGGAAACTGTTGAGCAGCATTGCAGTTCTTGACACAAACCGGTGCGCCTGGCACCTACTACCATACCCCGTTCACCTACTACCATACCCTGTTCACCTACTACCATACCCCGTTCACCTACTACCATACCCCGTTCACCTACTACCATAATTATTTTTTTGTCATTTAGCAGACACTCTTGTCCAGAGTGACTTACATGAGCAATTAGGGTTAAGTGCCTTGCTCAAGGGCACATCGACAGATGTTTCACCTTAGTCAGCTCAGGGATTAGAACCAGCGACCTTTCGGTTACTGGCACAACGCTCTTACACAGTAAGCTACCTGCCACCCTACCCCTTTCACCTTCTGTAAGGTCCCTCAGTCAAGTATTGAATTTCAAGCCCAGATTCAACTACAAAGACCAGGGAGCTTTTCGAAAGCCTCATAAAGAAAGGCAGTGATTGGTAGATGGGTAACAATAACAAATCAGACATTAAATATCTCCTTAAACATGGTCAAGTTAATAATTATGCTGTGGATAATGTATTAACCACCTAGACACATCGAAGAGACAGTCTTCCTTCTGAACTGAGCTGCAGGACAGGAATGAAACTGCTCAGTGATGTTACCATGAGGCCATTGGTGATTTTAAAAGAGTTACAGAGTTCAATGGTTGTGATGGGAGAAAACTGAGGATGGATCAACAACATTGTAGTGACTCCACAATAATGACCTAAATGACAGAGTGAAAAGAATACAAATATACTGAATAGAAATACTCCAAAAAATGCATCATGTATGCCACAAGGCACTAAAGTAATACTGCAAAAAAAACACAGCAAGGAATACACTTTTTGGCCTAAATGTAAAGCCTTATGTTTGGGGCAAATCCAACACCACATAACTGAGTAACTGCCTCCTTAATTTCAAGCATGGTGTTGGCTGCATCATGGTATGGGTATGCTTTACATCGGCAAATACTGGAGAGTTTTGACTTAAATCTGTTTGAAAATTGCTGGCTAGCCATGATCCCCAACATCTTGACAGAGCTTAAAGAATTTTGAAAAGAATAATGTGTAAATATTGCACAATCCAGGTGTGCAAAGCTCTTAGAGACTTACCTAAGAAGACTCACAGCTGTAATTGATGCAAAAGGTGTTTCTATAAGTATTGACTCAGGGATCCGAATACTTATGCAACAACTATATTTTAGTTATTTAATTTATATATTTTATACATTTTATTACACTTTGACATCACAGAGTATTTTGTGTATATTGTTGAAAATAAAACCAATCCCACTTTGTAACACAATAAAATTTGAAGATATCCAAGGGGTCTGAATACTTTTGCAAGGCACTGTAAGTCCTTGAGGCGATGATACAACTCGTCATCATTATTTGTTCTGTTGGGTCATTTCCCACTTAACATCTCTTATGAAATGTTTGTCTAGTGGAGTGTGGAGACTGAACAACATCTTCAGGTCCCTTTCCTTTGTTAACGATGTTTCCATCCACACAGAGAGAGTTAATGTGCCATAGATTAAACCACACAGTACTTCTGCATTGCGGCCTATGCAATGCATTACTCAGTAGTCTCACCATTTGCCCTGGTGATTCCTGAACTGTTGCACAGTGTATCCAAACTCCTCTACAGCAGGTTCAGAGAATACCTTGGCTCCAGCAGTTCCCACATTAAAGGATAAGGACCGGGGGATGCTCCAACCTGCAGAGATAGAGAGAGCACAGAGAGGGAGCGAGGGAGCACAGAGAGGGAGAGAGGGAGCACAGAGAGGGAGAGAGGGAGCACAGAGAGGGAGAGAGGGAGCACAGAGAGGGAGCGAGAGAGCACAGAGAGGGAGCGAGGGAGCACAGAGAGGGAGAGAGGGAGCACAGAGAGGGAGAGAGGGAGCACAGAGAGGGAGAGAGGGAGCACAGAGAGGGAGAGAGGGAGCACAGAGGGAGAGAGGGAGCACAGAGAGGGAGAGAGGGAGATATAAAGAGAGAGAGAGAGAGAGAGTGTGAGAGAGAGAGAGAGCAAGAGAGAGAGAGAGAGAGAGAGAGAGAGAGAGAGATCACACCATCATAAATATCTGGCTGTGCATGACTGTATCAGTGATGACCAATCCGGACAAGTCACAGCATGACAATGTGTACAGATTACTGGTCTGAGGAGCAGACATGTCGGCGCAGTGGCTGGTCATAGAGAACACACAGTAGTTACAGGGGCCTACTGAGATGAGTGTGAGTGTTATTCAAACCACTACTAAGGCCTCTGAGGACAACAAAACAACACTCATGTCACGACACCTTCCATAACAATAACAGAAATGACACAAAGAGACACTGAGTAACACTAGAAACACTGGCAATGTTTGAAGAAACGACCTTCCTTGCCTTTCTTGCACTAACACTTGCCTTTTATTTTATTAATATCACTGACTTCACTGATAGCTGCTTTAATCAGGAAAGGTTTTACTTACTATGACTGTGATACGTGGTTGTCTTACCGAGCTACCCTGGTTAAATAAAATTAATTACGATGAATGATGATGACGATGCTCTGGATAAGAGCATCTGCTAAATGACTAAAATGTAAAATGTAAAATCTTCAGAACTGAAGCAGTACAGAAATAATGGGTTAGGATTTAGCATTGCCCAATAATGCATTTTTCTTACTTGAAGACAGTGACATAGAATGGGATATAATGCTACTCTTCACGTATGCTGTGGAAGCCAATATAAATCGATTTAATAGACTTTGTTCAAAACACGGTGTCTGAGCATTTTATACTGCAGTCCAAAGAGCCTTTTGCTTAGTAGGGTGGTGACACCACAATCAGGTTAAGTTCATATGCCGTAACAAGACCCAACCCAACACAGGCCAGGTGTCACCACACTTTACACAAATAGAGAAATGAGGCTCACAACTCCATAACTGCAGCATTTTGCTCCATACTACTACACGGCTAAGGTACTATAGGGTTAGGGATACTATTATAAAATTGTAATGGTTTTTAATAACACTGTTAATAACTACATAAAACATTATGAACACCTGCTCTTTCCATGACATAGACTGACCAGGTGAATACAGGTGAAAGCTATGATCCCTTATTGATGTCACTTGTTAAATCCACTTCAATCAGTGTAGATGAAGGGGAGGAGACAGGTTAAAAATATATCTTTAAGCCTTGAGACAATTGAGACATGGATTGTGTATGTGTGCCATTCAGAGGGTGAATGGGCAAGACAAAAGATTGAAGTGCCTTTGAACAGGGTATGGTAGTAGGTACCAGGCATACCGGTTTGTGTCAAGAACTGCAACACTGTTGGGTGTTTCGCGCTCAACAGTTTCCCGTGTGTATCAAGTATGGTCCACCACCCAAAGGACATCCAGCCAACTTGACACAACTGTGGGAAGCATTGGAGTCAACATGGGCCAGCATCCCTGTGAAATGCTTTCGACACCTTGTAGAGTCCATGCCCCGACGAATCGAGGCTGTTCTGTGGTGTTTATGTGTGTTTACATTATGGAACCTTCATCATACACTATGATGATAGAATCAGATTCAAAAATACAACAGCAACTGAAATATTCCATGGTGCTGTTTTGGAATGGTTAACAGCCTTGAGAATGTAAATATATACATGCCCACACTGCCCACACTGCCCACACTGCCCACACCCATGTATTAGTCATTCTGATAAAGACTTATACAACTTTCTGTGTTTCCTCATCGTCAGGTAAACTCATCCTCTGTAGGACCTAGCATGTTTAGCATTGGTTGTCTTCTAACTAGTCGGTGAGTCACATCACATACAAACACTAAAACAGGGCTGCGAGGGGGTCAACGTCTCCAAATGACACCCTATAGCCTATATAGTGCACTACTTTTGACCAGAGCCCTATGGTCCCTAGGGTGCTATTTGGGTGCAGCCTTATCCACCTGTTAGATGTATGCACTCACTACTGTAAGTTGCTCTGGATAAGAGGGTCTGCTAAATGACTAAAAATTGGTAGGCAGATAACTTAGAACAGGATGTGAAAATTGGTAGACAGATAACTTAGAACAGGATGTGAGTATGTGACTGTCCTCCTATTTATCACACCTATGAGTTGTGGTTACACTGCTGGGTCTATAGCCATATTAACATGTCTGTTTTAAGCTAAGTAGCACCTGCCTGAAGAGTCCCTGAGAGTGAGATAATGTACAGCATCAACACCAATGAATAGATCCTTAGACACTTCTCAAACACAGTGACTACATGGCCCTGACAGTTCAACTTGGGTGTCCATCTATTTCCACAATTTTTTTTAGAATAATGACAGTTATTTCCCAAAACTCTAAAAAAGAACATTGTGGTTGCCATTGACAGAGTATGTGAGATATGAGTGAGAAATGTTTTGCCTCTTGGCCAAAATGGTCAACGACCACTCACATGCCTTATCAGTGTGTTCCCCAACTGTCACCGTGGAAACAGGGATTCCGGGACGGGCAGTGGCAGAGGCACACAGAGGACCTTTAATTAAAGTGGACTGATACAGTGTGACAGAGAGGGAGAGAGTGAGGTATACAGTGGTAGAAGGAGAAAGTGAGGTATAGCAGCGATAACAAGAATGAAAAAAGGAGTCACAGAGAGACAGACAGAGAAAGACAGATAGAGAGAGAAAGAGAGACAGGGTGAGAAAGACAGACAGATAGAGAGAGAAAGAGAGACAGGGTGAGAGAGACAGACAGATAGAGAGATGCAGAGAGACAGGATGAGAGAGAGACAGAGAGAGAGAAGAGAGAGAAGAGAAGTGAGGAGAGAGATAGAGAGATGAGAGAGAGAAAGAGAAGAGAGAACAGAGAGACAGGTGAGAGAGAGACGAGAAGACAGATAGAGAGAAAGGACAGGTAGAGGAGAGAGAAAGAGAGAACAGGGAGGAGAGAAGAGAGACAGGTGAGAGGAGAAGGAAAGACAGATAGAGAGATGCAGAGAGAGGGACGGAGGGTGAGAGAGAGACTAGAGATGAGAGAGGTAGAGGAGAGATAGAGAAAGAGAGAAAGAGAGACAGGGTGAGAGAGACAGACAGATAGAGAGATGCAGAGAGAGAAAGAGAGACAGAGACAGGGTGAGAGAGACAGACAGATAGAGAGATGCAGAGAGACAGGGTGAGAGAGAGACAGATAGAGAGAGAAAGAGAGAGAAAGAGAGACAGGGTGAGAGAGACAGACAGATAGAGAGATGCAGAGAGAGAAAGAGAGACAGAGACAGGGTGGAGAGAGACAGAAAGCTAGAGAGATGCAGAGAGGAGACAGGGTGATGAGAGAGAGACAGATAGCAGAAGAGAAAGGAGAAGAGAGAGAAGAGGAGACAGGGGAGAGAGACCAGGGGGGACAGACAGATTAGAGAGATGCCAGAGGAGAGAAAGAGAGACAAGAGAGAACAGGGTGAGAGAGACAGAACAGATAGGAGCGATGCCCAGGGAGACAGGGTGAGAGAGAGACAGATAGAGAGAGAAAGAGAGACAGGGTGAGAGAGACAGACAGATAGAGAGATGCAGAGAGAGAAAGAGAGACAGAGAGACAGGGTGAGAGAGACAGACAGATAGAGAGATGCAGAGAGAGAAGGAGAGACAGGGTGAGAGAGACAGACAAAAGAGAGTGTTCCCACTGGCCCTGTGTAAACCTTGCTGATTCTGTCCCAATGTGGTTCCAGTCGGCTGGATGCTTTGTGTGCAGCAAGCTGGATAACCCACTGCTCTGTGACTGACTGACTGACTGACTGAGCACCTCATTGGACAGCGGCTGGGCAGCGGGGGGCTCCGGTGAATCCATGTCTATTGGGAGTTCTTCCTGGTAAAGTCAGCTGGTCAGGACAAACTCTAGCCTCTGACGCAATCTATATCGTCTCTTCACCTTCACTAACATCTCAAACAACCTGTCATATGACATGATAGCAAACATAGCTTGTTTTGACTGTGAGAACTGCAGTCAGATCTCATGAAGCCATTTGTAATGGAGTTAATAATATTTACATTTTAGTCATTTAGCAGACGCTCTTATCCACGTGCCGTAAACTCACTTCACAGCTAGCTTGAAATGTCGCCAATGGAGCTATCGAATTGGATCCATTTCTATAGCTCAATCGGTTCGTACGTTGTCAAGCGCGCAGTTACGTGTGTTGGCGAGGTAGAGGAACCTGATTCAAGGCCAGTCAGGGGCAGGTTCAGGGAGGCAGCACTATAAGCTAAGATGGCACACTGACACCGGTTATAAATACATCAATAAATATGACACTCTTAGAAATAAGGGTTCCTTTTTGGTTCCAGGTAGACCTCTTTTGGGTTCCATGTAGAACCCTCTGTGAAAAGGGTTCTACATGGAACCCAAAAGGGTTCTACCTGGAACCAAAAGTGTTCTATCTGGAACCAAAAGGAGTTCTTCAAAGGGTTCTCCTATGGGGACAGCCGAAAAACCCTTTTCGGTTCTAGATAACACCTTTTTTTCAGAGTGTAGTAGTAACTATGGTTTAACAACTATGCTTTGCAACTCCTCAGTCAATAGTCTAATATAGTGTTTGTGACTGTGATGTTTAGACCATTGTTGAAGCATGTTCATTCACACACCTCTACAATAAGGTGTATGTGCTCCCCCTTGGCACAGCCCATTGTAACCTCATCCTGATGATATATGGACCTGGCTGGCATTAACGATTTTCATTGATTCAGGCAACAGAATATCACATGGGGATGTCAACACAGCTCTCACCTTACAACACATACTAATACAATATAATCTGACCTAACCTGCAATAGTGCTGCTTTCCAACACTGACTGACACTCTTGACATCAACTGTAGAAAACATGCTCTTTCTAGCAGATAAATGGTCATACAATAAAATAAATAATCAAATTCACTCCAAATACAGTATTTCATTCCTGATATCCATAGTATTTAAAATATTTTAGTACACCTCCAGCCTCATCTGTACTGGCATGATGTTTTCAAAGGCATGGAAGGCAGACCTATTCAGAATGTTACTGACAGATTGAAACATTTACATTACATTTTAGTCATTTAGCAGACGCTCTTATCCAGAGCGACTTACAGGAGCAATTAGGGTTAAGTGCCTTGCTTAAGGGCACATCGACAGATTTTTCACCTAGTCGGCTCGGGGATTAGAACCAGCGACCTTTCGGTTACTGGCACAACGCTCTTACCCACTAAGCTACCTGCAACAACGTTGTCTTGTGGCCAGTTATCTCAGGGGAGACATTCAACACTGTTATACTTTCCATTGAGAGCCAACTCGCCTAATATGAAGTCAATGGCTCATAGTGTTGATCAGTAAGTAAATCACGCACTTGGAATATCTGTGGCACTTGACGCTCCATGCAAAATAAAGTTGTATTATCTCATACGGAACGTGCATAAAAGTGTAAAAAAGTACTTACATTGGATCAAAATCAGCGTTAAAACAGTCCTCTTTGGATTAAACTCCATTGTTGCAAGAGTAAAAAATAGGTGATGAAAGCAGCGCCTCTTCGGGTCCCCTTTTTTAACTTCAGCAGACTTCTCACGGTTGGTGAAATTCGCTCCGGAGGGTAGATATTGAGAAGGACAGAGAGGGAGTGGGCGTACCTACGTCACAGCGCACTACCTGACCCACAATTGCAGTGCGCTTCCGAGGAGCGAACAAGGGCTATAGCTCAATTATTATTTATTTTTTCTTATTGGGGGGTAGATCAGCTTAATATTGCAAATAGATTGTAACTTCCATCAATGTAATTGTCTGCATCACTTCCAATCCCCCAGGTTTTTTATATATATACTCTCCTTTATTACTTTTCAACCCCGCCATCCTTTCCCTACTTGGGGTAAATTAGTGAACAACAATGCCCAGGCCTCTACTTCCAGCCTATACTTACTATCGAAATAATTCGAAATAATTCTATTTTATTTGTTTTTGCTCCTGAACTTCTTCTACTCTCAACCTCTCCGATTATTTTCATGATGTCCATCCGGTTTGCTTCTATATGCCATATCTTTCTAACTGTGCTCTTTCCCAAAAGCTCAATGATTGCGACATCTGGTTGGTTTGACCTTGCAAGGTAATATACTGTACTGTAGTGTAGTGTTCTCGTCTCAAATATGTTCGTGCTGCTACAATTAAATTATGACACGACATTGATTGGCTTGCAGGAGTTCTGTAGGTAAAATTCTTCATGTATACAAATGCCACTTAGATTTCTAACATGAGCTTTTATATGGAGAGAACGACCAACTTCACCAAGCCCATTTTAATATCCTTAATATTGACTTGTCTGAGTGAAAAGGCGCCTGTGATGTAATTATTTTCAATCCAGTATAGCATAGAGCAGGGATCATCAACAAGATTCAACCGCAGGCCGATTTTTTCTTGAGCAGATGGTTGGTCCGGAACAATTTGTAGACTGCAAATTGAAATCAAGAATCCCAAACAGATATAATATTTGACTAAAACATAATAATTTCAAACCTTGCTTACATTTGTATACGATCACGGGTCTCTCTATTATGCGTGAGAATACTTGGGAACAGATTTCTTAAATTAAAATCACTTGGAGCTGATTTCCTGGTGTTTTTACAATCTTTTATGTCCCAAATTAAAAAATTGCTCAGAACTTGGGGGCCAAATAAAACCACAGGTGGGCCTAATGGGGAAACCTGGCCTAGAGTGTAACTGTGGACACAATTGAGCAACATATTTTCTCTCACAAAAGCTCCTTCTCATTTTGTGGACTGTGGTTGATGATGACATCTCTCACATGACTTGATAACAACAATGCACCTATACAGTCACACTACAGGATGTGGTAAGGTATGAGTGGACAACTAGGTCTGGAACCATTTACTGTTATCTACACAGACAGGAAGTGGTGCTATCCAGTGGCGGCTCCTGAAAAAATTCTCAGGGGGGGCAATTTTTCTGATGATTTAGGTGACCTACACACATTTAAAAAAAGATATGTCCAGCAACAACATGAAGACAGGGGCAGCATATAAGTCAATACCAGAAGCATTTATTGACTGATCTCAAAAGTGTTGGCTTACCAGGGTTGGTGGAGCCCTCAGTTTCATCTTTGCCTCGCAAAGCTAACTCAAACACTCCGCAAAACTTCACACACTGGATTAGCCGGCTGAGGATGTGGCGGTTCTTGCTAATGTCGTAGTAAATATATTTGTTATAGTGAATATGGAATATGATATGTTGAGTAAAATGTTGTGCTAAGATCTATTTAGGTCAGGAGCTGGTTATAAGTTCTGTTCCTATCCAATAACAATGGACAAAAGGGTCCTATCTTGTCAGCCTTGTCAGTTTCAGTTCTCCAGTAAACTTGTGATTATCAACACTAACCTCATCGTTGTGGCGGCGGACAGCTAGCCTGTATCCCTCATCCAGTTGAGTGGGAATGTTCACTCTCCCCAAAGCAGACAATCTCAAACAGCTATCCATGTGGGTCTTTGACAGCTCATGTTTCTTAATCTTTCCTGAAAGATGGTGCATGTCCGTTACACACCAGTCGCTGTCCAAGCGGTGCTGTCTGCCGTGCCGCCTTCAGGGTGAAAGAGTAAGCAGGGGGTAGCAGAAGACTGCATTAGCTACATCGCAGCCTGCTAGCCAGGTTTTTCGTTCGTACCAATTTTTGGAAAATCCTCGGGTGTAGGACTTCCCCCCTTTAGTAGAAACCTGTTGAATTATTAAATTTGGTCTGGGAGGTCCTAATTGTTTCGTTGCCAATTTATCTTCATTTGTTCGCCGACAAAAAGGAACTTCTTTCAAAGACACAATCGAGTTGCACTGAAGCCTAGCCATTTTGACAGTAATAGTGAATTGATTGACGCTGCTACCCGCTCTTTTCTTAGTTACGTTCATGGTTATGTTACGTATGACGAAAGCGCGTAAGTGCAAGCCCTCAGAAACCCATAGAGATTATTGAAAGCTCTGATATTTGAAAAAAATAGATTTTACATGGGAGTCTATGACAGACTTCTGGGCGATTTTCAACCTGACTGAAATCGCCCCAAAAGGGGGGGGGGGGGGCATTTGAAGCACGACTTTAGCCTGATTGGACATTTAGTGGCACTGTGGCAGATCAGACGTCTAGATTACAACACTGATAACTACTGTTGCCGTGATATAATTGATTAGAAAAAAAATCCCTTCCTTTTCCCGTTTGGCAGTGCGTCGCCCATATCGCCCTATTGAACACACCGCCCCTGGTGCTATCTTCTTTATACTCCTTATAAGATCATCCATTAAAGATAACAACATGCTATATACTCAGTAATACACCACATGCTCGTTCAAACATAGTGATAAACCAAATGGTATGAATGGTGACCAATGAGTCATTATGTTTTAGTAACTTGTCTGATTTAGTATTTACATTACGTCTGTGTGTCCATATAAATGTTTACTGTATATGTTTCCAGAGAATGATATATTGCATTTCAATTTGACAGGTGACTCTTGGGACTATTTGTTAACAACACACCCACCCCTGCCTGACCCCAGTCCCTCATAGTTACATGTCACGACTTCCGCCGAGGCTGCCTCCCCTCCTTGTTCGGGCAGGTTTCGGCGTTCGTCAACAGCGGCTTACTAGCTACTGCCGATCCCATTCTCATCACTCCACTTGTCATGTCTTGTCTTGTCAATCACACACACCTGGTGCTCATTCCCCTAATTAGTATGTGTATAAGTGTTCCCTCTGTCTTTGTGAGTGATTGTTTCATTGTGAGAGCGAGTAGCTCACTCTTCCATTTGTTATTGCCAAGGTGGAATATTTCCCTTGTGATAGTTTCGTTTTGATGCTTGGTGTGTTTTATTTATGTAAATAGAATAAACTCTGGACTTCTGTGTTTTACCCCCTGAAAGATTGTACACCATTTCCTATAAAGCTCTCTCTAAAGGTGCTATGTAAGTCCTGAGGCAGAGCAGTAGTGCTATGGAAGCCCTGAGGCAGAGCAGTAGTGCTATGGAAGCCCTGAGGCAGAGCAATAGGTAGTAGTGCTATGGAAGCCCTGAGGCAGAGCAGTAGTGCTATGGAAGCCCTGAGGCAGAGCAATAGTCAGTAGTGCTATGGAAGCCCTGAGGCAGAGCAGTAGTGCTATGGAAGCCCTGAGGCAGAGCAGTATTCAGTAGTGCTATGGAAGCCCTGAGGCAGAGCAGTAGTCAGTAGTGCTATGGAAGCCCTGAGGCAGAGCAATAGTCAGTAGTGCTATGGAAGCCCTGAGGCAGAGCAGTAGTGCTATGGAAGCCCTGAGGCAGAGCAGTAGTGCTATGGAAGCCCTGAGGCAGAGCAGTATTCAGTAGTGCTATGGAAGCCCTGAGGCAGAGCAATAGTCAGTAGTGCTATGGAAACCCTGAGGCAGAGCAATAGTCAGTAGTGCTATGGAAGCCCTGAGGCAGAGCAGTAGTCAGTAGTGCTATGGAAGCCCTGAGGCAGAGCAATAGTCAGTAGTGCTATGGAAGCCCTGAGGCAGAGCAATAGTCAGTAGTGCTATGGAAGCCCTGAGGCAGAGCAATAGTCAGTAGTGCTATGGAAACCCTGAGGCAGAGCAATAGTCAGTAGTGCTATGGAAGCCCTGAGGCAGAGCAGTAGTCAGTAGTGCTATGGAAGCCCTGAGGCAGAGAAATAGTCAGTAGTGCTATGGAAGCCCTGAGGCAGAGCAATAGTCAGGGATCTCCCTCTCTGTGTCTCTGTCTCTCTTTCAAAGGCCTTTATTGGCATGGGAAACATGTTTACCTTGCGAAAGCAAGTAAAATAGACAATAAACAAAAGGGAAATAAACAAGGACATTTCTCTCTCTCCCTGTCTCTCTCTCTCTCTCTCGCTGTCTCTCTCTGTGTCTCATCTGTGTCTCTCTCTCTCTGTGTGTGTATGTCCCTCTCCCTGTCGCTCTCTCTCTCTGCCTCTCTTTGTGTCTCGGTCTCTCTCGCTGCCTGCCTCTCTCTCTCACCCCACAGAACCCCAATGATATCCATATCCATGGGTTTAACATCAGCATTGTCATCAATCATTAACCCAAACTGTGGGTGTTCATTTGTCTGGCTGTCTGTCTGTCTGCCTGTGTTCATGTTTTGAGTTATTGTTCTGTAGGCACAAACACCTACAAAGAAAGGCAGATGCCAGCTGCAGAATCATACTGGAAGCTGTCTTGCCCATTTTCTCTCAGCTCTCAGTCTGAACCCATGAAACCCGTCTGTGTAATGGGGTCAGTAGGCCTGCAGGGCCCAGACTGCCCACTGATTTAACAGGATCCAGATGAAAGAATGAACTGTAATCCCAAACGCATGAGCAACCTATTTGCAGCAAAATAGCTCACCTGCTGCCTGCCCTGCAGAGAGGGACATCATTTATGACTTCTTAGCATTCAATGATCACACACACACACCTGTAACTAACCTGCTATACCACAATACTTATCCAGTGCTATGGCCATTGATTTCCAACATGTATTAATTAAAAAACAATTCTTTATTATTTTTTGGCATAAGATCCTTGACAGCATGTGCAATGCTTTCAAAATGCTTTCAAATCTGTGCTGATCAGAGTACATACAGTATGACAAACCAGTGCATTAAATGGAAAGTTCACAGCAGTGTGTATGACTGGAGTACATCAGTCTGATGCAGTCCCTCCCTCCCTCCCCCTCCCCCCTCCCTGAATTTAGGCGGAGAGAAAACAGAGATGGTGCATAAATAAAAGAGGGAACATTTCTACTTTTAAACCTCTACCGCTCCGGCCATAACAGAGACTACAGGGCTTTGGTATAACCTGGTGTTGATATGCATTGCAAACCAAAATCACCCCCCCCCCCCCCCCCCGTATGTGACTTTCAACAGCCTAGTTTCCAGAGTTTGACCTTCTCTGAGACAAACATCTCTTTGTTTTGTGATACTGACAGGTTCGAACATCAGGAATCAAGTTACACTCAGCTGAAATACTTTTTGGATTACTGTATGTGACCGTAGGCTACCTCACGAAATCACTCCCCCAAATCAAAAGACAGAACAGAAAGAAAGATGAGTAAAAAAAAAAAAACATCTTAGTGAATAGATACAAAATGCATCTAGTTCCAATACACATTTATCAAACATTTAAATTTTGATCAAGATATAAGACCAATATTTACATATTTTCTTTTTAATTATATTTTCTTTTAAAATACTAACTTTGTTTGTTTTATCTAATTCATACTATTGCCATACTATCATCATACTATCACCATACTATTAACATACTATCACCATACTATCACCATCCTATTAACATACTATCACCATACTATCACTACACTATCACTATCCTATCACCATACTATCACTATTCTATCACCATACTATTACCATACTATCACATTTACATTTTAGTCATTTAGCAGACGCTCTTATCCAGAGCGACTTACAGTTAGTGAGTGCATACATTTTTCATACTGGCCCCCCGTGGGAATACTATCACCATACTATCGCCATACTCTCGCCATACTATCATATGTAATACCTGAGAAATGTTGGAGCAAATGACTTATTTTCTCTCTATTACTGACATATAGGGCCTTGGTGATACATGCTGGACTCAATTTGATCTTAAATTAGAGGAATTATTGCAAACATAACTTTATGTACAAACTTTACATTACATGTACAGTATAATCAAAGGTTTTCCTAATACTGTAAAGGAACAATCTGTAAGTTCTCTGCCCCCATGTGGTAACAAGATGAAACAAAAACTAGATGAGGAAATATATTTTTTAAATAAACATTGTATTTATGTCAATAGTTAAATGCATCTGTTCCTCCTCTTCTTTTATACTGAATATATATTTGGGGAGGGTACACTTGCATAGACCCCTTCAATATTCAGGGAAACACTCTTGTTAAAACAAATAATAATCCAATTTACAGATTGCACTCGTAAGACTGGAAAAACACTCATGTGAAAATATTAGTGTCTCATATCAGTGTCTCAAAAAGCAAACATCATGCTTAGAAGATGAGGAATGTCTCAAAATATAGGTAATAACACATAAATGCAGCACATGGTATACATTTACAATATATTCGTTAAAAATATCTAACAAACTATAACACAGGACTCTAATCCATCGCAGATTGTCTTGGACATTTGGACCATTTTGGTGTAATGCCATACTGTAATCTGAGGTGTTTTTAGTGTCGTTGGGATGTTGACGCTATAAGTGAACCTGAGAACGTTTTGTCCTGTTGTATAAAGCTGATGTGGCTGCATTTGATCAGGTCTGGGTCAGGGTGCCATTATCCTTCAGGTCTTCTGATTTCCCTTCTAGCTTAGGTCTTTTAGGTCCAGGTCTTGGTACCCAAGTTGGATAGATGGAAGACCAAAGTGTACTGTACAAGTTCAATATTTCCCCAGGCCTCTCTATCCACTGAACCAGATCATGTTTTTAAGGCTGGTAGATGTGCCACATCACATTCAGGTGAATGGTTGTTGCAGAGCCATAAATAGACAGGCTTTTCTTCTGACCTGATGGCATTCAGGTGAATTGGTTGATGGGGTATTTCCTATGGTATCTCTTCTGACTGACCTGAAGACAGACCTGAAGACAGACCTGAAGACAGACAGATCTGTAGGGTGGTGGAAGGATCAGTCCTTCATGTCGTCATTCTCCATGTCCTCTATGGATCTTCTCTTGAAAAACCCAGCCTGGTGGAGCAGAAAAGACAACAGTGAATAAAACATCATCCAGAATTCACATCCAAACTCCAAGTCTCAGGTTTGAGTTCAAGTTCAATAGATTTAAAAATGCATTTCACACATGATCACACCACTGTTGAGCCTCTCTATAATACAAGCCTTGACCCTACTCTCCCAGGGTGTCTCAGGGGGAGTTGGGATATGCAAAAAACACATTTGCAATTCACTCATGCATATAATACACACTTGTACATGTGTGAGATAGGCCAAATACAAGCATTATTATTATTATTATTATTATTATTATTCTATTTGGGAAGATACAAATTATAATAGAATAAAAGTTCCCCAACAGACACAAGCAGACAGAAGGTTGTGAACACACACATACCCTCCATAGAGTGAAGATGACCAGTGCCAGAATGAGCAGTCCTATTAGGATGCTGACTATAATGATCCACAGTGGTATACCTCCCAACGCCTCTTTAGAGACCTGGATCTTCACCTGAGATGGAAGCAAGAGTTTTACACGAACCAGAAAACAAGCAAAGGATAAAAAGCAAACACATAAAGGCTGTGTTTACACAGGCAGCCCAATTCTGATATTTTTTCCTGATTATTAGCAAAAAATCAGTTCTGATTGGCCTAAAGACCAATAATTGGGCAAAAGATCAGAATTGTGCTGCCTGTGTAAACACAGCCTATCACATGAAAATGAATAGATAATTGCACTCACATCTCTGGCGTAATTGGGGGTACTCAACACAAAGAGATCAGTGTTCAGGTTCTCCAGAGTGGCATGAACAATCATATGAAGGCTGGGGAACTCTGCCTGTGGAGCAAAGAGCAATTCCATTATTCACTTAATATACCAATACATTTATCAATTAATAAATGTATCAATCAATTAATAAATAAATAAATCAATCAAAAACAATGAATGAATGAATTAAACAAACAAACAAACAAACAGGTGACACTTCACTGTACTCACTTTGATAAAGGTGGGTTTCCACACCCTGAAGGTAACATTGACCTGACTGTTGTTGACTTGAGGGATGGAGCAGTCAAATGACTTACACGGGTGGTCCTTACAGCCCTGCAAAGGAGAGTACCCACACTGTGAGACTCTCACACTCACACTCACACTCACACTCACACTCACACTCACACTCACACTCACACTCACACACAGTAGTGTTGACTCACCACCAGGAAGACACTGAGGGTCTCTTTTTTAGGATTGATGGTGTGCATGTTGTTGTGGTTGATCTTTAAAGGGTTAATCAGGTCCCTGACATTACATTTCACATCCTGTGGGAGAGAGAAAAGATCCATCAATCAATAAATTATCAATCAATCACATTTGGATCAACTTGATCCACACCACCACAGTTCTGCAGACTGTTTGACTTCCCAGTGTGATTGTCTGTTGACTGGTAGAGAACCATGTGCCGTCTACCTCTATGGTACAGTACGCATAATGTAGGTTAGAGAAGCCTTACCTGTGAGGAGGTGACATGTGTCAGATAAAGCAGGACGTTCTCTCTAGGTGATAGGTACGGGTACGTCACCCTCAGCTTCAGAGGAGGAGTCTCCATATCCACATCCTTTTTAACCTGGAAACCAGAGAGAGAGACAGGAAGTCACAGGTCTTTCAGTCAAAATGTAACCACGTTTTTTTTTCGCGCTTTGGCAACTTAGAATAAGTGTCTTACTTTTGGTATATAGTCAGTGGATTGCAACCTACTCAATCACCTTTTATAGCTACTGTTTACAGGCCTCCTGGGCTGTACACAGTGTTCCTCACTGAGTTCCCTGAATTCCTATTGGACCTCGTAGTCATGGTAGATAATATTCACATTTTTCAATATTCACATGGAGAAGTCCACAGACCTCACTGCTGCTCAATCAGCCTACTTTTCCAACCTGATTGAGGAGAGTACAAATTATCAAACATTTATTTTTGATACTGTCGCAAAGCTAACTAAAAAGCAGCATTCCCCAAGTGAGGATGGCCTTCACTTCAGCAGTGATGAATTCATTAACTTCTTTGATCATTAGAAAGCAAATTATTTGAATATGCATATTTCTCCAAAGCTCAGTTGTCCTGAGTCTGCACAGAACTGCCAGGACCTAGGATCAATGGAGACACTCAAGTGTTTAAATCCTATATCTCTTGAAACATTCCTGAAAATAGTCATGGCCTCTAAACCGTCAAGCTGCATACTGGACCCTATTCCAACTAAACTACTGAAAGAGCTACTTCCTGTGCTTGGCCCTCCTATGTTGAACAAAATAAACGGCTCCCTATCCTCCGAATGTGTACCAAACTCACTAAACGTGGCAGTACTAAAGCCTAGTGTTTTTACCATCGGCCTATATTATTTCAAGTTGCTGCTCAGCAACTCACTGCTTTCCTGAAGACAAATAATGCATACGAAATGCTCCAGTCTGGTTTTAAACTCCATCATAGTACTGAGACCATACTTGTGAAGGTGGTAAATTACCTTTTAATGGTGTCAGACCAAGGCTCTGCGTCTGGTCCTTGTGCTCCTAGAACTTAGTGTCGCTTTTGACACCATCGATCACCACAATAGTTTTGAAAGATTGGAAACTCAAAATGGTCTACACGGACAAGTTCTTGCCTGATTTAGATCTTATCTGTCGGAAAGATTATCAGTTCATCTTTGTGGATGGTTCGTCTTCTGACAAATCAACGGTAAGTTTCGGTGTTCCTCAAGGTTCCATTTTAAGATTGAAGCTGTCATCAAGGCAAAGGGTGGCTATTTGAAGAATCTCAAATATAAAATATATTTGATTTGTTTAACACTTTTTTGGTTACTACATGATTCCATATGTGTTATTTCATAGTTTTGATGTCTTCACTATTATTCTATTATATAAAAATAAAGAAAAACCCTTGAATGAGTAGATGTTCTAAAACTTTTGACCGGTAGTGTACACTATGGTCACAAGACGCAGGCCTGCTTATTGTTGAAAGAATTTCTAAGCAAGCAACTGGAGGCAGGGCTTTCTCCTATAGAGCTCCATTTTTATGGAATGGTCTGCCGATCCATGTGAGAGACGCAGACTCGGTCTCAACCTTTAAGTCTTTACTGAAGACTCATCTCTTCAGTAGGTCCTGTGATTGAGTGTAGTCTGGCCCAGGGATGCTTAGGTGAACGGAAAGACACTGGAGTGACGAACCACCCTTCCTGTCTTTGCCTTGCCGGCTCCCATCTCTCTACTGGGATTCTCTGCCTTTACCCTATAGAGTACCACAGTATGAGTCATAATACCCATAAAACAGGGAAATTGATTTATACGTTATCAAAACATCACACCAGGGTAAGTCTACACGAAACACAGCACTTATTTTAAGTGTTTCTAAAATCCCCTATGGGAAAATTAATGGTGGAAAAAATGATTGGAACCATTTCCCTGTTTGACCGCTAGGTTTTATGGGTATTATGACGCCTCCACTGTGGGGCTATATTACGGGCACAGCCAGAAGAGGACTGGCCACCCCTCAGAGCCTGGTTCCTCTCTAGGTTTCTTCCTAGGTTCCTGCCTTTCTAGGGAGTTGTTCCGAGCCACCATGCTTCTACATCTGCATTGCTTGCTCTTTGAGGTTTTAGGCTGGGTTTCTGTATAAGCACTTTGTGACATCTGATGATGTAAAAAGGGCTTTATAAATACATTTAATTGAATTGCTCTTATCCCCTGGCCATATTTAACCAGGTATTACTACAGTCTACAGTATGTAGGTCTTACCGTATAGCTGATCTTGACCTCTTCTCCTATCACACTGGTGTGGTTGAAGACGCTGGGGTACTGCTCTCCCTCTTTCACTATGATGTGGTCCTCCTTCATATGCCTGTCACTGAGAGATGGAGGGATGAGAAAGGAGATGGAAAGATTAGAAAGGAGATGGAAAGATTTGAAAAAAGGTCAAACTAATACTGTACCTCTATTTTTTATGGATATAAAAATGTGCTGTAGGTGTTGTAGCTGCTGCTGTCTGTACTCACGCAGTGAATCTGAGTCCAGCCTCGTACTTCACAGGGATGGAGATTCTCACAGAGTTGTCATGGAGGGTGGTCTTCAATTCCTCACTGTCACTGTAGGAATGAGAAAAGTAATTGCATTATAATTTTGACATTTCAATATTTCTTCTTTGCTCGCTCATTTATTTTCTGTTGCTGAGATTTAGCATGGAACCCAGGACTCCCCGGAAAACACTAGCCATTGTTACTGTGTGGATTATCCTGGCTAAATAAATAAAATGAATGAATGAACACCATGGCTTACTGTACCTGGTTGCAGTTACGTTGATCTGAATTTCTTTCCAGACGTGGGCAGGGTTGACTTCAAACAGGATCTTAAACACCTCCTGGAGGGAGAACAAGCAGAATCCATCAGTGGCCTATTCATCACAAAATGAAACATGAAGTACATAGTGAGTCTAATGGTACAAGAATAGATTTGTATGATTGCAGGAATCGTCTTACCTCTACATTGCTTTTGAGGAATGGATATCCTACAGCACACTCAACTTTGGTATTATTCAGACTGCAGTCTTTGTCTTTGGGCTGCAGAGTAAAGGGTTGATATCACATACAATGTCAACGTCAAAACCCATACTGACGTTCTGATTCCCAACATCCAAGACATCAATGTAAATCAAAGCTACACAACAACTATACAAACATAGAGAAGAAGCTCACCTCGACTTTGACGTAGTTGATGTTTTCAGTAAAGCTGAGCATGACTTTGGTGTTGTAGGCATTGTCTTGACTGTTTCTAGTGGTAATGAGCACATGGAACTTTTCCTTGTTGGCTTTGATCACAAGACTGGAAATAATAGGAAAGTTATTACTGTAGCAGGGCAGGTTTTACTGTAATGTTATTACTGTAGCAGGGCAGGTTTTACTGTAATGTTATTACTGTAGAAGGTCAGATTTTACTGTAATATTACTACTGTAGCAGGTCAGATTTTACTGTAATATTATTACTGTAGCAGGGCAGATTGTGCAGTAATGCTGCGACACTTCATCTGGACCAACACAAGGGGGCACTAAAGTACAAGGGCAACATACCTAGCACTGAATTACCACATAACTGCCACAAAATCATGACAGTTAGATGGCTTGAAAGAATACAATCTTTGTGAAAATACCTTTGTATACTTGGCACAGCCTTCAGGGATAGGTCAGCTATGCACTTGTCATCGCTCCCACAGTCCACCAAAGGAATCTGAATGACATGTGCATGGTTACAAGCAATATAGGCTAGACCATGTACAAGACAGCACTAGCAAGAAAGCAGTCGAAAACTAATTCACTCGCTTTAGTGATTGCATCAAGAGACAGTGAATTGTCTGTGTTCTTGTTTGTTTTTTGACTGAAAGAGTCCTTTGTTTTTCCTTCCCAAACGTTTGGGAGTCAAAATCCCATTGGTTCCCATTCCCAGTGTCATTGGAATGATGACTAGAGCAACACTGTCTGCTCTCAGGAATGACGTTCTGGGATGCCATACGATGTCTCAGGGAAAACATAGCGCTTCCACTTGATAAGTGTGTGTGTGTCAGAGGAAACTGGTGGGAGGAGCTATAGGAGGACAGGCTCATTGTAATAGCTGGAATGCAATGAATGGAACGGTATCAAACATATGGAAAACAAATGTTTGACTCCATTCCATCAATTCAATTCCATTCCAACTATTACAATGAGCCTGTCCTCCTATAGCTCCTCCCACCAGTTTCCTCTGGTGTGTGTGTGTGTGTGTGTGTGTATATATGTGTGTGTGTGTGTGAGTGAGCTTGCGTCCGTGCACGTTAGAGAGCATGTGTGTGTTTGTTTGTCCCATCTCTGCTCTCCACTAACAATAACAGGACCCCTCCTCTAGTATCACAGAATGAACTCAATGATCCTGAGTGGTGTGTTGTACTGAGAGTGGTGTGGTGTGTTGTACTGAGAGTGTTGTGGTGTGTTGTACTGAGAGTGTTGTGGTGTGTTGTACTGAGAGTGGTGTGGTGTGTTGTACTGAGAGTGGTGTGGTGTGTTGTACTGAGAGTGGTGTGGTGTGTTGTACTGAGAGTGGTCTGGTGTGTTGTTCTGAGAGTGGTGTGGTGTGTTGTACTGAGAGTGGTGTGGTGTGTTGTACTGAGAGTGGTGTGGTGTGTTGTACTGAGAGTGGTGTGGTGTGTTGTACTGAGAGTGGTGTGGTGTGTTGTACTGAGAGTGGTGTGGTGTGTTGTACTGAGAGTGGTGTGGTGTGTTGTACTGAGAGTGTAGTGGTGTGTTGTTCTGAGAGTGTTGTGGTGTGTTGTACTGAGAGTGGTGTGGTGTGTTGTACTGAGAGTGGTGTGGTGTGTTGTACTGAGAGTGGTGTGGTGTGTTGTTCTGAGAGTGGTGTGGTGTGTTGTACTGAGAGTGGTGTGAGAGTGGTGTGGTGTGTTGTACTGAGAGTGGTGTGGTGTGTTGTACTGAGAGTGGTGTGGTGTGTTGTACTGAGAGTGGTGTGGTGTGTTGTACTGAGAGTGGTGTGGTGTGTTGTACTGAGAGTGTTGTGGTGTGTTGTTCTGAGAGTGGTGTGGTGTGTTGTACTGAGAGTGTTGTGGTGTGTTGTACTGAGAGTGGTGTGGTGTGTTGTACTGAGAGTGGTGTGGTGTGTTGTACTGAGAGTGGTGTGGTGTGTTGTTCTGAGAGTGGTGTGGTGTGTTGTACTGAGAGTGGTGTGGTGTGTTGTACTGAGAGTGGTGTGGTGTGTTGTACTGAGAGTGGTGTGGTGTGTTGTACTGAGAGTGGTGTGGTGTGTTGTACTGAGAGTGGTGTGGTGTGTTGTACTGAGAGTGGTGTGGTGTGTTGTACTGAGAGTGGTGTGGTGTGTTGTTCTGAGAGTGGTGTGGTGTGTTTGTACTGAGAGTGGTGTGGTGTGTTGTACTGAGAGTGGTGTGGTGTGTTGTACTGAGAGTGGTGTGGTGTGTTGTACTGAGAGTGTTGTGGTGTGTTGTTCTGAGAGTGGTGTGGTGTGTTGTACTGAGAGTGTTGTGGTGTGTTGTACTGAGAGTGGTGTGGTGTGTTGTACTGAGAGTGGTGTGGTGTGTTGTACTGAGAGTGTTGTGGTGTGTTGTACTGAGAGTGGTGTGGTGTGTTGTACTGAGAGTGGTGTGGTGTGTTGTACTGAGAGTGGTGTGGTGGTGTTGTACTGAGAGTGGTGTGGTGTGTTGTACTGAGAGTGGTGTGGTGTGTTGTACTGAGAGTGGTGTGGTGTGTTGTACTGAGAGTGTTGTGGTGTGTTGTTCTGAGAGTGGTGTGGTGTGTTGTACTGAGAGTGGTTGTGGTGTGTTGTACTGAGAGTGGTGTGGTGTGTTGTACTGAGAGTGGTGTGGTGTGTTGTACTGAGAGTGGTGTGGTGTGTTGTACTGAGAGTGGTGTGGTGTGTTGTACTGAGAGTGGTGTGGTGTGTTGTACTGAGAGTGGTGTGGTGTGTTGTACTGAGAGTGGTGTGGTGTGTTTGTACTGAGAGTGGTGTGGTGTGTTGTACTGAGAGTGGTGTGGTGTGTTGTTCTGAGAGTGGTGTGGTGTGTTGTTCTGAGAGTGGTGTGGTGTGTTGTACTGAGAGTGGTGTGGTGTGTTGTACTGAGAGTGGTGTGGTGTGTTGTACTGAGAGTGGTGTGGTGTGTTGTTCTGAGAGTGGTGTGGTGTGTTGTACTGAGAGTGGTGTGGTGTGTTGTACTGAGAGTGGTGTGGTGTGTTGTTCTGAGAGTGGTGTGGTGTGTTGTACTGAGAGTGGTGTGGTGTGTTGTACTGAGAGTGGTGTGGTGTGTTGTACTGAGAGTGTTGTGGTGTGTTTATAGCATGAGAGACAGTGAACATGTGCTAACTGACAAAACAGACATGCAACTTGGATGACATCACACCCTGTATTGTGTTGAGGAACTCGAGTCCTCATGGAATCTCTGTTCTACCACTGTGTTAACATCCTGTTCTACCACTGTGTTAACATCCTGTTCTACCACTGTGTTAACATCCTGTTCTACCACTGTGTTATCATCCTGTTCTACCACTGTGTTAACATCCTGTTGTACCACGGTGTTATCATCCTGTTCTACCACTGTGTTAACATCCTGTTGTACCACAGTGTTATCATCCTGTTCTATCACTGTGTTAACATCCTGTTGTACCACGGTGTTATCATCCTGTTCTACCACTGTGTTAACATCCTGTTGTACCACGGTGTTATCATCCTGTTCTACCACTGTGTTAACATCCTGTTGTACCACAGTGTTATCATCCTGTTCTATCACCGTGTTAACATCCTGTTGTACCACGGTGTTATCATCCAGCTACATGTTTTGGCTCCCTCCGTCCCTCTGCCAAACAACTCATTAAAACGATGTGTGTGGGAGCTGCACTATAGGAACAGGATAACCGTCTGTCAGTGTTTTAGAGCCTCTGATAGGAACTAGTGATGGATGGAGGACAGCCGTTGGAGAGGATATTCATACTCTACAGTGCTAGAAGGAGCCAGACTGTATGAGTGTGTAAAGTACGGATTCCTGACTACTCTGCTCACATTGTGCCGATTCACTGTTGCAATATATGATAGCTGAGGTCTAATCAAAGTAAGGTAAGAAAATCAGATGTTTGCATGCACACACGTATTGTTAGCCAAGGAGGGCCTGTAGTGGCTAAAGAGGGAAGCAAGCCAAGCTAAACAAAATTAATGGAAAGACAAAAGTTACTGGTTTGTGTGTGTGCTTGTGTGTTAAATCTGCCGCAGTGTGGTTCATTGTACCGTTTTGTTGAGTGACGTTGGTAAGTCTCCATCCAGGACAGGGCCTGTGTCCTCAGCCAGACCAAACTCTAGGGAGACCATGATGGGGTCTCTGAAGTCCAGTTTAGCCTGCAAGGAAGAGGGGATAATGTAATTATATGAACAATGTATGTACTCTACACTCTTAGCTGTACTTAGACAAGCTTTTGCTTACTGTCAGAGTACAGTATCGTTTTTAAAAAATGCATTTTTATTAAATGTCAGTATTTCTCATCTTATGTACTGTTGTCTTCTGTATGCTTTATATCTCATTCGCTGTATCAAATCAAATGTTATTGGTCGCATACACATATTTAGCAGATGTTATTGCGGGTGTAACGAAATGTTTGTGTTCCTAGTGTGCAACAGTGCAGTAATATCTAACAATACACATGTATGTATAACCCGCCCTGTTATCAGTAGTCCCTCTGGATTACGAGGGCTGCATGTCTATTAGTTCTCCCCCTGGGAGGACAATGTGGGTTCTGTGTGTCAGTCTCTATCAGACAGCAGCTATGTTCCAGGTGGGATAGACAGCATGTGATCTGTCTGGCTACGTGGTGTACCAGACTCCCTCCCTCCCTCCTGTCTCTTTTCCCTCTCTCCTCTGTTCTTTTCATCTGACATTCTCACTAAAACCTTATATTGTACTACTATCTGCTACAAAACTCAGTAAAACAATTAACAATCAATGTAATGTGAATTGATTTCTAGGCCTCTTTTAAGCCGAATGCTTGTATCTACAGTAATGGACCTTTTGTAAAAGGGGTTGTTTTACTGGAGATGATTTTACCTTTGATCAAGGGAAGGAGATCTGTCTCCGCTTTCATGTTAAGAGCTTTCCTACCATACTGTACATCCATCCACTGCATTCACTGGCCAGTCTACTGAGATACTAATGGCCCTTTAGCCTGGTCCCAGGCTTTGTGCTGTTTTGCCAATCAACTCCTATGGTCATGTCATGCCAAACATAGGAGTTGACTATACAGAACAAACCGATCTGGGGCCAGGCTAAAAGCTTTATCTGATGCTATCACAATGAAAATTGTAACCCATTTTCCCTCTCTGGTTCAAACTCTGCAGCCAGTAGCACATTCAACAGTGTTCTACTAGTATGTAAGAGAGGGAATTTTTTCTTCTTCTATGGGCTCTCTTCCTCTCCCTCCTCTCTCCCTCCCTCCTCTCTCCCTCCCTCCTCTCTCCCTCCCTCCCTCCCTCCTCTCTTCCTCCTCTCTCCCTCCTCTCTCCCTCCTCTCTTCATGTTGACCAGGCTGATTGAGGAAGGATTTACTTGCCTTCATGGCAAAGGAATGCTCCAGACACAGAGTGTCTATGATGTTGACGATGGCCTGGACCTTCCTCTCACTCTTCTCATCAGAGTTGACAAACGCTGCCCTCGACTTCGCCCTCAGAGAGTCCAGAGTCAGGTTGTACTTAATGGCTGAAACACAACAAACACCAAATCCGGTAACTTTCCCATAATTCTCAGGTTTTCCAGAAATCCTGGAGAAAAGACTGTCTGGTTTACAGTTTATATTTTACTCCTTTAGCAGATGCTCTTATCCAGAGTCAGTTACAATCATTGCATTTAATTGAAGTGTTTACACTGTAAACATTCAAACATACTGGAAGTACATTTATCAGACTCTCACCTGTGCCCAAGTTAGTGTGGTCCTTCTCAGACTTGACGCTGTAGCTAAAGCAGACACTGGTCTTCACACACACGGTGTCTCTCCCACCCAGCACACAGTCTTTAGTGGGCTGCTGTAGGTTGATCTTGCTTGGGTCAAAGGTCATGTTGGCATAAAGCTCAGCAACATCCTTGGACCTGAATGACAAACAGAAATTCAGAAACTTGTAACTGGCATATGAAACTGTTACAATAATCAATGAACTGTGAATTAAACTTAAAAAAAAAAGTAGCCAAAATGGTATTGCTATAATTCTTTATACAGTAAACCTCAAAATCAAATTAAAAACACTTTATTAAATTCTTATGTAAAGATGTGTGCTAACCACGTCGCCGGCCATGGCGGCTCTACAAAAATATCCATAAATGAGTTATACAGTGGAATTGGAAAGTATTCAGACCCCTTGACTTTTTCCACATTTTGTTACGTTACAGCCTTATTCTAAAATGGATTAAATACCCCATAATGACAAAGCAAAAATACAAATATCACATTTACATAAGTATTCAGACCCTTTCCTCAGTACTTTGTTGAAGTATTTTTGGCAGCGATTACAGCCTCGAGTCTTCTTGGGTATGCGCTACAAACTTGGCAAACCTGTATTTGGGGAGTTTCTCCCATTCTTCTCTGCAGATCCTCTCAAGCTCTGTCAGGTTGGATGGGGAGCGTCGCTGCACAGCTATTTTCAGGTCTCTCCAGAGATGTTAGATCGGGTTCAAGTCCGGGCTCTGGCTGGGCCACTCAAAGACATGTCCCGAAGCCACTCCTGCATTGTCTTGGCTGTGTGCTTAGGGTCGTTGTCCTGTTGGAAGGTGATGGTGCCAGGTTTCCTCCAGATGTGACGCTTGGCATTCAGGCCAAAGAGTTCAATCTTGGTTTCATCAGACCAGAGAATCTTGTTTCTCATGGTCTGAGAGTCCTTTAGGTGCCTTTTGGAAAACTCCAAGCGGGCTGTCATGTGCCTTTTTTACTGAGGAGTGGCTTCTGTCTGGCCACTCTACCATAAAGGCCTGATTAGTAGAGTGCTGCAGAGATGATTGTCCTTCTGGAAGGTTCCCCCATCTCCACAGAGGAACTCTGGAGCTATGTCAGCGTGACCATTGGGTTCTTGGTCACCTCCCTGACCAAGGCCCTTCTCCCCCTATTGTTCAGTTTGGCCAGGTGACCAGCTCTAGGAAGAGTCTTGGTGGTTCCAAACTTCTTCCATTTAAGAATGATGAAGGCCACTGTGTTCTTGGGGACCTTCAATGCTGCAGACATTTTTTGGTATGCTTCCCCAGATCTGTGCCTCGACACAATCCTGTCTTGGAGCTCTACAGACAATTCTTTCGACCTCATGGCTTGCTTTTTGCTCTGACATCCACTGTCAACTGTGCAACCTTATATAGACAGGTGTGTGCCTTTCCAAATCATGTCCAATCAATTGAATTTACCACAGATGGACTCCAATCAAGTTGTAGAAACATCTCAAGGATGATAAATGGAAACAGGAGGTCCATTTCATGACTCATAGCAAAGGGTCTGAATACTTCTGTAAATAAGGTATTTCTGTTTTTAACTTTTAATAAATTTGCAAGAATTTCTATAAACCTGTTTTCACTTTGTCATTATTGGGTATTGTGTGTAGATTGATAACAAAATGTGGAAAAAGGGAAGGGGTCTGAATACTTTTTCAGAATGCACTGTATGTTCTCCAGTTGCAGTATCAAACTGTTAGAGCCACTGTTAGGCCCACTGCCATGGATGCTCTGGAATTAGGGAGTGACTCTCTAACTCTCTACAGCCACGCTCTGTTAAGCAGAGGAGTGACTCCCGCTCTCTCTACAGCCCCGCTCTGTTAAGCAGAGGAGTGACTCCCGCTCTCTCTACAGCCCCGCTCTGTTAAGCAGAGGAGTGACTCCCGCTCTCTCTACAGCCACGCTCTGTTAAGCAGAGGAGTGACTCCCGCTCTCTCTACAGCCCCGCTCTGTTAAGCAGAGGAGTGACTCCCGCTCTCTCTAACAGCCCCGCTCTGTTAAGCAGAGGAGTGACTCCCGCTCTCTCTACAGCCCCGCTCTGTTAAGCAGAGGAGTGACTCCCGCTCTCTCTACAGCCCCGCTCTGTTAAGCAGAGGAGTGACTCCCGCTCTCTCTACAGCCACGCTCTGTTAAGCAGAGGAGTGACTCCCGCTCTCTCTACAGCCACGCTCTGTTAAGCAGAGGAGTGACTCCCGCTCTCTCTACAGCCACGCTCTGTTAAGCAGAGGAGTGACTCCCGCTCTCTCTACAGCCACGCTCTGTTAAGCAGAGGAGTGACTCCCGCTCTCTCTACAGCCACGCTCTGTTAAGCAGAGGAGTGACTCCCGCTCTCTCTACAGCCACGCTCTGTTAAGCAGAGGAGTGACTCCCGCTCTCTCTACAGCCACGCTCTGTTAAGCAGAGGAGTGACTCCCGCTCTCTCTAACAGCCACGCTCTGTTAAGCAGAGGAGTGACTCCCGCTCTCTCTTCTCCTACAGCCAAGCTCTGTTAAGCAGAGGAGTGACTCCCGCTCTCTCTACAAGCCCCGCTCTGGTTAAGCAGAGGAGTGACTCCCGCTCTCTCTACAGCCACGCTCTGTTTAAGCAGGGAGTGCCTCCCGCTCTCTCTACAGCCACGCTCTGTTAAGCAGAGGAGTGACTCCAGCTCTCTCTACAGCCCCGCTCTGTTAAGCAGAGGAGTGACTCCCGCTCTCTCTACAGCCACGCTCTGTTAAGCAGAGGGCCAAGAACCCAGGAGGAAGAGCTGCCAAATCATGTTTTAAGAGCTATGCCTCTTGGGAGTTTGAGTTTTTCACACAGCCCTGGTCAACTAGGCCTGTTCCAGCTGAAACTGAGTGGGCGTGAAGGATCCCTGGCTGGGGTCATCCCTGAAATGTGTGGGCTCATCTCCAGAAGACAAGACAAGAGAAGAGAAGAGAAGAGAAGAGAAGAGGAAGAGAAGATAGATAAGAAGAGAGAGCTAACAGAAAGAAGAGAAAGATAGAGAAGATAAGCAAGAACGAAAACGACTAGGATATCACTTATAGAGCGACGCCAAGCAGACGAAGCGTCCTCGACCTACGAATAAGAACTAGACGACGCCTATCTCCTCTCTCTCAGCAATCTCGCTCTCCTTCCTCTCCGCACTCACCCTGCCTCTCACTAGTCCTCCTTCCCTCTCTCCTCTCCGCTCCTCTCCTCTCACTTCGCCTCTTCTCCTCCCCTCTCCGGTACGGCATCTAGTCGCTGATCTACGTTCGATGAGCGCTCTTCGCGCTGCGGTCTCTCTCAGTGTCATCTGCTGTCGCGGCGTTCGCTATCTCTTCGGCTTCTCTTCATTCTGCTAGACGTCTCTTCTTCTCATCCAGCTATCGTCCTCCATGAGGAAGAGATGGACCAGGTTTTTGACAGGACAGGAAGGTGTTTGTTGTTCCCAAATCCTGAAAGGACACAGCTGTGTAACCAAAGTGACAGTCTTTGATAGATGAATAAAGTTACTGCTATTACTAACTAGTTAGTGGAGTGTGTGGTGTGTGGTCATGCGTGTGTTTGGGGGTGCGTGGGTCTGGTGGGTGCGGGGGTCGGCGTGGTGTGTGTTGGGGGTCCACAGACCCTCTTTAGCAAGGCCCCCCCTTTCCCCGCCCCCTCAAACGGGGTACCCCCGTTCCCAAAACCACCCGAACGAGGAAGAACCCAAAAGGTAAATATGTTTTTGAGTTTTGGGTTTTAGGGGTTTTTCAACAGCCCGGTCACTACCTGTTGCTGAAAGAGGGGGCAAAAAAGGGGGGGTCACCCGAAAGGGGGGCCACTAAAGAAAGACAAGAAGAAAGAAAAAAATGGGGGAAAAAAAAAGGGGAAGAGAAAAAAAAAAAAAAAAGGGAAAAGAAGAAAAAGCAAAGAAAAAAAAGGGGAACAAAAAAAGAAACCCTAAAAAAAAAGAGAAAAAAAAAGGGGAAAAAAAAAAAAAAAAAAAAAGGGGGGCCCAAAAAAAAAAACCCCCCCCCAAAAAAAAAAACCCCCCCAAAAAAAAAATTTAAAGGGGGGGGCCCCCCCCCCGGGGGGGGGGCCCCCCCCCCCCCCCCCTTTTTTTTTTTTCCCCCTTTTTTTTGGGGTTTTTTTCCCTTTTTTCGGGAAAAGAAGGGGGGGTTTTGAAAAAAAGGGGGGTTTTTGGAAAAAATTAAAACCCATTTTTAAAAACCAATAATTTTTTAATAAAAAATTCCCCTTTTTTTTGGGAGGGGGGGGGGCCCCCCGGGGGTTTTTTGGGGGGGGCGGGGCCGGCGGGGGGGGCGGCGGCTTGGGGGGGCCGGCTGGGGGGGGGCGGTTTTTTTAAAAGGGGGGGCGGGGAGGGGGGGGGGGTTGGGGGGGGGTTTGGGTGTGGGGTGTGGGGGGTGGGGGTTTGGGGGTTTCGGTTTTTGGTGTGTGTTTTTTGGGCCCCGGGGGGTTGTGTGTGTGGGGGTATCGGTGCGTGGTTTGGGTGTTTTTTTTTGTGGTTTTGGGGTTTTTTTGTTTTTTGTCGGGGGTGCGGGGTGGGTCGTGTTTTTTTGGAAAAAAGGCTGGGCCCAAAAACACTCACACGAACAGAGAAGCCCCTCCCAGCCCTCCGATGGTAATGTCTATAATTCCGTCTCCGTTCAGATCCATGACTCCATGGATCGACTGGCCAAAGAACTTAGTCTTCACCCCATCTCCAGGGCCTGGGATACGCTAAAACCACACCAGCACACACACACTTTCAGAAGGCTAACATTAACAACTCTCACTTTTACTGTATACTCTTAATACTGTCATCTTACTGTAGAATAGTCGGAGAACACATGGTCTTGTCTTTCTTTACCTGCACATATTTTTCCTTGATGGTCTTCTTGGCTCCATGGTAGATGTAGACGGCCCCTTTGTGGTCGTTCTCCAGCGGCGCCCCGATGGCCACGTCCCGGTTCCCATCCAGGTCCAGGTCACTGACTTCTGCGATGGCAGGTGCCGAAGCGGGCGCCACACGGGTCGTTGGTGTTGACGATGGTGCAGCCGTGGGAGTGGGCCGAGGTACAACACATCTGGTTGTCTGGCTTCAGCGTGGTCTGGTGCTCAAATAGGCCCTTCTAGGTAGGAAGGGAGGGAGAGAGGGGAGGGGGGGGGAGCTGTTGAGTAACACATAGATGTTTGGTGCACATCATTAGACCGCTATGCCTCTGTCCCTTCATACTATAACACACATAGAGATATAATTCAGGAGGCTGAAGAAATTCAGGAGGCTGAAGAAATTCGGCTTGGCCCCTAAGACCCTCAAACTTTTACAGATGCACAATTGAGAGCATCCTGTCGGGCTGTATCACCGCCTGGTACGGCAACTGCATCGCCCGCAACCTCTGGGCTCTCCAAAGGGTGGTGCGGTCTGCCCAACGCATCACCGGGGGCACACTGTCTACCCTCTAGGACACCTACAGCACCCGGCGTCACAGGAAGGCCAAAAAGATCATCAAGGACATCAACCACCCGAGCCACGGCCTGTTCAACCCATTACCATCCAGAAGGCGAGGTCAGTACAGGTGCATCAAAGCTGGGACCGAGAGACTGAAAAACAACTTCTATCTCAAGGCCATCAGACTGTTAAATAGCCATCACTAGCCGGCTACCAGCCGGTTACTTAACCCTGCACCTTAGAGGCTGCTGCCCTATATACATAGACATGGAATCACTGGCCACTTTAATAATGGAACACTAGTCGCTTTAGTAATGTTTACATACTGCTTTACTCATCTCATATGTATATACTGAACTCTATTCTACTGTATTTTAGTCAATGCCACTCCAACATTGCTCGTCCTAATATTGATATATTTCTTAATTCCATTCTTTTAGTTTTAGATTTGTGTGTATTGTTGTGAATTGTTAGATACTACTGCACTGTTGGAACTAGGAACACAAGCATTTCGCTACACCCGCAATAACATCTGCTAAATAAGTGTATGTGACGAATACATTTTGATTTGATTTGAATTATATTTCTATGATAACACACATACCCCCAAAGTGCAACAACAATATAGTAGTAATGTTAAATAGTTACATGAATGATATGACCTTGATGTTTGAACATAATTTACTATGATGAATCAGGTGAAGTACATGCACACACACACACCTCATTGAGTTTGTAGACGTACACCTGTCCCTGTTCGTTCCTCTCGGGGCCCATGAACATAGGAGCTCCCACCAGAAGGATGTCTGTGTAGGAGTCCTGGTCAACATCCACCGTCTGGAGCACACTGCCAAAGTAGGAGCCAATCTACAGGAGACAGACAGAGGTCAAAGTAGGAGTCAATCTACAGGAGACAGGCAGAGGTCAAAGTAGGAGTCAATCTACAGGAGACAGGCAGAGGTCAAAGTAGGGTCAATCACAGGAGGAACAGGCAGAGGTCAAGTAGGAGTCAATCTATCTAAGGGGACAGACAGAGGTCAAGTAGGAGTCAATCTACAGGAGACAGACAGAGGTCAAAGTTAGAGAGTCAATCTACAGGAGACAGGCAAGGTCAATGGCATAAATTTAAGGAACACAGGTCAGTAGGATTCAATCTACAGGCAGTACTGCAGTCAAGGGGTAATTACGGAAACCGAGTCTAAATTTAGTCAATCCACGAAAAAGCTCGAAGGGTAAAGTAGGAGTAATTCTACAGGAGATTCCAGGCAGTTAGGTAAAGTGGAGTATTTTGAATGTGTTAGACACTAACGTGCAAAGTTGGAAATCAAAGGAACACAAGCAAGTTTCACTACAAACAGCAAGTAAACGTAGAGCTCTAAATAAGGGGACAGAATAGATTTTGATTTGTAGGAGTTCAATTACATGGAACAGACAGAGTCAAAGTGGTCAACAACAGGATACAGAGTAAGTTAAATCAATCTTACAGGAGAAGACTGAGTTCAACATAGAGTAATTACAGGGGAAGACAGGTGAAGTAATCAACCTACAGACAGACGGTCAATTGGAGTATTGGAGACACGCAGAGGTCAAGTAGGGTCATCTCGGAAGGCCAATGAACATAGGAGTCTCTCCACCAGAAAGGAGAGGTCAAGGTAGGAGTCCTGGAGACATCCACCGTCAAGTAGAGCACACAGCCAAGTAGTAGGAGTCAATCTACAGGAGACAGCAGAGGTCAAAGTAGGAGTCAATCTACAGGGGGACAGACAGAGGTCAAAGTAGGAGTCAATCTACAGGAGACAGACAGAGGTCAAAGTAGGAGTCAATCTACAGGGACAGGCAGAGGTCAAAGTAGGAGTCAATCTACAGGAGACAGGCAGAGGTCAAAGTAGGAGTCAATCTACAGGAGACAGCAGAGGTCAAAGTAGGAGTCAATCTACAGGAGACAACAGAGGTCAAAGTAGGAGTCAATCTACAGGAGACAGGCAGAGGTCAAAGTAGGAGTCAATCTACAGGAGACAGACAGAGGTCAAAGTAGGAGTCAATCTACAGGAGACGGGACAGAGGTCAAAGTAGGAGTCAATCTACAGGAGACAGGCAGAGGCAAAGTAGGAATCAATCTACAGGAGACAGACAGAGGTCAAAGTAGGAGTCAATCTACAGGGGACAGACAGAGTCAAAGTAGGAGTCAATCTACAGGAGACAGGCAGAGGTCAAAGTAGGAATCAATCTACAGGAGACAGACAGAGGTCAAAGTAGGAGTCAATCTACAGGAGACAGGCAGAGGTCAAAGTAGGAGTCAATCTACAGGGGACAGACAGAGGTCAAAGTAGGAGTCAATCTACAGGAGACAGACAGAGGTCAAAGTAGGAGTCAATCTACAGGAGACAGGCAGAGGTCAAAGTAGGAGTCAATCTACAGGAGACAGGCAGAGGTCAAAGTAGGAGTCAATCTACAGGAGACAGGCAGAGGTCAAAGTAGGAGTCAATCTACAGGGGACAGACAGAGGTCAAAGTAGGAGTCAATCTACAGGAGACAGACAGAGGTCAAAGTAGGAGTCAATCTACAGGAGACAGGCAGAGGTCAAAGTAGGAGTCAATCTACAGGAGACAGGCAGAGGTCAAAGTAGGAGTCAATCTACAGGGGACAGACAGAGGTCAAAGTAGGAGTCAATCTACAGGAGACAGACAGAGGTCAAAGTAGGAGTCAATCTACAGGAGACAGGCAGAGGTCAAAGTAGGAGTCAATCTACAGGAGACAGGCAGAGGTCAAAGTAGGAGTCAATCTACAGGAGACAGGCAGAGGTCAAAGTAGGAGTCAATCTACAGGAGACAGACAGAGGTCAAAGTAGGAGTCAATCTACAGGAGACAGGCAGAGGTCAAAGTAGGAGTCAATCTACAGGAGACAGGCAGAGGTCAAAGTAGGAGTCAATCTACAGGAGACAGACAGAGGTCAAAGTAGGAGTCAATCTACAGGAGACAGACAGCTCATGTTTTAATTTAATTAAGCAATAATGTCAGAGGGGATGTGGTATATAGTATATCCACTGAGTATACAAAACATTAAGAACACCTGCTCTTTCCATGACATAGACTGACCAGGCGAATCCAGTGACAACTATGATCCCTTATTGATGTCACTTGTTAAATCCACTTCAATCAGTGTAGATGAAGGAGAGTAGACAGGTTAAAGAAGGATTTTTAAGCATTGAGACAATTGAGACATGGATTGTGTATGTGTGCCATTCAGAGGGTGAATAGGCAAGACAAAACATTTATTTTTACTGCTCTAATTACATTGTTAACCAGTTTATAATAGCAATAAGGCACATCAGGGATTTGTGGTATACTCTGTGTTGCGTCGTGCGTAAGAACAGTCCTTAGCCGTGGTATATTGGCCAGTATGAAAATGTATGCACTCACGAACTGTAAGTCGCGCTGGATAAGAGCGTCTACTAAATGCCTAAAATGTAAAAAATATACCACACCTCCTCGTGCCTTATTGCTTAAATATACCACGGCTTTCAGCCAATCAGCACGCAGGGCTCGAACGACCCAGTTTATAATATAACCTTAACCTCTTCTGAATCTCAAACTAAAGTAGAAACACAGTATGAGCTCATGCCTTGACATCAGGGACCTAATCTGAATTGTATGCTTTCAAATACAATTACAGTACTTTATTTTCTGCTCACCTTTCAGACTCTCAGTCCATTCCTATCTAATGTATACGAATGATGTCCTCAACCAGTTTGTGTGGCGTTGGTTACAGAATGTATAGTCTCTTCCCACACTGCGGTGTCTAACCCTAACCCTTGAGTTCGGCAAAACAACCTACATAATGTAAAGATGTGTATTATGAGATGGTGGTGGAAGATGGATGAATGATAACTGAACACACCTGCTCTCCTTTCAGTACTTGTGTGACTGTGGTGTGTTTCCCATCCAGTTTGTACACAATGACTCTGCCTGTGTGGTTGTACCGCGGTGCCCCCGTGATGTATAACACACCGTTAGGAGTTGATGCTGACTGTACGGCATAACCTGCAGATACGGCAGATAAACACACACACACACACACACATTAGAGCAGTTCATGACCATAGCTTAAGGACACAGCGTGTCTCTATTAGTGGGTTATTTTAGTACATCTTCCTCCTGGCATTAGCTTAGTTTAGTCTCATTGTTAAGAGGACGTGACCTTGGGACTATAAGGTTCTATGTGCGCAAAGCATAGTTGTGAGATATTGAGCATAAAAGTTTTCACATACCAGATCTCAGAACTGTTTTGTAGTGAATTCTTCTTTCATAACCCATTAAGGTCCTCACCTAAAGTGAAGACTATCAAAATCCTGAAGCACTTGTAAATCCGTTTTTTTAGGGGGGTGTAATCGCAGATAGAACCTTATGGCTCTGAAATGTCAATCTGGGTTGAGCCATAAGGTTCTATTTGACACTTCTGAATTAGACATGTTCTGTTTTCAAGAAAACTGTAGCTATTTAAATACATAAATGATAGAATAACACATTTTTACCACGATAGTAAGAACACATCATCGAATACATTAAGAAATGTATTATGATCAGACAAATTACTGTTATCACTGAACAATGATGTGACAACATCATTTACCTAAAGATTTGACAGTAATTTTTTTTTCTTGCATTCCATTATGGCTAGACTAGCTTAGACCATACTTAGAGGGAGATGGCAAAGATGTGTTCTGATTAGTCCGTCTGTATTTGTTCAGGCTTGTGATTGGATTGCAGATAGAACCTTATAGCGCCACCTTCAAATGGGTTTATGCAGATAGAACTTTGTAGTAAAAAGAAAACTAACTTCACAGACATAAAGAAACATCTCAATATCAATTATATGTGACTAACACATTTTTGACAAAAATGTCAGCTAGAACCTTATAGTCCTAAGGTCTCGAGGAAGCAGTAAAACACTGAAGAACAGAGAGGAGTGTGTGTGTGTGTGTGTGTGTGTGTGTCACGGTGTGTGTGTGTGTGGTTCATTCTCTGAACACTGTACCGAAATGAGTTTATAATGATCTGATGTAACTCTGCCAGTGTTTGAGTTTGTCTGAAACGAACAACCACACAGATTGTTCTCGATGACACTTTTCTTTAACGTTATTCTTGAATCCCTCACAGCGTCTTCACTGTGGCCCACTGCCCCTTGTGCCCCCTACTGCTGGTCAGGTGTATTTATTTGAACGATAGGTATGATGTGCCATGAATAGATATTCTTTACATTTAAGTAATTTAGCAGACGCTCTTATCCAGAGCGAGTAGATTGTTTTTTAAGGTTGAAATGTGAAATTAATATGGTTGATTCTTAAGGTTAGGGAAAAGTGCAGTGAATAGTGCCACTGTTTAGGACGTCAATATAAATGAATGTATTTATGGTTGTTTGTCATTTTGTCTAGCCTTTTAATCATTATATGTGTTATTGTTCTACCATCGAGGACCACTTTGGGAACAAGCGTTTTAATTAATAGTTTCAAGTCATATCCTCTGGGTCCACATTGTACATTCTGTTGTATATGTCTGTTAGCCAAAATAAAATAAATTCAATTAAAAAGGTATGAGTGGGTGAGGTGGGCTACTGTTAACCCTGTGTGTCTGTTATTTCAGTTAGAGTATAAGCATACCTGCATCCCAAAAACCACCCTATTCCCTATATAGTGCACTACTCTTGACCAGGGCCCATAGCGCTCTGGTCAAGAGTAGAGTAATATGAATGGAACAGGATGCCATATGGGGACGCAGTCCATGTTTCTGTCTATTTTAGATTGATGGTGCTGGACCTGTGCTGTTTATACAGGAGCTGGGAGGCACTAAGGACTTGGCCCACTGTCTAGTTTCCAGTGCCAGTACAGGTTGTCATTGTACCGTAGTCTAAATAAGTAGCTGTTCTTCTTAAAGATGCACTATGCAGAAATCGCTCCGCCATTTCCTGGTTGCTAAAATTCTAATAGTTCACCTAATTTTAGTTTTATGTGACAAAACAAGCAACTATAGTGTAGAGAATCATTGTACCATCTAAACAGCTGTGAAATACAGTATAATTTCCAATAACCAAAAATATTTGATTTTCAACTGTTTGAAGTTGGTGTACAAAACTGAAAGTAAAAGACGCAAAATGAAACTTCAGACCGGGAAGCATAGAAATAGTCCACATAGAACAGATCTACTGCTTCTTAGACTTGCTTTTACTGAGAATGACAGATCTATAACTTACATTTATTTTGGGTCGCCCAAAAAGTTACATATTGCAGCTTTAACTGTCTTCAGTTCCATTGAAAATTAAAATACTTTTTTCTACTTTACTTTATTTTTCCCTTCAGGGAACTTCATGTGTTGGTTCATAAAATCAAATCAAATGTTATTTGTCACATGTGCCGAATACAACAGGTGTAGACTTTACCGTGAAATGCTTACTTACAACAATGCAGTTCAAGAAATAGAGTTAAGAGAATCTTTAGTAAATAAACTAAAGTAAAAAAATGTATTAAATGTAACACAATAACGAGGCTATATACAGGGCGTACCGGTACCGAGTCAATGTGCAGGGGTACAGTACATATAAAATATAAAACACAGTAGGTCTACACTGTAAACCTACACAGACATTACTACAGTAACAGAGGACAAGGCAAGAATCAAACTATAAAAACAGTATGGTAGGTAAATAAATACAATGCAATCCATGCGGGTGGTTTGTATGGTCTGGACTCACTCACGTACCCTACCAGGCTGTGTGCGTACGTGCGTATGTGTGTGCGTGTGCGTGTCTGGTCTGGACTGATATGTACTTACCCACATACCCCGCCAGGCTCTCCTTCCTCTCATCCAGGGGGTCTTGGAAGTCTGCGTTTAGGGGAACAACGGTACCCTGGTCGGTATGCATCACCACTGTCCCGTTCCACTCATACGCCCCCACAGCACCCAGCATCACACCCTCCTACGAAAGAGAGAATGAATGAATGAATGCCTTTTATTTAACAAATTAAAAATACATACTGAGTTGCCACACGTGAGTACAACAATAAAGTCAGATGCAAAACTCAATAAAGTCAGATAAGATAACTTATTTCCATTGTGGTCCTCGTTATTAGACAGGCAACAGAATGGACAGCGCAGAGATACTAGGGAGCTCATCTCCTGTCTTTGTAATGGCGTCTTCTGTGACAGCATGGACAGGGCCATTGAGGACCTCTATCCAACTCTATGGGACAGCTATGCTACAGCACAGGAAACATGAAGAGATCCCACAGGAAGTGGAAAAGTGTCAGTGGAGTAGAGCTAAATGGGACCAGAGACCACAGTGACAACTGTCACAATGCACCGTGTCAAGTAGCAGTTCCCACACATAGAACATGAAGACTCTGTTTCGGTAGATACAGGAAGACAGGACGGGGTGAAGTATTTAACAATAGGGAGATATTCTTAGAGTGTTAGTGAGACTGGGGTTGGGCACAGGGCTTACGATAAGTGCAATGGGATCTTTAGTGACCACAGAGAGTCAGGACACTCATTTAATGTCCCATCCGAAAGACAGCACCCTACACAGGGTAATGTCCCCAATCACTGCCCTGGGGCATTGGGATATTGTTTCAGACAAGAGGAAAGAGTGTCTCCTACTGGCCCTCCAACACCACTTCCAGCTGCATCTGGTCTCCCATCCAGGGACCAACCCAGCTTAGCTTCAGAGGAAAGCCAGCAGTGGGATGCAGGGTGGTATGCTGCTGGCCCTGTATGTCTGGGTCTATAAACCTTGTGTAAGTGATATGAGGCATGGGCAGGGGAGGAGAGGGCACGGGAGGAGAGGGCAGGGGCCATGACACACTCAGCTGGGAGTGCTGTGTTTATACAGGTGACATGAGGGGGACAGATGGAGGGATAGAGGAGAGAAGAGAGAAAGAGAGCGAGTAGAGCTCGAAAGCGAGAGCAGATAGAGATGGACTACAGGGAACAGTAGTAGAGAAGCCAGCTGGAGCAGGGTAGATGATGCCCTGAGGGCTATAGACATAGTGTAGAGATAGACAGGAGAGGAGAGAGAGAGAAGGAGGGCATGACAGCTCTCCGAGTGGTTTACTTGACATATGGAGCAGAGCTGAATACGCACCGACTTTAGACTAGAGAACACAGAGAGTTCAGAAGAGAGAATCGCCAGAGACGTAGATCGAGTAAGAGCTCAGCTAACCACTACTCCGATCTCTACGACGCTCGTCGGCTCCCTGATCAGGTCGCTGCTCTCGTCTTATCCGATCATCTCTGACGTTGCTCAGACGCGTAGAAGTCTATAGCGCTACTTCCTGAGATATACTTTCTCTAGATAGCGTACTGCAGACACTCTCTAGCGGATCTCTCGAACGCGCTGACTCGCGTATCGCTAGTCCCCTTTAAGCATCTCAGAGAGATCGAGATTATACAGACTCGACGAACTATTCTTACCGTTTCGCTCTATCTCCTTTATAACTCCTCTCTCCTTCCTACTGCTCATTCTCTCTCATTCTTCTATTACTATTTCTCTCTCTCTCATCACTCTCAAACTTGACTCAACGGACCGGATGAGAGCATGTTTGCTCACACTCTGATGACTGCACCCAAAGTTTGGACAAAGTGAACATCCTCTCACGGAAAATACATATATTTGTAGTTCTTCCCTCTCTTCCCCCATAGCAAAGCACAGGTCTCTCTGGGCTGAGAGAGGAGATGAAAGGACGGAGAGGAAAGAGGGTCCCTATGTCTCCAGAACATTTGTTGGATCACAGTGAAACAGGGATAGATGAGACGGTGAATGACAGATAACACAACACACACCATCGTTCTGTACTGTATCTGACTAGGGCCGATCAGCGGACAGTCACAGATTCACAAACGTGATCTCCTATAAACCGATCCCCACAGTAATATGCTGCACCCTTTAGCCCAGTTGGCTAGTAGGAGTTAGTACACTATTAAAATAAAGTCTTGAAATATCTTTTAAAAAAATAGATCAATTCTTGCAACTATTGCCTCTCTGTGTTTTGGGTGTTGAGAAAGCAGAGTTGCATATTTTGAAACCCGTTTAACAGTGTAGGGTAGTGGAGAGCAGGGGTGGAAACAGGAGGAGAGGTGCGGGCACTGAAACTAGCCTGGATTCCAGTTAGGGTTAGTATGAGTTGGTTAGTAGGAAAATAAATCAGGGATAGAAACAGGAGTGTGGAGTGGACTCACTTCAGAGGTGTGGGCACTAAATCCAGCCTGGGACATCTCCATCTCAAAGGACGAGGTGTAGTTACCTGACGTTGCTGTGGAAAGGACATTGATGGGTTATTACATTATTACATGGTCACGTGGTCTTGTTATCACGATGGGTATCAAAAGACCATGTAGAGTTGATATGAATCTGGTAAATCTCTCTGATCACTTTCACCAGTATTTAGGTCTGTAGAGAGGAGGACATCTGTAGTAGAGGTTTAGCATTGCTACTACCTTCTTGAACCTTGAAGGCTTTTTGGGTCAGTGGTATTGTACAGTGCTTATTCAACGATTATGTGTTACAGTGCAGAGGCTTGTGAGTAAGTGAGAATAAATACACACTGCCACTTTTATCACCGAGTTCAAACATAGAATGTGATTAATGAGGGGAGTCATCCTACCCTCCAAGGCAAAGATCCTGCTCCCCAGGGCATCTACGATGTTCAGCAAGGCAAACTCATCCGACACGTTGAAGAAGTGATCTCCCACAGGATCACTGGAGATCGATTGGATCTCCTCGATGAACTTCTTCACCTCCTTGATGCTTCTGTTGTTCCTGTTGTAATCACCAAGCACCTGAAAAAAAGGTTTTATTTTATTTATTTAAACCTTTATTTATCCAGGTAAGTCATTCATATTTTCAATGACGATATAACGTCTGAGAAACAGTACTCAATATACACTGAGTATACAAAACATTAGGAACACCTGCTCTTTCCATGACATAGACTGACCAGGTGAATCCAGGTGAAAGCTATGATCCCTTATTGACGTCACCTGTTAAATCCACTTCAATCAGTGTAGATGAAGGGGAGGAGACAGGTTCAAGAAGGATCTTTAAGCCTTGAGACATGATTATGTATGTGTGCCATTCAGAGGGTGAATGGGCAAGACAAAATATTTAAGTGCCTTTGAATGGGGTATGGTAGTAGGTACCAGTCACACCGGTTTGTGTCAAGAACTGCAACGCTACTGTTTTTCACGCTCAACATTTCCTGTGTGTATCAAAAAAGGTTCACCACACAAAGGACATCCAGCCAACTTGTAAAACATTGGAGTCAACATGGCCCAGAATTCCTGTGGAACACTTTCGACACCTTCTAGAGTCCATGCCCCAACGAACTGAGGGCAAAAGGAGGGGGTTGGGGGTGCAACTCAATATTAGGAAGGCGTTCCTAATGTTTGGTATACTCAGTGTACAGAATGTGGTCCATGTAAGAAACAGTACTTGAACCCATAACCTGGTCCTGTCTAGGCTAGAAAATTCCCAGTTTGAGGAATTCTAAATTCCTTTCCTACTCATTCTCTCCTGATTCCAAGAAGCCTCCAACCAGGATTTCTAGAAAACCTGGGAATTTGGGGAAAGTTGTGCAACCCTTATCCTGCCTGCACCAAGCTAGTGAACCATCTAAACTAGGTGATGGATGGTGTGTTTATTTGAAGTATGTCAAGAGACCTGACTGTGAGCTTGTCCTGACTACAAGGTCTGTTACAGCTCTGCTCTCACTGAAGTGAGCAATATGATGGATGAGGTATTGTTGTTATTGAGGTATTATGGCCTTACAATTTTGAGATGGCCTTATACTTACAGCGATACCGAACCTCTCGATATCGTCCTCCGCACATTCTTCGACAACCTTGTCGAGGTTATAAAAGTCATGTGACTCTCCATCCGTCACGATTATCATGACCTTCTTGACCCCTGGCCGCGCCCCTCGCTCCACAGTGAAGGCCTCTTTCCTGAAGGGTCAACAGGGACGATCAGAGGTTAAATGTCAAAGGTCATGGCATAAGTAGGGATATCCCTGTGATCATGAGACGTGGAAAATAGCATTATACATCAGATCTAGTTCAACAAAGGAAAGTGTATTTCCTCGTTCAGGACACACAAACCATATAATTAGGAATTAGAATATTTAATTTAAATTGTATCTCTATGACGCAAACACCCATTAATTCTACACATTAAGAGAGCAACAACTTGAAAATCCTTCATTAATTTTCACTCACTTCACACACAGTAGAAGAAATAGACATGCTTAATTAACTGATTCGAACATTAAACTCAACTGAACTCAATTCAATTAAGTCCAATTGAAGTAAATTCAGCAGGACTAAACTGGACCAGACACCCCTGGTTTACTGTTGTACTGTACCTTGCAGTGTCAATTCCCAGGGCGGTCATAGTCTTGAAACCTGTTTGCTGGGGAAGTTTTGCCACTTTGGCCAGGAGGGATTGAGTGGTATCAAACTGGCTGAGGTTGACATTGTGAATGACGTCCTCTCCATACGACACAATGCCCACCTGGAACAGAAATCTTCTAATCAGACAGACGGACACTCACTCAAATAAACACATCTCATCTTACTTACTCTCTTCCATCCAACCCCCTTTACCCTCATCTCACTCTCTCCAATTCCCTCTTTTCTAACTGTCCCTTCCTGTGGCACACTCCAGTACTCCGAGACAGTCTGGTAAGGGAGGATATGTGGTTTGGTCTGGTGATTCTAATGTGATGTCATTCTCTTTATAAAGCAGGGAGGATACTTTTCCGGCTACGGAATATGTGAACTATAAAGGGAGAACTTCATAGGGTAATATTTTCCAGCGCCGCACAGAGAAAAACGGTTATTTCACCATTAAACTAAACCACCGTGAACCAGCTCCTCTCCAGGGTTCGGGGTATTCTGAAGAGGAATCTCCACATAATGCCCTGGGACATTAAACTAATAATAGTATGGATGTTGATTTAACAGTGTTTATTGTGAGACCAATGAATAATGACTGTAATGAATAGATGATCATAATATCCATGCAGCTCAAAAGCAAGACGGTAACATTTTACGCTGTTACGTAATGAGAAGACAGTGAATTGCATCAGAAGAATGTGACAACCCAGTTTGAGGTTATTGAGCTGGTGGTTTCTTTCTATCCTTCTATCCCAACCTTCTATCCTCTATCCCAACCTGCTATCCTCCACCCCAACCTTCTATCCCCATCCTCACCCAACCTCATCCCAACTTCTATCCAAAACCCTTTAGCCTCTATCCAAAACGCCAGCCAAAGGCATCCAACCCAACGAGACGCGACCAACGGACCGCACCCAAACCGGGACCCTCCCAACCAATCCTCCAACCAAATTACTCCATCCAAATTACCCAATCCCAAAGGCGATCCCACCCAAACCTTCACCCTCGACCAACCCAAAACTTCTATCCCAAACTTTGCTATACCGAAACTTTACCCAAACTCTAAAACCACCCAACCTCACCACCAACCTAACCAATCCAACCATAGCCCCAAAAACAAACCCATACCACCCAAACCGCACCCAACGCTAGAACCAACCTTCACCAACCTCTAGGACCACCCAAAACCGGAGCACCAACCGGGACTCGGAGTCCAACCCCAGACCAGCCAACCGGCACCCGGGCCAACAACAACCGCAGACCAGCCAAACGGGAGCCCCAAAACCAACCGGAAACCGCCAGCCCACCGCGAGCCACCGGAGACCGAGCCAAAGGCAGAAAACCTCACGCGACCCCAAACCTCAGTCGTCTATCCAACCTCGATCCCCATCCCAACCTGACCCCGCTTCCCGAATTTTTCCCTTTTTGGGGGGAAAGGGTAAAGGGGATGGGGAAAAAAAAAATTAAAAAAAAGGGGAAAGGAAAAATTTTTTGGTCCCCAAAAAAAAAACCCGGGGAAAGGGGCCCCCGGGGGGGGGGGGAAAAAAACCCCCCTTTTTTTAAAAAAATTTTAAAAACCCACCAACCCAAAAACCCCCTTTTTACCCAACCCCCCCAACCCCAAAAAACACCCCCCCCCACCAAATTTACCCAAAACCCCCCCACCCCCCCAACCCCCTCCCAAAAAAATCCTCCACCCCCAAAAATTTTTCCTTCCCCAAAACCCCTTCCCCCGGGGCCCCCCCCCCACCCTTTTATCCCAACCCCCCTTTCCAAATTTTTCCCCCCCAACCCCCCAACCCTTCCCCTTCCCCAAACCCCTACCTTCCCCAAACCCTTTATCTCATCCCAATTTTCCCCCCCCAAAACCCCATCCCAAATCTACCCCCTCCCAACCCTTCCCCAAACCCCCCCAACCCACCCAACCCAAAAAAACCCAAACCCCCCCCAAACCAAACCCCCCCCCAGCACCCCAACCGGGAAAACCCAAAAGGGCCCCAGCCAACCCGGGAGCCCCCAGCCCCCCCGGGGCCCAAACCCCCAGCCCAACCGGCCCCAACCTCAGGGCCCCAAACCAGGCCCCAAAAGGGGCCCCCGGGCCCCCGGACCCCCCCGGGCCAGCCCCAAACCGGCACCCCCACCCAACCAAACCCCCCAAACCCCGGGAACCCCACCCCCCCCGGGGGCCCCCCCCCGCACCCACCGGGGGAGGGGGAAAAAAGGGAAACCCCCCCCCAACCCAAACCCCCCCCCAAACCCCCCCAAAAACCCCCAAGGCGCCGGGGGCCCAAGGGGAGCCCAAAACCCCCCCAAAAAAAAGCCCAAAACCCCCCACCCCCCAAAAAAACCCCCAAAACCCCCCCCACCCGGACCCCGGGGGGGGCCCCCCAAAAAGGGGGGGAAAAAACCCAAACCCCCCCCCAAAACAACCCAAAAAAGGGGGGGAAAAAAAAAAAACCCCCCCCCAAAACAAAACAAAAAAAAAACCCAAACCCGGGGGGCCCAAAAGGGAAAAAAGGGACGGGGGGACAAAGGGGGAAAAAAAAGGGGGGGGGAAAAAAAACCCAACAAGGAGCCAAGGAAAACCCGGGGGAGCACCCGAGACAAGGGACGCGAGCAAAAGGAAGAGGAGAAAAGGAAAAGGAGAGGGAAACCCCCGGGGGGGCCAAGGGGGAAAGGGCTTTCAGGGGAAAAAGGGGAGGAGAGGAAGGGAGCCCGACCCTGGCCCCAAGGAGATGGGGGCCCAACCCGGGACCCCGGGAAAACGGAGGGAACAAGGGAGCCAACGCAACCAGCCCACCAGGACAGGGACCACCGGCGAAAGGGGAGAAAACGGCGAGCCGCAGCCAACCGGAAGCCGGAGCCCAAACGGAGAGCCGGGGGCGCACCCCAAAAACCCGGGGAGCCGGAGCCACGGCCGGGGAGCCGGAAAGGAGCAAAGGCGAGGGGAGAAAAAAGGCGAGGAAAACAAAGGGAGCGGGGGCCCAAAAAGGGAAAAGGGAGGGAGCCCAAAAAGCGAGGAGAAGGGAAAACAAACGGGGAGACCGAGGCCAGCCCCAAAAGGGAGACCGGACCAAAGAGCCCGGGAAACCAGCAAAAAGAGGAGGAAAAAGGAAAAAGGAGAAGGAGAGCCAAGGAAGAAAAGGGGAAAAGGGAGCCGGGGGAGAGCCCCCCGGGGGAGAACGAGAACGGGAAACCCCCCGAGGCGAGGAAAGGGAGACCGAAACCAAAGGGAAGCGAAACGAGCCAAAAGGGGACCCCGGGAGCCAAGGAGAAGGAGGCAAAAAAAGAAAGGGAAAGGAGGAGGGCCCAAAAGGGAGCAGCCAAGGAGGCACCCAAACGGAGAGCAAACGAGCCCAAAGGAAAAAAGGCGAGCAAAGAGAGCCGGAGCAAAAGGCGAGCCCAAAGGAGAGAGAGCCCAACCCCAGCCAAGCCCAACCGGACCCAGCCAACGGGAGCGGAAACCCCAACCCTCGACCAACCAAGGGGAGCCAAACAAACGGACCCACCCAAAGGGGGCCCGGGACCAAACCCACCCAACCCCAAAACCCCCAGCCCCAAACCCCGCCACCCAAAACCAGAACCCCCACCAAAACCGGCGGCCCCGAACCCCCCGCCCCCGGGCGCCGCACCCCCCCGGGGAGGGGCCCCCCCGGAGCGGAGCCAACCGGAGAGCCGGGGAGCCAACCGGCGAGCCGCGAGCGCGAGCCAACCGGAGCCCGCGAGCCGCGAGCCCAACCGGCGAGCCAGCGAGCCGCGAGCCCAAACCGGGAGACCGCGACCGCCACCCGGCGAGACGCACCGCGAGCCCAACGGCGACCGCAGCCCAAACCGGAGACCGCAGCCGCAGCCCAACGGGAGCCGCGAGCCGCGAGCCCAACCGGCGACCCGCCCAGCCCGCGCGCCCAACGGGGAGCCTCAGCCCAACCGGCGACCCCAGCCCAACCGGCGAGCCCGCGAGCCGCGAGCCAAACCGGCGACCCATACGGCGAGGCCCCAAACCCGGGAGCCGCAGCCGAACCGGGGAGCCCAACCGGCGAGCCCCCGACCCAAACCGGCGAGCCGCGAGCCCAACCCGGGGAGCCGCCAGCCCCCCGGCGAGCCGCCACCAAACCCGAGCCCGAGCCCAACCGCGAGCCGCCAGCCCAACCGGCGAGCCGCCAAACCCCAAGCGGGAGCCGCCAGCCCAACCGGCGAGCCGCCAGCCCAACCGGGAGCCGCCAGCCCAAGCGGCGAGCCGCCAGGCCCCAAACCCGGGGAGCCCGCGAGCCCACGGCGAGCCCGCGAGCCCCAAAAGGAGAGCCCGGAGCCAAACGGCGAGCCCGCAGCCGAGGCCCCCAACCGGCGAGCCCGCGAGCCGCGAGCCCAACCGGCGAGCCCGGGGAGCGGCAAACCGGCGAGCCGCGAGCCCAACCGGAGCCCGCAGAGCCCGCGATACCAGGCGAGCCCGAGCCCGGGAGCCGCAACCGGCGGCCGACCCAAAACCCGGGAGCCGCCACCAACCCCGGGGAGCCCGGAGCCGGAGCCCAACCGCACCCAACCGGCGAGCCAACCGGGAACCGCGCCGAACCGGCGAGCCAACCGGGACCGCGAGCCAACCGGGAGAAAGTCAGCCACAACCGGCGAGCCGTCCAAGGCCCAACCGGAGCCGCAGCCCAACGGCGAGCCGTCGAGCCCAACCGGCGAGCCTGCCACCCAACGCGGAGCCGCCAGCCCAACAGGCGAGCCCGAGCCGCAGCCCAACCGGGACCCGAGCCGCCAGCCCAACGGCGAGCCGCGAGCCCAACCGGCGAGCCCGCGAGCCGCACCAAGCTGGGACCGCGAGAGCCAAAAGGCGAGAGAGCACGCGAGCAAGGAGAGAAGCGAGCACGAGAGACGCGAGCCCAACGGCGAGACCGCGAGCCAAACGAGCCACAACCGGCGAGCCAGCACGAAGCAGCAAGCAAACGGACGAGCCGCAGCCCAACCGGAGAGCCGCAACCGCGACCCAACGGCGAAACCGCATCCGCGAGCCAACCGTGCAGCCCGCAGCGCAAACGAGCGAGCCAGTCGAGCCAACCGGGAGCCCGCGGAGCCGCGAAGCCCAACCGGCTAGCGCCGCACCCAACCGGGAGCCGCAGCCCAACGGAGCCGTCCGAGTCCCAACCGGCGGACCCGCAGACGAGAGCCTAAACCCGGCGAGCGACCAGCCCAAAACCGGGAGAAGCCCAACCGGCGAGCGCAGCCAACGGAGGCAGCAGCCCAACCAGGAGCCCGCACGCCCAACCGGCGAGCCCAGCCAACCGGCGAGACCGAGCGCGAGCCCAACGGCGAGCCGCGAGCCCAACCGGCGAGAGCACGCGGAGCCGCGAGCCCAAACCGGCGAGCGAGCCGCGAGCCGCGAGCAGAAACGGCGAGCCGCGAGCCAACCGGCGAGCCGAGCCCAACGGCGAACCGAGAGCCGCGAGCCAAACGGAGCGAGGCGCGAGCCAACGGACGAGCCGGGAGCCGCGGAGCCAAAGCGGCGAGCCGCGAGGCCCAACCGGCGAGCACGCGAGCCCAACGGCGAGCCCGCAACGGAGCGAGCCAACAACCGGCGAGCCGCGAGCCCAACCGCGAACCGCGAGCCAGCGAGCCCAACCGGCGAGCCGACGAGCCCAACCGGCGAGCACCGCGAGGAGCCCAACCGGCAACAGAGAGCCGCGAGCCCAACGGCGAGCCCGGCCACCGGAGGCCCGGAGCGGAGCCAAGCGGCGAGCGCGAGCCGGAGCCGAACCGGAGCCGCGAGCCAACCGGGAGCCCGGACCGCGAGCCCAACGGCGAGCCCGCGAGCCCAACCGCGAACAGCGAGCCGCGAGCCAACGGCGAGCCGCGAGCCGCGAGCCCAAACCGAGCGAGCCGCGAGCCCAACACGGCGAGCCCGAGAGCCGCGAGTCAAACCGGCGAGCCCGCGAGCGCAGAGCCAAACCGGCAGAGCCGCGAGCCAAACAGCGGCGACCACCGGAGACCCGAGCCGAGCCAAGCAGGCGAGGCGCGACCGCAAAGGAGAACCGCAGGAGCCCAACCGGCGAGCCGCGCGAGCCAACCGGCGAGCCCGCAGCCCACGAGGCCCGGCGAGCCCGATAGCGAGCCCAAACGCGAGCCGAGCCCGACCCAACCGAGCAGAGCCCCAACCGAGCCAGCAGCATCCTACGGGAGGCCCGGAGACTCGACCAAAACCTCTAGCCTCTAAGCCCAACAACCGCTATCCTCGATCCAAACGAGCCTCTATACCAACCTTCTATCCGATATCCCAACCGTATCCTCGATCCCAACCTCTATCTCATCCCAACTGCTATCCTCATCCCAACCTTCTATCCTCTATCCCAACCTTCTATCCTCATCCCAACCTTCTATCCTCTATCCCAACCTTCTATCCCTCTATCCCAACCTTCTATCCCTCTATCCTCTATCCCAACCTTCTATCCTCTATCCCAACCTTCTATCCCTTCTATCCTCTATCCCAACCTTCTATCCCTCTCTCGTTCACGGGCCAGTGTAGTTGATACTGGGTTCTTAAAGGGTTCTTTGGTGAAAATGTTCTACCTGTCTGGAACCATAAAGGTTCTTCTACAGGGACAAAGTGTACCTTCATCTAAAGTGTTACCCGTGTTTTCTACTGTACTGAAAGGAAAAATTACCTGGGACAGTTTAGCTCCAATTTCGATATTCTTCAGAAATTTGACCAGGAATTCAATGATGCTGGTCCAGGGCCAGATACTGTTGGAGCCGTCAAGAACCATGACAATGTCAAGCTCTTTGGCACACTCTGCAACACAAGAGGGGTTCAAATAATGGGGCAGTTATTTGTGTAACACAACCAATATACAGTATCACATACAATGTAGAAGTCCATTAAAGAACATTATATGTGTGTTTTGTACATTATTGTTTAAACTATTAAAGCCACAGACAGTTGACAACAGTTTTTACAATAAATACATGAAATATTTGGTTTGGGCTGTGGAGAGAGGTGAAGAGAGGGAGAACGCTACAATACAGAGAGGCTCTCCCATCTAGTCCCTCTGAGACTTGTAAAAAGGCCTTGATAAAAAATTGCAATTTTTAGTAATGTAATGGACATGCCTTTTAAGTGGTATGCTGGTATGGATATTGAAACATATTCACAGGCTACTTTAGAATACACTTAGAATGCATGTCCAATCCCGTGCCTAAAACTACAGAGTGGTGAGGAGCTGTGGAGTTCACTGTACTGTTTACCTTCATTCACTGATCCCTCTCTGTGGAGAGAAGACCGAGAAGACAACTCTAAATTCGGCCCTAACTTGGGCATGCATGGGGGAGTCGAGAGACTGGAGAGTAGTTTAGGCTAAGTGGAATGCTCTTATGTACACAAGTGATGTCTCTCTCTGGCCACGTGGCTCTGAGGTGGGGGAATGGAGGGATGCTCAGAGAGGAATGGAGAGTGTTGGGGCGGGGTGGAGAGAGATGGTGAGTAGAGGGAAGAGGGTGAGGGATGGTGTTTATCTGGTCTGTCTGTGCTCTGTGTTCTGTGCCTTGGGGTGGAGGGATGTGTAGCAGCAAGGTCGCTCAAGATTGACTTCGAAATTAGACGTCCATCCATGTCCTGAGGACGTTGGGAGATGCCTTCAAAACCCGCCACTAGGGGCAGCGTTGAGCGCTACGTAATTACCATCAAGTAGGCTTGGGTTTTGATAGGGTGTTGTGGATCAGGATGGTGGATGGGTGTAAGCCGCGAACTCCGGCTCCGAGGGTCGCGTGTTTAATTCCAGTGGTAGACGCTCGTTTTAAATTGTTTTGTTCTAAACCTAACCCTATGCCAAACCTTAACCCTTAACTTAACCAATCGGAATGAATGCCTAAACTTAACAGTGTAGTTGTTTCTGTGTGTAAAGGAAGGAGTGTGAGGGATACTGCCGTCTATGTTCAGTAGTTAGGGTTAGGGTGAAGTTGTACCTTGCACAGCCGGGGCGATGGAGTTGAGCACCTGGAAGGTTGAGCTGACGTTGGTACAGACCCCAGAGATGTACGTCTGCTGACCACACATGTAGCCGTACTGGGGACCACAGGCCTGGAAGACAAGAGCACACACATACGCACACTTGTCACGTGCGGGATCTGAAACAGGGTTTGCCACAGGAAAAACCTTAACTCTTAGCCCAATAGGAAATGTCCTGGCACTGATTTTGAAGTCGCAGGCAGGGCTACAGGGCTACTTAATCATGAGACCGTGACCACTACACACACACAGGGTTAAAGTGTTTAATTTGGACTCAAAGTAACTGACTCTCTGAAGTACATGATCTGATTGGCTAAGACTCTCTATTCAACAGTCCTTATATGAGCAGTGAGGTACAAGCACAGTGAAAAGGCAGAGGGGAAAGTTCTGGTCAGACCCGGACCTTGTAATTACTCTCTTATAATGTCATCATTATAAATACTCAGACCTATTCTTCCAGACAGACACAGAGAGACACAGAGAGAGAGAGACACAGCGAGAGAGAGAGAGAGAGAGAGAGAGAGAGACACACACAGAGAGAGAGACAGAGAGAGAGATGGGTCTGTAATTACAAGCAATATTTGGAAAATGAAATTACTTTAAATTCTATAACTCTTCCAGATTATGTCCTTAGTGTTTTCCTACAGTTTACTCCCAACTCTATATATGAGGGATTTAGGAGATTTAGGAGACTGAAACAAGTTCTGATTAATCCGTATTGCACTGCATGTCAGCTCCACATAAAGTAACCACCATAAGGTATGTGTGTGTTATACACTACCAGTCAAAAGTTTGGACACACCTACTCATTCAAGGGTTTTTCTTTATTTTTACTATTTTCTACATTGTAGAATAATAGTGAAGTCAAAACTATGAAATAACATATGGAATTATGTAGTAACCAAAAAAGTGTTAAATAGCCACCCTTTGCCTTGATGACGCTTCACCTGGAATTATTTTCCAACAGTCTTGAAGGAGTTCCCACATATGCTGAGCACTTGTTGGCTGCTTTTCCTTCACTCTGCGGTCCGACTCATCCTAAACCATCTCAATTGGGTTGAGGTCGGGGGATTGTGGAGGCCAGGTCATCTGATGCAGCACTCCATCACTCTCCTTCTTGGTAAAATAGCCCTTACACAGCCTGGAGGTGTACTGTTGAAAAACTAAAATGATAGTCCCACTAAGCCCAAACTAAATGGGATGGCGTATCGCTGCAGAATGCTGTGGTAGCCATGCTGGTTAAGTGTGCCTTGAATTCTAAATTAATCACAGACAGTGTCACCAGCAAAATATCACCACACCATAACACCTCCTCCTCCATGCTTTACGGTGGGAAATACACATGCAGAGATCATCCGTTCGCCCACACCGCGTCTCAGAAAGACACGGCGGTTGGAACCAAAAATCTCAAATTTGGACTCCAGATCAAAGAACAACTTTCCACTGGTCTAATGTCAATTGCTTGTGTTTCTTGGCCCAAGCAAGTCTCTTCTTCTTATTGGTGTCCTTTAGTAGAGGTTTCTTTGCAGCAATTCGACCATGAAGGCCTGATTCACACAGTCTCCTCTGAACAGTTGATGTTGAGATGTGTCTGTTGGCTGCAATTTCTGAGGCTGGTAACTCTAATTAACCTATTCTCTGCAGCAGAGGTAATTCTGGGTCTTCCATTCCTGTGGCAGTCGTCATGAGAGCCAGTTTCATCATAGCGCTTGATCGTTTTTGCAACTGCACTTCAAGAAACTTTCAAAGTTCTTGAAATGTTCCGGATTGACTGACCTTCATGTCTTAAAGTAATGATGGACTGTTGTTTCTCTTTGCTTATTTGAGCTGTTCTTGCCATAATATGGACTTGGTCTTTTACCAAATAGGGCTATCTTCTGTATACCCCCCCACACACCTTGTAATAACACAACTGATTGGCTCAAACACATTAAGAAGGAAATAAATTCCACAAATTAACTTTTAAGAAGGCACACCTGTTAATAGAAATGCATTCCAGGTGACTTCCTCATGAAGCTGGTTGAGAGTTCCAAGAGGTTGCAAAGCTGTCATCAAGGCAAATGGTGGCTACTTTGAATAATCTCAAATATAAAATATATTTTGATTTGTTGAACACTTCTTTGATTACTACATGATTCCATATGTGTTATTTCATAGTTTTGATGTCTTCACTATTGTTCAACGATGTAAAAAACACTAAAAATAAAGAAAAACCCTTGAATGAGTAGGTGTGTCCAAACTTTTGACGGGTAGTGTATATGTCAGCTCTACATATAGTAACAACCGTACAGTCCACTGGCTGTTGCAGTCCAGGGCTGACATCTACATTGTCACGTGTCCTCTTACCAGAAAGCCTCCTTGAGGGTTGGTAACCAACGTCGTTCCCATGGTCATGTTTTCCTTGACTTCATGCAAGTTAGGAATTGTTGTGTTTTCTGGGAAAATATGTAATAAAGTCAGTGAAACAAAGAAATAACAGCTGCTCAAATTCCTGTATCCATTTTCCCATAGGCAGAAAGACAGACCACACCTCAATGCCCCTTGAACCCCTCTGGACTTCACTTTTAACAACGTGCACTATTGACATGTAGTTATTTATAGGATCGTTCGTTAATTTACAATCCCTTTCTCAGACAATGATGGATGGAATATGATCTATCTCTACAGTCTTCATATTTTGTTTTCCAGCGTAAAAACTGTAGTCTAGTAAGAGCATGACGCTAGCTATGCCAGGGTTGTGGGTTTGATTCCAGCTGGGGTCACAAATACTAAAATGTATGCATGCACACACTGTTTGGTTGAACGTGTCTGCTAAATGGCATATACACTATGTATAATTACATGTGCTCTCTGTCTAGCAGCATTTTTTAAAGCAATCTCGTCAGTAATCATGTGTCACACCTGTCAATTAACGGGTAAACCTAATCAAGCTATTAAGCCGGTACCGCTGTTTCCTATTCCCGTAGTCAGCCAGCCTTTTGGGTATTTGATGGATGACTGTGTTGGTCTGCCTCGCTCTCAGAATGGTAGTAGTTACCTGTTCGCTGTGATGTCAGACCACTAGGTTTCCTGCTGCCTATCCTCTCCGTTCTATCACATCAAAGTCCGTGTTAAAAGCTTTGACTCAGTTGATCTCGCTGTTTGGAATCTCTAAGGTTATTCAGTGTCCAAGATTCTAATTTCACCTCTAATCTGTTTGGTCAGGTCCTCCAACAGCTCCATATTAAACACAATTTGGCTTGCGCCTATCACGCGCAGAGTCAAGGAGCGCTGGAACGTTTCCATCAAACACTTAAGTCTTTGTTGAGAGCTTATTGTACGGAGATGGATAAGGATTGGGAGGAGGGGTTGCCATGGTTACTGTTAGCCGCCAGGGAGGTTTCACAGGAGAGCACAGGTTTCAGTCCAAATGACTTGGTGTTCGGACATAGTGTCCGTGGGCTTCTAGCAGTGCTCCAGGATGACTGGAAGTCTCCTAAGCCACCTCATGTCACGATCGCCGTTAGATGAAGCGGACCAAGGCGCAGCGTGATATGCGTACATTCTTTTATTGCAGTACACAACACGAACCAAAACAACAAAACAAACGATACGTGAAGTCCTGGGTTGAACACAAACCTTCCGGAACAAGATCCCACAAAATAACCGTGCCAAACAGGCTGCCTAAGTATGGTCCCCAATCAGAGACAACAAGCTACAGCTGCCTCTGATTGGGAACCACCCTGGCCAACATAGATATACATGAACTAGAACACAAACCTAGAAAACTAAACAATAGAAAATCCACACCCTGGCTCAACATTTAATAGTCCCCAGAGCCAGGGCGTGACAGTACCCCCCCCCCAAAGGCGCGGACTGCGACCGCGCCAACCAAACACAAGACTGAACACCGGTGGAGCGGATTGCTCTGGCTCCGGCGTGGAGCAGCTGACCGGTGCCGGACCAGGCACCGGTGGAACAGGCACGGACCGTGCCGGACTGACGACGCGCACCACTGGCTTGGTGCGGGGAGCAGGAACGGGCCGGACCGGGCTGACGACGTGCACCACTGGCTTGGTGCGGGGAGCAGGAACGGGCCGGACCGGGCTGATGAAGCGCACCACTGGCTTGGTGCGGGGAGCAGGAACGGGCCGGACCGGACTGACAACGCGCACCATTGGCTTGGTGCGGGGAGCAGGAACGGGCCGGACCGGGCTGACGACGCGCACCACTGGCTTGGTGCGGGGAGCAGGAACAGGCCGGACCGAGCTGGCGACGCGCACCACAGGCTTAGTGCGGGGAGCAGGAACGGGCCTGACCGTACTGGGAACACACACCACTGGCCTTGTGCGGGAATCAGGAACGGGCCGGACCGGACTGGTGACACACACCACTTGCTTGGTGCGAGGAGTGGGCCTGGGTTTCCTCATAAACCTCCGCTCCCTCTGCTGCCTACTCAGTTCCTCTCGCCGTGCCTCCACACTATCCTTCTCCCTCGTGACCAGTGGCCCCCGTAACCTGGCGGCCTCCTCTGCCAACCTGCTGAACCGCTCTATCGCGGCCTCCCGCTGCCTCGTCGTCCACGGCGTGAGCCCCCCCCTAAATTTTTTTTGGGCTTGTCTCTCCCCCGTGCTCATGGCCTCCATCCCTCTTGCCAGACTCTCACTCATCTCCTCCCAGGTCCATCCTCTCTCCTCGTCACACTGCTTGATCCAGTCGAGGTGGGATCTTCTGTCACGATCGTCGTTAGATGAAGCGGACCAAGGCGCAGCGTGATATGCGTACATTCTTTTATTGCAGTACACAACACAAACCAAAACAAACGATACGTGAAGTCCTGGGTTGAACACAAACCTTCCGGAACAAGATCCCACAAAATAACCGTGCCAAACAGGCTGCCTAAGTATGGTCCCCAATCAGAGACAACAAGCTACAGCTGCCTCTGATTGGGAACCACCCTGGCCAACATAGATATACTAGAACTAGAACACAAACCTAGAAAACTAAACAATAGAAAATCCACACCCTGGCTCAACATTTAATAGTCCCCAGAGCCAGGGCGTGACACCTCAGTCCCCATTATCTTATGAGTGTGATTTCCGGCGACGCCTGTATGCCACTGGTGAGATGGCTAAAGAGAAGACGTCTTCTTCACAGGGGAGGATGAAGGGAATATTTGATCGGCGAGCTGAGTCTCGTCAATTTAGTCCAGGTGACCAGGTTCTTGCTCTGCTGCCAATTGTTGGTTCTCCTTTTCAAACCAAATGTCAAGGTCCATATACGGTTGTGCGCCAGTGCACTGAGCAAAACGATCTAGTTGCCACTCCGGAACGGAGGAAAGCGCACCAACTGTGCCATGTACCTCTGCTAAAACCCTATTATGCACGTTCCTCTGGGGCCGAAGAGTGAGTCCACAGAGGACGGTAAACCTGTTCTTTTGGCCGGTACTGTTACATCGCTGAGTTCTTCTTTTTGTCATGCTATGTCCGTGATTGGTGAGGAGGATGTCCCTGGTCCCGACGATTGCGTACTGCAGGGTAGATTGAAAAATTCAGAGTCACTGGATGTTTTGGATAGCCTTCTCACTCATCTACCTGCTGATAGGCAAGACGAGTTGGTCGGTCTGATTCAGAGTTTTCCAGTTTTGTTTTCTGATACACCTACACGTACAAACTTAATAGAACACGATATTGATGTTGGGGATGATGACCCCATCCGTCAGCGGTTCTATAGAGTTTCTTCAGAGAAACTTAGTTGTCTGGATGCTGAGATTAGGTACATGCTGGTGAATGATATTACAGAGTCTTCTTTCTCCAGCTGGGCTTCTCCCTGTATCTTGGTCAGTAAACCGGATGGGACAAACATATTTTGTACAGACTACCGTAAGGTAAACAGTGTCACTAAACCAGATTGATTTCCTCTTCCTCAGATGGAGGACTGCGTTGAGCAAGTTTGTGAGCAAGTTTGACCTATTAAAGGGCTATTGGCAGGTGCCACTGATACATAGGGCACATGGAATCTCTGCCTTTATTACACCCTCCGGTCTGTACTCGTATTCGGTTATGAGTTTCGGCCTGCGTAACGCACCTGCCACCTTTCAGCGCCTTATGAATAGGCTTGTCTCCGGTCTGGTCTGGTGCGCTGTTTATCTGGACGATGTAGTGGTTTATGCAGATACTTACTTGGGAGGAGCATCTGTCCCATATTCAAGCCTTGTTCGACCGCCTGGCTGCGGGTCGCCTCTCTGTCAATCTGGCAAAGTGTGAGTTTGCTCAGACGACCGTTATATACCCTGGTTGGGCAGGGTGAAGTGCGTCCTGTTCGGGCTAAAGTGGTAGCTATTGATGCTTTTCCACTACCAACCACTAAAAAGGAACTGATGCGTTTCTTGGGAATGATTGGTTATTACCGTAGTTTCTGTAGGAACTTCTCTACGGTGGTCTCTCCCCTGACAGATCTGCTGAAAGCTAAGGCAGTTTACGTCTGGTCTCCTCTCTGTCAACAGGCTTTTGAGGATGCGAAGAGGCTGCTTACCTCAACTCCGGTGCTGGCTGCTTCTCACATGGATTTGTCATTCACCTTGCAAGTGGATGTGAGTCACGTGGGGGCAGGTGCAGTCCTCCTGCAAGCTGATGTGTCTGGTGTTGAGAGGCCTGTTAGTTTATGCTCCAAAAAGTTTAACCGATCAGTTGAACTACTCCGTGGAGGAAAAAGAAGCGCTAGCACTCATACGGGCGCTACAACACTTCGAGGTGTATGTCGGGTCGGATGTAGTACCTATTGTGGTCTACACCAACCATAACCCTCTCACCATCTTGAGGTCTATGATGTGTCCTAACCAGACGATAATGAGATGGTGTTTGTTTTTACAGGCATTCCATCACGATGTGAAGCACATCAGGGGATCTAATAATGTTGTTGCTGACGCTCTCTCTCATGCGCGCTGTTCCTGAACGCGTCTGGTCCTATTGATCGGTGGACACGCGTTTTCTCATTTGCGTTGTCCCCGAGTGTATGCGTGTCGTCCATGTGACCGGTCACTGTTGATTCTGTGTTTTGTATTGTCCTGTTCTGTCGCTCCTGTCATCTGTTCCCTGCTGTCCTCGTTTTAGTCTTTCCTCTTAAAGGTTGCTTCCTGTGCGCAAAGGTCTGTGAAATGGGACACACCTGGGCCTGGGCTCGGGTGTGTCCCGGGGATATATACACCTTTCCCCCATACAGCGAAGAGACTCTCTCCACACAGACACCCTGTTGTTTTTGGTTGGGGCATTTTGGGGCTTCTTTGTGTTCGTTTGTTTTGGCACCTCTCAACACCCCTCACTTTCACCATCTATGCACCCATCCACTCACTTACACTACTGACTACACACACCATTGCTACTTGGATATAGTTTACTTTGTTGAATAAATATATTTGTTTCTTTATGTCCGCGTTGTCTTCCTCTTTGTTACGGGCTACGAGACGGTTCGTAACAGTAGGTACTCTCATGTTCTCATAACTCACATCACGTCCAGTGGCTGTAGAACAAAACGGCCATCAAGCTATAGGACAATACAGCCGTTGTAAGACTGACACTGTATATGACCAGATCGTCATCTGGAGGACAAATATCCTTATCTCTTACAAACTTTAGCAGGGCACATTCATAAATCTAATACATAAACCATGCATTTCCTACAGATACCAAAACAACAGATAATGTCAATGTTAAATATATATTATGTACCCCAAATGTAATTGATTCAGTTCCATTATATTGATTTAGTAATCCTAACTAAGCTCAACCCTGCCTGCTGAAAGGGAGTCAGTAACAGGGTTGGGGTCAAAACCATTTCATTTCAGTCAATGGAGTTTCCTTCCTTAATTTACTTTACTGAAATGGAATTGACCCCAACCCTGTTCAGTATTGAGTCAGCGTCATTAGAAGCCCAGAGGCTGAAGCATGAAGCAGTGGAGTGGAGTCATATTGGTTATCTGGTTAGTTAATGATGATACAGTTATGAGTGGATGAGATGAGACATTAAAATCCTGTTTATGTAGTGTTTTCCTGTTCTGCTGTGGTGCTGCTGTGCCTCACGTCCTGTCCAGCATACTGTCAGGGAGGGAGGGAGTCCCAGACTAGACCAGTCCAAGATGGCGTAGCAGTGCGGCCGTGTTTTCTGTAGTATCCTTGTGTAAATAGCCATTTTTTTTAGTTTTTTTGTCTATTTTGTATATATATATCTCAATTTTACTTTTCATTCTTTAACTGAATATACTTTCGTGCAACCCGACTCACCCAACGTGGAAAGGATTCTATTATTTCTTTATAATTTTTATCAAGAACCTTAAGCTGAAACTAGTCTAGCTGCAACCGAATGGCTGTGGTAGCCAGCTAGCTAGCTACTTGATATTAGCCACCGTTAGCGTCTTCACCATTGTCCGTGGCCTGCACTACCCACCAGCCAGCACTAGCTCTAGCCTGGACAATATGTCGGCCAGTCTGCACAGTGTGCTATCGACCCAAAGCATATCGGATTTTCTGCCGGAATCACTGGACCCTAGCACCTGGCTACCACCGCCAAACGAGCTTCAACGCCATACAACACTCATTCCATAGCCTCCAACTGCTCTTAAACACTAGTAAAACTAAATGCATGCTCTTCAACCGAACGCTGCTTGCACCCGCCCACCCGACTAGAATCACTACTCTCGGCGGGTCTGACCTAGAGTATGTGGACAACTACAAATACCTAGGTGTCTGGTTAGACTGTAAACTCTCCTTCCAGACTCACATTAAGCATCTCCAATCAAAAGTTAGATCTAGAATCAGCTTCCTATTTCGCAACAAAGCCTCCTTCACTCATGCTGCCAAACATGCCCTCGTAAAACTGACTATCCTACCGATCCTTGACTTCGGCGATGTCATTTACAAAATAGCCTCCAACACTCTACTCAGCAAATTGGATGTAGTCTATCACAGTGCCATCCGTTTTGTCACCAAAGCCCCATGTACTACCCACCATTTTGACCTGTACGCTCTTGTTGGCTGGCCCTCACTACATATTCGTCGCCAAACCCACTGGCTCCAGGTCATCTATAAATCACTGCTAGGCAAATCCCCGTCTTATCTTAGCTCACTGTTCACCATAGCAACACCCACCCGTAGTCTGCGCTCCAGCAGGTATATCTCACTGGTCATCCCCAAAGACAACACCTCCATTGGCCGCCATTCCTTCCAGTTCTCTGCTGCCAATGACTGGAACGAACTGCAAAAATCTCTGAAGCTGGAGACTCTTATCTCCCTCACTAACTTTAAGCGTCAGTTGTCAGAGCAGCTTACCGATCACTGCACCTGCACACAGCCATTCTGAAATTAGCCCATCCAACTACCTCATCCCCATATTGTTATTTATTTTGCTAATTTGCACCCCAGTATCTCTATTTGCACATCATCTTTTGCACATCTATCATTCCAGTGTTAATACGAAATTGTAACTATTTTGCACTATGGCCTATTTATTGCCTTACCTCCATAACTTACTACATTTGCACACACTGTATATATATTTTCTGTTGTATTTTTTACTTTATGTTTTGTTTACCCCATATGTAACTCTGTGTTGTTGTTTTTGTCGCACTGCTTTGCTTTATCTTGGCCAGGTCGCAGTTGTAAATGAGAACTTGTTCTCAACTGGCTTACCTGGTTAAATAAAGGTGAAATAAAAAAACAGCACACCATACAATATGAGGCTGTGTGTTAGGGGCTAAGCCTTAGATCAGCTAGTGCTAACATCTGGAGGATCAATAACACAGTATCAATGACACACAAATGCAGGCATGCACACAAGCGCGCACATATGCAAATGAGAACACACACACGTTTGTTTTACTATCCTTGTGGGGACCAACCCTAACTATTAACCTAACCCCAAACTTAAACCTAACCGCTAACCCTAATTGTAACAGTAACCCAAAACCTAAACACTAAGCCTAAAATAACCTTTTTCCTTGTGGGGACCAGCGAAATGTCCCCAGTTGTCCGAGTTTTTCTTGTTTTACTATCCTTGTGATGACTTCTGGTCCCCACAAGGATAGTTAAACCAAACACACACACACACACACACACACACACACACACACACACACACACACAGGTTCTCACCAGGCAGCTCCAGTTTGATACATTTAGGGTTTGGTCCTCGACCCACAGGGCATTTGTAGACATCTCCAGTCCGTTTGGCTGGCTGGCCGGCCAGGGGAGAACCAATCAGCACCCTTTAAAGACAGAAACAGAGGAGAGAGGTTAGCAGGTTATTCCATACACCCACCCACCATAAAGTTGACAGGATTTGTGGACATTGTAAGCAACAACTGGAGATCACCTCGTGACCTGGGGTTGAGTTTTTGTTTTTTTCACTAACAAAACACTTTATAAGTAAAAGTATCTGAATAGTGCAGTGGAAAGTATACATTTGAACAGTTAGGCCTACTATGTTTACTCGTCATTACATTGTTTACATGTTCTGAGTGAGTAACCCATACTCTGCATTGCAATACAGCTTGTTAGCTGAGTGCAATAACAAACTCCAGAAGTGCTTGGTTCTCTCTCAGAAATCTTCTGGGTAGGATACGATGCTAAACTAAGCTAGTTATCTGCTAGCATTTAAACAGTCAGCTAATTAACATTCCACCCTCCTAATGGCCCCTGATCACCTAAAGAGGGAGCCAGCAGTGGGAACACACACACACACAGACACACACACACACACACACACAGCCATCTGAGAGAGAGAAAGCCGTCATCATCTCAGATCTCACAGCTACAGTTACATACTGCATAGACGTCTGTGCCTGATCCTCACTGACCTAGCACACTGACCTAGCACACTGACCTAGCACACTGACCTCGCACACTGACCTCGCACACTGACCTCGCACACTGACCTCGCACACGGACCTCGCACACTGACCTCGCACACTTTCAACAACCCTAGCTCTGAGTGAGAGGCGTCTAATGGTGCCATGCCATCTGTGAATGATCACTCACATCTACAGTAACCCAGGTTCATTTCACTCACCTCACATCTACATTAACCCAGGTTATGATCACTCACCTCACATCTACAGTAACCCAGGTTAAGATCACTCACATCTACAGTAACCCAGGTTAAGATCACTCACCTTACATTTACAGTAACCCAGTTTAAGATCACTCACCTCACATCTACAGTAACCCAGGTTAAGATCACTCACCTCACATCTACAGTAACCCAGGTTAAGATCACTCACCTCACATCTATAGTAACCCAGGTTAAGTAACGTAAGCATCTAGGCACAATCTCGCTCTCACTCTCTCTCTTTGACTTTAATGGAGGTTTCTGTGAATGATCAGTCCAACCAAGGCTATGCTCCAATATCAACACGTACTACTAGCATATGTCTTAGAATGAAGCTAGTGTCAGGCATGCATTCTATGGTATGGTATGTTAGTATGGATATTGGATCATATCTTCATCAATCTTATACAGCGGTACTGTATTTGTGTAATAGAAAGTAAATGGAACTATCAGGTCTTGCTTTACATGATCTCTGGGTGAAATTGCAAGCATAAAAATGCCTTAAAGTGGTACGTATGTGTGGATATTGGAACAAACACATAACTAGCCCTCGTCATTCTTATACAGTGGTATCTATCTGTGTACAAGTGAGAGTAACTGGAGCTATTAGGGCATTCTCTACTAGAACTCTGTAGGAAGAGAAAGCTGTGGGATCGTTCATCGTTCCTCATCACAGCTGCTCCTGCTGATTGAGAAGGACTGAATTACCGTAACTGGTCCCATATGAGGTTAATAAGCCCATTCCAGCTAAATGTATGGGGATAGTTAGCTAGTTAGAGGCTGCGTCCCAAATGGCACCCTATTCCCTATTTAGGTAGTAGTGTACTGTGTAGGGAATAGTGTGCCATTTGGACACATCCAGAGGCTCACACTGTAAGGGCATCCAGTGGAGAACTATAGGGTCCCGGCTGCCTCTCTCTCTGTCTGAGGGGATAGTGCCTTTCTCTAAAGGGAGGCAGACATAGTTTACTAGCATGTAAAAATGTGCTCCTTGACCAATTAAGAGAGGGATCATGGATGCTTGGTTTCACAGTGTCTTTACTGGTGGGATGAGTGGACACTCTGGTGGGTTGTGTTCACTTAACAGGCGGAGGGAGGGACTCTTTATTTGAGCCAGTGTCTAAGACCGCAGGCCTAACTGATACAGGAGCAGGGATGGAGGGAGGGACTCTATTTGAGCCAGTGTCTAAGACCATAGGCCTAACTGATACAGGAGCAGGGATGGAGGGAGGGACTCTATTTGAGCCAGTGTCTAAGACCGTAGGCCTAACTGATACAGGAGCAGGGATGGAGGCAGGGAGTTGGTCTCCCCTTTGCTGCTATAACAGTCTCCACTCTTCTGGGAAGGCTTTCCACTAGATGTTGGAACATTGCTGCGGGGACTTGATTCCATTCAGCCACAAGAGCATTAGTGAGGTCGGCAATTAGGCCTGGCTCGCAGTCGGCGTTCCAATTCATCCCAAAGGTGTTCGATGGGGTCAAGGTCTGGGCACTGTGCAGGCCAGTCAAGTTCTTCCACACTGATCTCGACAAACCATTTCTGTATGGACCCCGCTTTGTGCACGGGGGCATTGTCATGCTGAAACAGGAAAGGAACTTCCCCAAACTGGAAGCACAGAATTGTCTAGAATGTCATTGTACGCTGTAGGGTTAAGACTTCTCTTCATTGGAACTACATTTACATTTTACATTTTTCTCATTTAGCAGACGCTCTTATCCAGAGCGACTTACAGTTAGTGAGTGCATACATTATTTTAATATATATTTTTTTTCATACTGGCCCCCCGTGGGAATCGAACCCACAACCCTGGCATTGCAAACGCCATGCTCTACCAACTGAGCTACATCCCTGCCGGCCATTCCCTCCCCTACCCTGGACGACGCTGGGCCAATTGTGCGCCGCCCTATGGGTCTCCCGGTCACGGCCGGCTACGACAGAGCCTGGATTCGAACCAGGATCTCTAGTGACACAGCTAGCACTGCAATGCAGTGCCTTAGACCACTGCGCCACTCGGGAGATGGGGGGGTGGCCTAGCCTGAACCATGATAGAGATATGGGGGGGTGGGGACTGACAACCTACCTGTGTTGCTAGGTGGGTGGGAAGGGGTGAAAAACATGGTTTCCGGGTGGGCTGGACAGAGACATGTTGGGCTGGGAGGAAAGGGATGGGGAGCTGGGGGTGATGTTGTGCTGGGTGTTGTGCTGGGTGGAATGGGATGGGGAGCTGGGGGGGATGTTGGGCTGGGGGGAATGGGATGGGGAGCTGGGGGGGGGGGGGGGGGTTGTTGGGCTGGGGGGAATGGAATGGGGAGCTGGGGGTGATGTTGGGCTGGGGGGAATGGGATGGTGAGCTCGGGGTGATGTTGGGCTGGGGGAATGGGATGGGGAGCTGGGGGTGATGTTGGGCTGGGTGAATGGAATGGGGAGCTGGGGAGAATGGGATAGGGAACTCGGGGGAATGGGATGGGGAGCTGGGGGTGTAGGAAAACCTATTTTTGTTTCTCTTTTCTTTACATACCAATTGTATTATTACAAAATCCTGTGTGATCAATATGATAATTTCTCTGTATGTAATTTCTATTATTTTTATAGATTTTTTTTTTTATAGAGTGACAGCCTACTGTCACTCTATAAAAAAGTGACAATTGACTGTGTAAATTGTCACTTTGTGTAAATTGTGTAAATTGTGTAAATTGACACCCACCCATCAAAAAAATACAAAAAATACAAAATAAATGTGGTTAAAAAAAATAGAAATGGTAAACTTTACAGGGAGGGACCCATAAGTCATGATATGATTGCAATCGGTATTGCAAGATACTGTATCTCAATGTTGAACTTGTTCAGCTAACAGGAAACCAAACTACTGTCAGGGTTGGGGTCAATTTCATTTAAATTACAGTCAATTCAAAGTAAACCAAATTCCAATTCCAATTCGACATTTTCCTCATTGAAATGCATTGAAGAGAATTGGAATTGGAATTTCAGTGTACTTCTTGAATTGACTGGAATTTAAATGGAATTGACCCCAACCCTGACTACCAGTAATGACTGATTTCAACCACAAGCAGGAGAGATACGTGTAAAAAGACAGTGGCCGGGAGTCACATGATGCTGCGAAGCAAGGTGGTTGTCTGAAAGGAGCCTCCCGATAAAACCCTCCCAATTTCTTCAAAGTTCGATAGAATAGTCAATTTAATATAATAGTTTTTGAGGGGAAAATTACTTTTAGTTGTTTTATCTAAGTTTTTCAACAATGTCTGCATTTAATTCAGCTTCAGCACGTACACATAGCAAGATCGCCAGCGCAGCGGCTAATAGGCCTAGCTCTGTTGCTAGCACTTCAGCAAGCATGACGTTGAAACGGCAGAACATGGAACCCAGCTCGTTGTCGGCCTTGCAATCATCCCTACAGAAGGCCATGGAAGAAATGGGTAGAGTCAGCACCATTCTTGAATCTCTTGAATCAGGTGTTTCTCAGGTCAAGCAATCTCAGATGGATATGCAAGAAGATGTATCGGTCATATTACAGAGGCTAGATGAGGCAGAGCGTCGGAAATCAACACTGGAGGATGACAACAACTGACTGATTAAGAAAGCAGAGAAGAACGACAAACTGTATGAGGATCTCCACAGAAGCGTGCAAGATGGAGCTAACCGAGCCAGGCGCCTCAATTTAAGACTTTTAGGGGTCAAGGAGGGTCTGGAGGATGCCAAGCCACGGGAATGTGTGAGACTAATTATTTCGGAGGCTTGTGATGGAAAACATTTATCATGCTTGAGTACTAGAAGCTTTTTCTTTAAGCCTAGTTGCTTAGACATTCATTCTGAGATTGTTGATATAACTAGATCATATGAGATGGAATTGTATGTGCATGGGTATGGGCCTGTTTCTAACTGTGTGTATGTGTACTGTGTGTGTGTACCATGCGAGAATCAGCCGCCTAGACCGATCATCATCCAATTTCTCAGGGATCTGGAGAGAGAGAGAGAGTGCTGGCCACTGCGAAGGGAATGTATACGGAGAAGAGAGAAGTGACTTGTTTTATTTTTATTTCACCTTTATTTAACCAGGTAAGCCAGTTGAGAACAAGTTCTCATTTACAACTGTGACCTGGCCAAGATAAAGCAAGCAGTGCGATAAAAACAACACAGAGTT